ATGAACACTTTCATTTTTTTTGCAAACTAAATCGTGCGAAGAAGCACGGAATGGCTGAAAACTAGGCTGAGGAATAGTAGCATCCAGAGACTCTCAAACAAATTCATGGTCCATCGCTTCTGGCAATGGCAGCGAAGACATCAGGGAGCTGATTGCAGCAACTCTCAACCAAGCGCGATGCTGGTTACTCACCAGGGCAGGGCACTTCCATCGCGCAAGAAATGGCCGCGAGCGAGAAATGGAAGTCCGATTTTGGAACGATCCAACCAGGGAAATTCCTTGAAAATTGGCCTGAACACCTCTCATACTGGTGTTTCACGATGTGCAAACTTTCAGAGAAATCGACCGGGGAGAACGTGGTGAGTTCGTGGGTCCTCGAGTATCGCGTATGATTTGAATGGTCGCGGGGACAGAAGAACAGTGATTTTACGACTCTCAGTGGTGCAAACAGACCGCGGCCATGTTTTCTCTGTCGGCCGCGATCACGTTCAAAAAATCGATGACGCAATGCATGCGCAGAGGCCTGAGCAGTGCGTTCGCTGACATCCCTAGCAAAGCAAAAACAGTTTTAGGTATGCTATGTCGTGATAAATCTATTATTGCCCTCATAATCGTGCAATAATAGATACATATTAGCAGAATATAGAATATTCGTTCGTTCGTCGAAGCAATATTCGAGAGAATATTCGTTCGAAGAAAACACCATTCGTTGCATCACTAGACTAATTTCTTTGCCTGTTCATTGATATTGCGCAGGACTTGGCTTGGGCTGGAGAGCCGAGACTCGACCTTGGCAGCAGCAGCAGGCGGTGACGTAGTCATGTCTGCTCTGTGCCTGAGGGCGCAGGAATACAAAGCGCGAGATTTGTTGTCTTTTGTCACGCTAGTACATGTGAAGGGCTCCAATTCGAAACGCGATAAAAGTCACTGATGCAGACTGAAAAAGAAAGAATGAAAAATGCACTTCCTGAAATTTCCACAGTTTCCTGTGTGATGTGTTAAAAATTACTGAAGATGAACAGAACTGAACAGCACGAATACGGCAATGGGTGGGGGTGATTGTTGAATGCAGTTGACTAAGAAAGAAGAACGTTGTTTGCTTATTCTGACCATATCGACGGCTAGCAAGAGTACATAACCCCCCAGAGTGTGCAACGCCTGATCCAGCTCTGCATAGGGTCTTGGTCGAGCGTAATCGCATCTTTGCGTCATAATACCGTACACATCTGAGGGGAACCCGGGAAGTTGCGGGGACTCTCGGATCAAAAATACCGGTGCCCTGCCTCGAGACCGGCCTTGCGCTGGTGTGGAGTGTATGCATGACATCAGAAGATCCGACTATGCTCGATCAAGACCCTATGTAGAGCTGGATCAGGCGTTGCACACGCTGGGGGTTATGTACTCTTGCGGCTAGCAATGTGCGCAGCAGAGGCAACTACAGCGTAGCACCGTACAGGCAGTTGGAGCAGCAGCAGCAGCAGCAGCAGAATGTTTGGATTGTACCGTTGTTGCTACACTCTGCTTTCAGGTATTGGACAGGTATGGGCTGGGTAACATGTGCAACTACTTATCAATGTTATTAGTGCTGTGTTTTTTAACTATATACACTGAAGAAACCAGTGTGTGTGTGTGTGTGTGTGTGTGTGTGTGTGTGTGTGTGTGTGTGTGTGTGTGTGTGTGTGTGTGTGTGTGCATGTACGTGTGTGTGTACGTGTGCGCGCGTGTACGTGTGTGTGTGTGTGTGTGTGTACGTGCGTGTACGTGTGTGTGTGTGTGTGTGTGTGTGTGTTTGTGCATGTGCGTGTGTGCGTGTGCGTAACTCTGCCAACTCTCAGGGGAGAAGACTTCCATAGAGCGGACTTATGAGATAAGGAAGTGGTTCTGGTCCATTTTGAGAAGTATGACATCTGCACAGCTGGCGGAGCTGGTAAGGGCTAGATGTCAGGGGCATATTCCTGTGTTTGTTTTCGTCCGTGTGGAATGTTTCTGGCACTCTGTACACCAAGCCATAACAGCTACCAAGCAATGCACTCGAACAAAGTTAACAATGAATGAAAGAACAACGACTGAAACTCCTACGCACTCTGTACGTGTCCAGAGCTTGATATGTTGCAAGTCACATACAGACATGTACACACACACACACACGCACACATACACACATACACACACACACAGACACACACACACACACAGACACACACACACATACACATACACGTCACTGCACAAGTGTACGAGGACAGTGACAGTGCACTTTATACGAGCCGCAGCACCCTCTACTCATCCTCCTCTATTCACATCATTGGTATGCTGATTCTGGTCACTGGTGAGTACGGATTTTGTCCGAAGTGCGACGAAATCTGTACTTATTTGCAGGTTAGCTGTGATCACAGGCTGATACTAGTAGGTGTTGTGGTGATTCTTGAACTATGCCAAGGTGGTAACAGCTGGCCGGTGTGTATGGCGCATGATGCAAAGCCAACCGCACAGAAGCGTGTGTGTGTGTGTGTGTGTGTGTGTGTGTGTGTGTGTGTGTGTGTGTGTGTGTGTGTGTGTGTGTGTGTGTGTGTGTGTGTGGAATGTGTGTGTGTGGAATGTGTGTATGGCACATGATGCAAAGCAAACTGCACAGAAGTGTGTGAATGCACGTGTGTATTATAACCCATTTCGTTTGTCCTGCTGCTGCTGCTGCTGCCGCCGCCACTGCCTCTGCTGCCTTGCTTGTTCTGTGCACATACAGATGTACTTCTGGACATCTAGTCCTGCCATGCCGACTGCAATGGACGGCAAAGTGGCCAGCATTGTGTTCCGACCACCAGACCACAACCGATTGCCCACAGCTAACACCTGCATCTCTCGTCTGTACATTCCTCTGTACCGCTCCAAGCAGGTACTGCGTGCACGCCTGCTCATGGCGATAAAGACGAGAGAATTTGGCTTTGTGTGAGTCACTCTGTTTTTTTGCTCCAAGTGTCTCGCATGCGTGATATATTTTTTGTAGTCATTGGCTGATGCCAGTCTTGTGGCTGCGGATTCAGAGCTATGTTGTTGTATCAGTCATGCGCCTCCCCGGTCGTCTGTATCACTAATTCTGTGCGTGACGGCTGTGCATTGCTCGTCTGTATATAACTGTGAAAGTGCTATCAGCTCCTACCTGCTGCTGCTGTGTGTGTGTGCCTACTCCTGCGCTGTGTGTACTGGCTCTGAATATAATCATTGTACTGCTGTCTGCCGCTGCTGTAAAATACACCACTGGGTCGCCAGCGCACGCCCATACCCATACCGCCGCCTCCTTTGTGTTGGCTGTCTTTTTGCCTTTGTGTTGCCTGTCTTTTTGCCTTTGTGTTGGCTGTCTTTTTGCCTTTGTGTTGGCTGTCTTTTTGCCTTTGTGTTGGCTGTCTTTTTGCCTTTGTGTTGGCTGTCTTTTTGCCTTTGTGTTGGCTGTCTTTTTGCCTTTGTGTTGGCTGTCTTTTTGCCTTTGTGTTGCCTGTCCTACTGCTGCTCCTGCTCTTGAGTCGTGTCCACTGCTGCTTGTGTACATACTGTGCCCGTGTGTGTGTGTGTGTGTGTGTGTGTGTGTGTGTGTGTGTGTGTGTGTGTGTGTGTGTGTGTGTGTGTGTGTGTGTGTGTGTGTGTGTGTGTGGTGTGTGTGCTCGTAGTTTCTCCTTTTGTATTCTGGTGCTGTTTTTTGTGCTCTGCTTGTGTACGTAGCAGCATCTGTAACCAGTCCCCCATTTTCAGACATACTCCTCCTCTCACTGCATGCTCATGCTATCTCGCCCTATGCTCACAGTTAATAGCTGATTTCCAGTTTGCGGTATCATGCATTGCTAACTGGGCTTTTTATGTGCCCGCTGTTTTCCACGTGAAATTGTCTTTTAAAGTTGCCAAGGCAAGTCATTTAAACTCATGTTGCTCTTTTGTAACTTGAATGTGTGTGCGTGCATGATGGGGGTGCGTGCATGATGGGGGGTGCGGGGGGGGGGGGGGGGGTGCGTGCATGATGGGGGGGGGGGGGGGGGTGATGGAATGATTGAGAGTGCAAGGTTGGGTCGATGGAATGACTGAGAGTGCTCAAGGTTGGGTCGATGGAATGACTGAGAGTGCTCAAAAGTGGGAGCTATCCACCACTCTTCAAGTGTTTGCTTGGTAGACCTGTAACTGTTAGTACTACCAAGAGTACTCTTGGTACTACAGTACATGATACAGCCCTAGGCCCTACTCCCCTAGTACTAGTAGTAGTACAGTGCTAGTGTACTGTCCTTGTACATGATACAGCCCTAGGCCCTACTCCCCTGGCTACAGTCCATTCATAAAAAGATGGGCTCTGGCTCTGGCGAGCTCCCGTATTTGGCGGTTTTTCGTGATTTCATCGTACACAGTGCAGTGCTGTGAACTTTGAAATTTGAAAAAGGGTCCAAAAAGGGTGCCTGAACTGGGGTTCGAACCGCAGAATGCACTGTTGCCAGGCGGGGTCAAACGGCCTGGATTTTGATGGTTTTCCCAATTCTGTGCTTTTGGGGCAAAACCTGGCCGAAATCCTATTCTTGCTATGGCTTGCTTTTTGGCCAAAAAAACTTCAGAAACATAATTGGAAGAGGATTCCATAGGGGATTGCCAAAAAAATTCTAAAAAAACTCAAAGTTTGACCCATTTATGGCCAAAAGCTAGAAGTTCATTTTTTTCTGAATGGACTGTAGTAGTACAGTGCTAGCGTACTCACTGTACTGTCCTTGTACATGACTGTGTACCGGTATTCAGTTTCACCAAGCAATGCAAGGTCATACCGGTAATACTATTAGGTTAAAACTCAGACTGTTAGACTTTTAAAAATTAAAGAGGAGACTCTCTGTGAGGAGAGGTGATGTCCGAGCAGGTTAGGAGTGGCCTTACTCGCATATGCTATGAGTGGCCCAGTGTCAGTTCATTCCTCCTGGCTGCCTGGGGATAAAGACTCTCAGCTTCTCATCCTTTGGCCCAGGTTTTTAGTGACGCCCTCAGTTCCCCTGTCACCTGGTCACTAGTGTACCGGGCACTAGTGCACCACTTTTGTAGTGGCATGACAGAGAGGGTTAACCGATTCGCTACTTCTTCATTTTTTTGTACTGACAGATGACCATGATGACTGTCTTCACTATGACCATTCGCACTCAGTGTCGTTGTGTACGACCACGAGTCTTGTTTGGGCTGCCTGAGTAAATCATTGTAGTCTTTTTGTAGTCTACCGAATCGATCTACTCCTACAAGTACAAATAAGCTACAAACGGTCAGAGCTAGAGCAGCAGAGGACTGAGGAGTCGAGTTGGTCTACGACTCTACGAGTATGGCCTGGCTGTGGAGTATGGTGTGTGCGGCGGCCAGTGCTTGGTTGCGGTAGTCATGGCATCGTCATGAACAACGCGCGCGCGTATCATAGTATCATAGCAAATGCGTGCTCTGTTCAGTGCACAAGTGGGGGTGGAACACCCGAAGCTGTGAGACTGGACATGGAGTCATGACCACTGGCACTGGCACTGACTGAGCGTTGCTTTGTCATTACCAGATTACTAGCTTCGATAATGCTCGGAGAAGATTCGAAAATATCTTCCTGCTCGTCCAGCCGCAAAGCGTGGGGCTTCACAAGCAGATGAGTGGAATCGCCGACGTGGTATCAGGCGTGCAACGGCTAACACTGACAGCTATATTTGACTTTTTAGCTGGACTTTGAATGGGCCCAACAGTAACAGCATTGGCACCCGGTGACCGTGGTGACACTACAAATTTTGTAACTAACTGACTAAAGCGGGATTCATGTCAGTTTAGACACAGTTTTGTCGGCAGCCTCGGGCTTGGTCGAATTCGTTACTCTCTAGCATTACAGGTATCGGCAGCAGGTAGCAGGCTAGGCTATCCGATAGAGTATCGACACCTGAGCGGACAATAATAATATTATTATTTTGGCACTTGACTTTTCACTGCACTGGTGTTACTTATTTATTAGAAGGCTGTTTTATTTTATTGCCCTTTCGCGCTGTCGGGCTATGTGCGTTGTGCAAGCCAAGCTAAACAAGACTTGGTACACACTACAAGCTGGAGTTACTGCTGTTGAGAAGTAAGTTATTGCAGTAGCGCATCACTATCAGGCTCTAGATTCACACGCTGTCAGGAGTACGTACCTCTACGAAGAAAGAAGGGAGTCGAGCAACTACTACTACTACTAGTAGCCTCATTGCATCAGTCAGTCGTTTGGTATCTTTGCGGCCACGCCGAGTCCCGGCCCATTCTCCGGGCCGAATGTAACACTATCGGTCGGGAGCGTGCTCAGCGGATACACACAGCCACACACTGGCGCAGCGACTGAAGTCCTCAGCATCGTTGATGAGGTTAGTGATATTCGGAGTAGCGAATCAGTCCCCCTGGCCTGGTTAACCTTCCTTGTCCATGAGCGCGTGTGTGGTGCTGCTGGAACAGTTACTGCGAGCTAGGCTATCCAGTATACTGTATAGGGTGCTTGCGACCCAGTACAGTCAGTGTGTGGGGGTAAAACACCCAAATAGCGACCAACTACGTGTTGCACATGCTCAGATGATAAAATCAAAATGGCTAGACCCTGTTGCCTGCTGAGCAGTTCCAGTCAGAGAGTCTGAGAGACACATCCAGCTCGCACGCTGCATGCTGCACCAGACAAAACAAGAGTTCTGCATGTTGGTGTGACCTGTTAGACTGATCACGAATACTACAGTGGTAAACAACCCGCAGAGGTACATACTCATTGCACACGTATGCAGAGTTGTTGGTCGGCTGCCATGATGATCCACGTACGGGGTGAAAACGGGAGCAGCGGAAACGGGAAACGTAGACGTGGTAGGGAGAGGGGGTATGCAACTAAAACGGGTGAACGTGCACATCTCTCCCAGTCTTTTCCCAAGTGACCTAGTACGTGTGCTTAAATTTTCAAATTTCTCCAAATATGTGACCAAGTGTACGGGGCGGGGCCGGCACGAACTCTGACTGTGTGATGACATGACCACCCGTTTTGGATGTTTCACCGTAGCTAGATGTAGACGCAAACGGGAGTTGGGGAACGTAGTGTGATGACGGACCGTTACTGTTCGGACTTAAACATGATCATTCGACACTGCTATTGGTACAACGTGAATATACAAAACACCCGGAGATTGACTAGAATGTCTTTTTTGCTTTTACTATGTGCATGTGAGGGGTGTGTGTGTGTGTGTGTGTGTGTGTGTGTGTGTGTGTGTGTGTGTGTGTGTGTGTGTGCCTGTCTGTTTGTCTGGCCGTTTGTCTGCCTGTGTGTGTGTCTGTCTGTCTATCTGTCTGTCCGTCTGTTTGTGTGTGTGTGTGTGTCTGTCTGTCTGTCTGTCTGTCTGTCGTCTGTTTGTGTGTGTGTGCATGCATCTGTCTGTCTGACGGTCTGTCTGTGTGACTATGTGACTGTTTCAGGGGATATCTCAGATAAATCAAAGTTGATTACCACGGGCGAAGGGACAGCCGGACTCGTCTTCTCTTGTCGTGCTCACAATGGCTACATCATACAGTGATGAAGGGTATGTGACTATGATTGTGTTGTGTCATACCAAGAGTCCATAACCCCCCAGAGTGTGCAACTCCAGGTTGGGGTCTGGCGCAACGAAATCCAAACATTGCGTCATCCGGTCCCCGGGCAAGCATGGGCGGATGGGGCCATATCCCCATGTGCATATCTGGTACATCCGGCGGGGGTTCCAAGTACAGTCGTCCCTCTCTAATCCGGCACTTTATAATCCAGCACCCTCGATAAACCAGCACAATTTGAATTTTCAGTAGCCAAAATGTCCTCTTCATGCACATTGCAGCAGTAAATCAGATTTGTTAATCCAGCACCCTCCCTAATCCAGCAGATTTTCGTGGCACAAATGGTGCCGGATTATAGAGGGACCACTGTAATAGTTGAAGGTTGCTTTGAAGCAAGCCACGGAAGTGTCACGTAAAACGTTTGCTGCACGCGCACGGGCTATGCAGTGTCACGTCAGCAGAACGGCTTTGATTTCACAGTCACAGAATTTTTTTATTTGAAGAGAGTTTCTCTGCTCGTTGTCTGAAAAGCTTGTATTGGGAGAGTTCGTGACTCCGGGATAGCAAGAATAGGCATGGATATAGATTTACAAGATTTGATGGAAATAGCTCTTGGCACACGGCATGAAGACCCGATCGATTTCGAAGTAGATGTGCTTCAACCTGCAGTGAATGTTCCTGCTGGGTTCACAACCAGACGGTTCAAATTGACGGGTGTTCCATTGCATGTGAGAAGCACAGACTTCGAGCAATAAATCTCTATCCAGGTGCTGGAAGAATTAACAATTTCCAACACTCGACAATCGAGAGAAGAAAATGAGGAGCCCAGATCGAACAAAAACTGACGAATATCGTCCACAGAGACACTGCACTCCGGCGACAATGGGGAGCGCTTTGCTTTAGGTTCAACAGTGGCCATTGTTCTTCTCTTATCGGAGAGACACTCAAAAGAGAAAACTGTTCGACAACTCTAAAATAATTCTTTGTGTACTTGAGCCTTTCCAGGCGTGTTACGTACAATACCTGACCGTGGATTCGTAAAGAAAGACCCCAAATTGGGCAAACGGGCGAAGTAGGTCCGGGCCAAACTTCCCATTTCGTCATAGCTACTCACTACATGACGTATGAAGTTTGGATTTCGTTGCGGCACTGATTTGTGCTGAGAAGGATCACGAGTTGCACACTCTGGGGGGTTATGGACTCTTGGTCATACCATGTACAGCACCGTGTCCTGTGCACTGTGCACTGTGCATTGCAAGGTGTGTTGTCGGGCCACTGCCGTTACGAATAGAGCTAATTCAACCTCTCGATAGGAAATCGCTGCACATACCACTGCACCATATGGAACACACACACACACACACTCACACACACACACACACACACACACACACACACACACACACACTTGTACTTGTACTTGTTGCTCACTGCCAAAACTGGTCACGTGGGTCTCCCCGGGAGAGGGGAAAGAGACTCAAAAGGAATATTAGAAAGATGACTCAATTGGCTATTGAACCGCCCAACGGCCGACACCCCCTGAAATCTCCAAAACTCTGGGTGGACTTGAAAATGATCCCACTTATGGGCTCACCACACCTCAGTAAGTGGGCGAGGACAAGGTGCACACACACACACACCTCAGACCTCAGTGCCCATCGCGGAAGCGATGATAGCGAACAGCTATGTTAGACATAGCAACTTGTGCTGGGATTACACCATTCAACAGCTTGCAAGGCTGATGAATTGACCGCCACCAAGTGTTAGCCTGGTATCCACCACACAGCTGATTGAAGTGGCTTTTTCTGGCCAGTGAATCCCTATTTTTCATTTTTCTTTTTTCCATTTTTTCATTTTTTTCTTTTTCGACACACCACACCACATACTCTGGCACACACTGGCTGTTGGTAACCACCCAGGAGAATGAAAGAAGAGCTAGGAGAATGAGAAAGAGAAGAAAGACGTGTGCAACCATAATTGTCACACACACACACTCTCTCTCTCTCTCTCTCTCTCACCGTCTCTCTCTCTCTCACTCTCTCTTTCACACACACATACTCCCTCTCTGATGCATTCTCTCTTTCTCACTCTCACTCACTCCCCTCCCCACTCTCCACTCCAGGCCTCTTGCCCAGTACAACAGTCTACAAGATCCTAACTTGAATCACTACTTCGTCAGCAAGCCTATCCAACGTCATTTACTCAGGTCGGGTCTGGTAAGTTGGTACTGGCAGCGGGGTATTCCATCGTACAACTCTTACTGCATGAAACTGTCTTTGCTGATGACAAAATTGTAAAGGGACAGCCTCTGCTGCTATGATGGTTTATTCACCCTAGTTGTTAGCTATGATGGTTTATTCACCCTAGTTGTTAGCTATGATGGTTTATTCACCCTAGTTGTTCGCTATGATGGTTTATTCACCCTAGTTGTTCGCTATGATGGTTTATTCACCCTAGTTGTTAGCTATGATGGTTTATTCACCCAAGTTGTTAGCTATGATGGTTTATTGTAAAGGGACAGCCTCTGCTGCTATGATGGTTTATTCACCCTAGTTGTTAGCTATGATGGTTTATTCACCCTAGTTGTTAGCTATGATGGTTTATTCACCCTAGTTGTTCGCTATGATGGTTTATTCACCCTAGTTGTTCGCTATGATGGTTTATTCACCCTAGTTGTTAGCTATGATGGTTTATTCACCCTAGTTGTTAGCTATGATGGTTTATTCACCCTAGTTGTTCGCTATGATGGTTTATTCACCCTAGCTGTTCGCTATGATGGTTTATTCACCCTAGTTGTTCGCTATGATGGTTTATTCACCCTAGTTGTTAGCTATGATGGTTTATTCACCCTAGTTGTTAGCTATGATGGTTTATTCACCCTAGTTGTTCGCTATGATGGTTTATTCACCCTAGTTGTTCGCTATGATGGTTTATTCACCCTAGTTGTTAGCTATGATGGTTTATTCACCCTAGTTGTTAGCTATGATGGTTTATTCACCCTAGTTGTTCGCTATGATGGTTTATTCACCCTAGTTGTTAGCTATGATGGTTTATTCACCCTAGTTGTTAGCTATGATGGTTTATTCACCCTAGTTGTTCGCTATGATGGTTTATTCACCCTAGTTGTTAGCTATGATGGTTTATTCACCCTAGTTGTTAGCTATGATGGTTTATTCACCCTAGTTGTTCGCTATGATGGTTTATTCACCCTAGTTGTTCGCTATGATGGTTTATTCACCCTAGTTGTTAGCTATGATGGTTTATTCACCCTAGTTGTTAGCTATGATGGTTTATTCACCCTAGTTGTTCGCTATGATGGTTTATTCACCCTAGTTGTTAGCTATGATGGTTTATTCACCCTAGTTGTTAGCTATGATGGTTTATTCACCCTAGTTGTTCGCTATGATGGTTTATTCACCCTAGCTGTTCGCTATGATGGTTTATTCACCCTAGCTGTTCGCTATGATGGTTTATTCACCCTAGTTGTTCGCTATGATGGTTTATTCACCCTAGCTGTTCGCTTTTCCAAAACTACTGTGGAAGCTTTTAAAAGGCAAACTCAAGTCCCATGTATTTTCAGACTGAATAACTATAGCTCTTTTTCTCACTGAATAACTGCAGGTCCGTGATGACGGGTCTATTCAGGGTACCGAAGCCTATCGTCTTCACATTGCACGGCTAGAACAGGAGAAATCCGCCAAGACCCTGCTGGCCAAGAGCGTTGTGGAGCAGACCAAGGAAATGGAGGTAAGCATTGGACTGTTGCCGAGGCAACTAATTGAAATAACCAGCGCATCAAATGGAGGTAAGCCTCGGATTCAACATGTTGAGGCAACTAATTGAAATAACCAATACATCAATGAAATAACCAATACATCAATGAAATGCGCCGTTGCCTGGAAATTGGGAATGTCAATCCTCGATGTGCCGTTCAGAACATAAGAAGTTTCTTTACTAGCCTCTGTTACGTATGTGAGGAGATGATGGCATGTTAAATCGGCTGTGCCTGCGCGCGGGTTAGAGGTTGGTGTGCGGTTTTGTGTTTGTATTTGTCACTCTGTGCGTGTGTGTGTTTGTGTGTATCTTAATCTTTGCGGGTGTGTGTTTGTGTGCATATCTGGGTGTCTGTGCATGCATGTGTATGTACATGTGTTGTTGTGTGGATGTGTGCATGGGTGTCTGTCTGTCTGTCCGTCTGTCTGTCTGTCTGCCCTTTACACGCATGCTGATCTGCTATTATCAGAGAAAACGCAAGTATGAACTCCGGAAGCGGATGGAGGAAATATCGAAGCTGGAGCTGGTCCGAAGAGTTCGGGTAAGACCATCCACATGTCCATGTAGTAGAATGCAGTGCAGTGCAATGCCCGCATGTCCATGTAGTAGAATGCACTGCAGTGCAATGCCCGCATGTGAGTGTGTATATGCACTGCAGTGCCACTGCGCATGTGAGTGTGTATATGCAGTGCATGCAGTGCATGACATTTTCCGTTCGACCCTCTTTAAAGTTGTACATTGTACTGTTGAGGCAACGAACTAAAATAAAATAGAAAACTAAAACAGCATGACAGCATTGCAGTCACGTGCGATACGATCAAGGCATCATTGCCCGGGCAGCAAGAGGACAGTACCGACTACAGTGTCAGCGCACGGACTGCACCAACCGTGAGGCAGATGTCGTCCAGCACTGCCTTTGTCCTCGGGCAATGCTTTTTAAACGTAAAGTTAGAGGTGCTGATCCCTGTATCCAACCGAGGATGTGTGACTGGGAAAGAGTTCGCACCGTCCATATGTACTGATTGTACTTGTAACTGGTGCCAGAAGACAATTACCGTATTTCCCCGATTGTAAGGCGCACTCGGTTATAAGTCGCACCCCCACTTTGAGGTTTGAACCACATTGTTTCAATACATGCATATAAGTAGGATGTCACTCTCGATTGTAAGTCGCATCCCCTTCTTTACCCTTGAAGTTTAGTGTGAAAAGGTGCGACTTATACTCCGGGAAATACGGTATGTTCTATTTACGACACTCATACTTAAGTTTTCCCTTGTCTTTCACTGCCTACTGCAGACTGGTGGTGGTGCGATGTCACGCAACCCAGCCGTAGGCCCACACTACCGCACACAGAGTGCCCGGGCCACACAGGAAACATCGTCCATGGACAGCTCCATGGGCAGCGCCGTATCACTGGATGGCAGCGGTGGGGGTGGTGCTAGGCTCCGCAGGCGCTTCCCAGCGCCGCAAAGTGAAGGAAACGCACGGGCTGAAAAATCCGGGCATGTGCTGGATGTGCAGCGTGCGGACGTCCACCAATTGGTGAGTTCAGCTTGGCTTCAAGAGCATGTGTGCATGTGTTTGTGTGTGTGTGTGTATTAGTGTGTGTGCATGTGTACACACTCTGCATAACACAGTGAACTTAGGGGTCGTCACTTGTTGCCGTCCCGGAAACAAACATCGTTCATTTCGCACTCGGACCTCTCCGCCTCCTAAATGTACGCAGCTTGCTGTGCTGGATGACGCAAATCACATATACAGTCAACTTGGCTAATAACGACTGCGGATACAACGACAATTCGCGAATAACGACAGAATTTCCGTGCCCAGAGCAAAGTCCCATCCCACTGTAATACAATCATATAATGAGACTTCGGGTATAACGACACTTCGCGAATAAGGACACCTTTTTGATGCCCCACCGAGTGTCGTTAAAAGCAAAGTTGACTGTACTACTATAGGATACTGTACTACTATAGGACACTGTACTACTATAGGACACTGTACTACTATAGGACACTGTACTACTATAGGACACTGTACTACTATAGGACACTGTACTACTATAGGACACTGTACTACTATAGGACACTGTACTACTATAGGAGTTGACTGTACAGTTGAACATCGATTATCCGACCACCTCTGGGCAGACAACTGTCAGGCGGTGTTCAGATAAGGCAAATGTTCCGGATAAGAAAACACACTGTAAATACATGTACATGTACATTGTAAATAGAATAGAGTGCTACTTTTCAAAATTTTCGTATTTTTTGAATGGCTCACTACATGCACAGTGCGTACTCTACGGCACGTGCGCCCAAAAAAAACTGTTACGGATAATCGAATGGTCGGATAGTCGATGTGCGGATAATCGATGTTCAACTGTACTACTATAGGAGACTGTACTACTATAGGACACTGTACTACTATAGGACACTGTACTACTATAGGACACTGTACTACTATAGGAGAATGTACTACTATAGGACACTGTACTACTATAGGAGACTGTACTACTATAGGACACTGTACTACTATAGGAGACTGTACTACTATAGGACACTGTACTACTATAGGAGACTGTACTACTATAGGACACTGTACTACTATAGGAGACTGTACTACTATAGGAGACTGCACTACTATAGGACACTGCACTACTATAGGACACTGTACTACTATAGGACACTGTACTACTATAGGACACTGTACTACTATAGGACACTGTACTACTATAGGAGACTGTACTACTATAGGACACTGTACTACTATAGGACACTGTACTACTATAGGACACTGTACTACTATAGGACACTGTACTACTATAGGACACTGTACTACTATAGGACACTGTACTACTATAGGACACTGTACTACTATAGGAGTTGACTGTATGTACAGTGTCGGTCGACTTGCGATTTTGGCTTCCCCCCCCCCCCCTCCATGAACGATGTTCATTTCAGGGATGACAAAAAACTTTTACGACGACCCCTTTTCCTCATTATATACGCCATGAGTATCAGCTCGAAACAACCAAAATACAGACAATTTCAGGGGTGTCAAGGAAACCTCTGATGGAAGACCTTGCCGAAAATTGCATGGTGAGCACAAGGCTTCTGTCTGTCTGTCTGTCTGTCGGTCGGTCGGTTGAAGTGAGGGTGTGTGTGACACTGTGTTTTGGCGTGCGTTTGTGTGTGTGTGCACACGCGCGCACGCATATGTCAATGTGTTTGCACACAGCATGAGATGGCATCTAATCAAAAGATAACGCGCTTGAACGAGGGCAGGGCACGCATTGCCGTGGAGGGCGCCGACTCGCCATATCGCAATGCCTACCCACCGGAGACATTCTTCCCGGATCCTGTTGAACCGTCCGTAGCCAGGTGGCTACTGAGTACTAAAGTTCCGCCGCCACCTCCACCACCGGGCTGTGCGTACACCGGCAGAAGCAACTCCAGAGCAGCGCAGATTAAACGCCGTGCTCAATCTGCCAAGGTGAGAACTGAGAACACACGCCGCCGCTCTAGTATTGACATATCATTCTAACATTGCACATGTTTAGTAGCAGTGGTGAGGCTTCCTGCAGCTTCATTCATAGGAAAAAAAGGTTTCAGAGCAGACCCGCTCTCTTCCCATTCACTCTGCAAACTCGAACTCGTTTGTCAATCAATTATTACAACGCTTCGGCAAAATTGCCCTCATCAGGTATGCAATGGTGTGCAATGGTATGCTATGGTGTGCAATGGTATGCAATGGTGTGCAATGGTGTGCAATGGTATGCTATGGTGTGCAATGGTATGCAATGGTGTGCAATGGTATGCTATGGTGTGCAATGGTATGCAATGGTATGCAATGGTATGCAATGGTGTGCTATGGTGTGCAATGGTATGCAATGGTATGCAATGGTATGCAATGGTGTGCTATGGTGTGCAATGGTATGCAATGGTGTGCAATGGTATGCTATGGTGTGCAATGGTATGCAATGGTGTGCAATGGTATGCTATGGTGTGCAATGGTATGCAATGGTATGCAATGGTATGCAATGGTGTGCAATGGTATGCAATGGTATGCAATGGTATGCAATGGTATGCAATGGTATGCAATGGTGTGCAATGGTATGCAATGGTATGCAATGGTGTGCAATGGTGTGCAATGGTGTGCAATGGTGTGCAATGATGTGCAACGGTATGCAATGGTGTGCAATGGTATGCAATGGTATGCAATGGTATGCAATGGTATGCAATGGTATGCAATGGTGTGCAATGGTATGCAATGGTATGCAATGGTATGCAATGGTGTGCAATGGTGTGCAATGGTATGCAATGATGTGCAATGGTATGCAATGGTGTGCAATGGTGTGCAATGGTATGCAATGATGTGCAATGGTATGCTATGGTGTGCAAGTTTGCAAAGAAGCAGTCATATAATACAGTAAAAGCTGGTGTAAGCAACCTCTGGGTTTAGCGACCACCTGCTCTTAACGACCGTATTTCCATGCACCCACAGTTCTACACACACACTGTGGGACCTGGTTCTAAAGACCACCTGGCTTTAACGACCGCTTTTGGCTGCACCGTGGGGTGGTCGCTTAAACCAGGTTTCACTGTACAAGCAATTTGTGATGCTATGATGTGCTACATCTACATGTGTACGTCCAGCCGTGTTCGTACTACTTCCAGGGTGTCAAGGGCCGTGCAAGTAGAGGGCGACAAGTATGCACTTTTAGTCGGATTTCATCGAGCACAACTGTGGTTTTGCATTTTATCTTACACATGTAGCAAGTTACAGTCAGCAAGGATGGTGAAAACAGCATGTTTGGACGCACACCTGAGTTGTACCGGAGCATGGGGGTTCCTGTGAGCTTGTATAGGAGCTTGGAGTTCTTATGAGCTGCATTGCATGTACTTCGAAGTTCGAGGGTGGAACGTCACACCTGCCAATCTAATGTGATCGAGGCATTGCGATAACAATCCTGCTAAACTAGAGCTAGAAGATGACGAGCAATGAATATGTCAGTGATTGGTACTGTGAGCTCATGGAAACACACATACACGTGCGTGTACACTATACATACACACACACACACTTGCGACGATTGCTTTGCTGCCATGCCGGTGTCACCATACGTATGTTTTCTGCTCAGGCTGCTACGGACCGTTTGTCAAAACCGGCCACACCAGGTCCCGACAGGATGAGCAAGGTGTTGAAGTTACGGCGGACAGACGTAAGCCAGGCCTGTACAGTAACCTATACATGGTATAGTGGGACAGGAGCAGGCAGAATGCTTCATTACATTGTATTGTAGGGTATTTTATTATTTGACCGGGGCATTCCCAACAGACCCTAATGTCTTCTTTTTTTTATTGCATGCTTCAATTCAAACTGACCCGGCAATTGTTAGCAGTTCAACTAGCCAACCGAGTTGATCACCTCCGTCAGTGCTCACAGCCTCAATAAATGCAGGCACAAATTCCATACACAATCACACCGCAATATCGTGACAGTCATTTCTCTGCAAGCCTCGATTCCTATTCGGCACAATGTCAGCAGGCACTGTCTACCCTCTGTGACGTCTACTTTGAAGGTGGAGTCGAATGTGAAGCTTACTCTTCGATTCCGTGGACGCCCACTGAAGCTCGAGGGACCGATCGCCTTTGCAGAAGCCACACTGGAAATCATCCAGCAGCCGAATGGCGGAAACACAAGGCGATTGTTTTTCGGCAAGATCCGTCCGCGGGGTAGGTGTCCCAACAAACCCTATTTAGCATTTAGCAAGGAATCTTAATGTGGTTGTCTATGCTCGGTAACATTCAGTAACTCATCTTGAACTCCTCGTTGAGTATTGTTACTGGAAAACTCGGGAGGGGGGGGGGGGGGGACTGAATGGGGAGAGGGGGACTGAATGGGGAGAGGGGGACTGAATGGGGAGAGGGGGGACTGGATGGGGAGTGGGGGGGGGGGACTGAATGGGGATTGGAGGGGGGCTGAATGGGGAGCGGGGGGACTGAATGGGGAGTGGAGGGGGGATTGGAGGGGGAGTGGGGGGGGGACTGAATGGGGAGAGTGGGGACTGAATTGGGGGGGGGGGGCGACTGAATGGAGAGCGGGGCTGTAGAAAAATCGCGTCTTGCTCTGAAACAGTATTGGCGTTCGTTAACACACACATTTCTTGTTTGTTGTTCCTGATTGCTGTAGACAAGATACAAGTTCTTTCTCGGCGTCACAAGGAAATGCCGTTTGCCATGGTCATCTACGTGGACAGTATCATTGCGAGCAGGACCAGCACATGTTGTGAATATCATCTACTACCGGGCACACGACTAGGTGGCAGGAAAGGATTGTTTGTTGTTCATAGCGTCGAGGGTGGTGAACCGTGTCTCAAGTAAGTCACGCTGCTGTATGGCAGGGCTTTTTCCGTTTCCTTTCATTCGTTTGGTTTCCCATCAAATTTTAGTTCTTTAGCTCTAGTCGTGTCTTGTTGTCTTTGTCCATTCTTCTCTCGGCTCCTGCTGCCAGTCTGCCTCCTCTTCCTCCTCCTCCTCCTCCTCCTCCTCCTCCCCCTCCTCATCCTCATCCTCCTCCTCCTCCTCATACTCCTCATCCTCCTCCTCCTCATACTCCTCATTCTAATCCTGATTGTCCTTCTCAACCTCTCTGCCCTCCTCCTACTCCCGATATTCCTTGTACGTGTGACTTCTCCTCTTCTTCCTGTTCCTTGTCCTGCTTCTCAGCCTCCTTGTACTCCCCCCCCCCTTCTCTCTCTCTCTCTCTCTCTCTCTCTCTCTCTCTCTCTCTCTCTCTCTCTCTCTCTCTCTCTCTCTCTCTCTCTCTCTCCCTCTCTCTCTCTCCCTCTCTCTCCCTCTCTCTCCCTCTCTCTCTCCGTCTCTCTCTCTCTCTCTCTCTCTCTCTCTCTCTCTCTCTCTCCCTCTCCCTTTCTACCATGCCTAGGTCCATTCAATCACAACAGCGCAGTGTGTAAGCTTATTATAATTATAACACGAGATTTAGGCTGCGTTAGTTAGAGTAGAGTAGAGTCGTTCTACCGATAGAGGTAGAAGGTAGAGGTAAGTGCACGAATGCTGTCCTACCGGATTTAGTAGTTTTTCATGATATGTACATGAAATGCTTTATTCTCTATGAAGTTGTGTACAACTCCTTGATCTTGCTGGAAATCCCGTACCTCTACCAACTTCTACCGACCTCTTACCAGCTTTTACCTGGTAGAGCCGGTAGAGAACGGTAGAATCTACTCTTTTGGGTAGAAAAAAAGGAACGCATCTACCGAAAGAAGTAGTTTCTACCCAAACCTGTAGATCAAAACAAACGCACCCTAAGTCAGCCTAGTTCCATTGCTAACTTCAACGTGTGTTTTGGATCTGCCCCCGTGGCATTGAGCACTTTATGCAAGTGTTTAGCAACATAGCATGTGCTTATAATAACAACGCATGTACGCACATGTGTGTGTGTGTGTTGTAGGTGTCAGTTGGAACGAGGCACAGTCGTGCCAGAAAGTCGTATGAAGACAAAATCACCGGTAAGCTGCTGCATTGTCAACATAGCCATGGTAACCCCAGCAAGGCTGATGCACAACTTTCCTAGCTCAGCTTGCTTGCCCCTCTGTAGTCCACTTCAGCTATGGCCCGGCATATTATTCATTACCTTGCAAAAGATCCGGGACGCGTTCTTCCACTTGACTGTCCCAAGACAGTCTCCCCCTCACCGTTTAGCAGCAATCATACGTTCACAGCCTCTGTTTTCAGCATGCAGAGAGTAGAACTTCATTTGGTGTGTGTATGCGTGTGCGTGCATGTGTGTCCATGTGTGCATGCATGTGTGTCCATGTGTGTGTATGTGGTACATGGTATGTGTGTTTGTGTGTGTGTGCATGTGTGTCCATGTGTGTCCATGTGTGTGTATGTGGTACATGGTATGTGTGTGTGTCCATGTGTGTGTGCGTGCGTACGTGTGTGTATGTGTGTGTGTGTGTGTGTGTGTGTGTGTGTGTGTGTGTGTGTGTGTGTGTGTGTGTGTGTGTGTGTGTGTGTGTGTGTGTGTGTGTGTGTGTGTGTGTGTGTGTGTGTGTGTGTGTGTGTGCGTGTCCATGCGCGTGTGTGTGTGGTGTGCGTGCATGTGATGTGTTTTGTCCGATACAGGATAACAGAGCCCTGACGCCTCTATCTGATCTGCCACCCCTCGGCGGCGGTGGCAGTGTAACTGTTGATGACTCTGAGGAGAATGCAAGTGACGCGGAAGCGACGGCCAGGGAGGATAGCAACGAATCCCGGAACACAGCCAGCCAGTCACCTAGCGAGTAAGTCAACGTCCTCAGCTCTAGCTTTGTCGTGAACTGGTACGAGGTGATTTTGGCTTTTTTTAAATGGTTGTAAAATGTTGTGTTTCAGCAACCCCATGGAAGCTCCTCCCAATCAATTACGGCAAGTAGAAATGCTATCCTTCATGCCAGTTGTATCCGAAAATGGAGATGATTCCACGTTGGAAAGTGCCTTGAATCGTGTCCTACTTTCATAGTATTCTAAGTGTTCAAATAATTGGTGTGTCATTTTTAACAAATGTGTAAAGTGGCATCACAAACTGGGATATCAAGTCATCAATGTTCTGAAGTTGATAGGTATCACTTCAATGATTGCCAGTAGATGAAAATTAGCTTGTCACCCACATTGTATACTGTGAAAGCTGTGGATTTGAATTTGTACCTAGTGGCTGTATCACACTGTGGAATTGGATAGGTAGTATAGCACAGGGTCAGCAGTGGGGTTTGTTCATTCTCACAGAGTGTATCCATTATCTACTGCTCTTAATATTGTCTCTAGTGATGGAACGACGGCCTCGCCTTGTCCAAAGGCCCCGCAGAAGCAATTGACTGCCCCGCCCGTCCCTTCAGGGGCTGATTTTACCGATATTACACACAAGTGTGAAATTTGTAAGGCACGCATGCTTGCCGACGCGGTAGCGGGGAGAAGGAAATTAAATGTACCAAAGTTTCTCGTCCGCAATGATGATCCACGATAAACTGGCTGTTTCTTTCCACCGCTTATGTTTCGATACAGCCATCCAGAGCAATGAAACAGCCAGAAGAAAAGCAAACTTTACACATTTGTTAAAAAATGACGAATGTTTTAAAGCAAAAGCCTAATATGATCTCGTGTTCACTGTTATTTATATCCTAGTGAAGTGGTTGAATGAGGCTCTGAGCCTCTTTGCTGCTTGAGCAGATAGGCTATGAAACCCTGCTGCAAGCGCCGCTCCAAGTGTCTCTTTCTTCAGCTTTGTCGAGTTCATGTAACATGTTCAAGTTTAGTTAGTACGTGCTTCATACGTGCAGGTCTGCAAGTCCTGTTTCAAGTCTATTTGATCTATGGGGCAATTCCAGCCTCCCGATTGGTTCACTGGACTCCGAAGTTCCCTGGTTTCATAGTCATGCGTGGGACTGAGGAGCTTGCAGTCACAGCTCCTGTGTCTCGGTAGACTACTAGTATTCCCCTGTTTTATGATTTGTGGTTGTGACCTGAATTTTCCATCCGATCAACCTCGGCTACTGATAATTTGAATGCTGTGAAGCCGCAAGCTGTATGCTTTTCAAAGTGACGCCATTGCATGACAGGTGTTACATGGTACCTGAAACTGCATTTGCTAGCGTGACTGTTCTGTTTGTGATCACATCCTTCGGTCAACATCTTTCCGTCCAGTGCTACGCTCCGATTGTACGCGTGACGCTTGTTCTGCTCAAATCAGGCTTAGTCTTTGGCAACAGGCACGGACAACCTATACCAACCTGGATAATCACGTAGTGTTGGGATATCATAACAAGTCACAATATTATCAACGCATAATGGGAGTGTGGGTCTGCGTGTGCATGTGTGTGTCCCAGCCAGTGCATGCCGGAGTATGTGGTGTGATGTGTGTGCGGGAAAAAATGAAAAAAGACCAAAAAGTAGTGATTCACTGACCAGAAAAGCCACTTCATAGCTGTGTGGTGTAGACCGGGCTGAATAGTGGTGGTCAATTCCTCAGGCTTGCAAGCTGTCGAATGGTGCAATCCCGGCACAAGCTGCTATGGCTTCTGCTGTGGCATCGGTATCATCGCCTCTGGCGATGGGCGTCAACTTAATTATGGTGTGTATGTGCGTGCGTGTGTGCGCATTTATGTATGTACATGGTGTCTGTGTGTGAGGGGGGGGGGGGGGAGGGGATAGGAGACAGGTTTATTGATCAGGTGCACCAGGCATATATAATGTACTCTAATCTTGCAAGTGCGGAGCGGAGTGTATAATATGTATAATATTGGATGGTGTCGGCGGAACTGGCAGTGCATGGTGCACGACTGATTGCGGTATTGACCATGTTACACAAGAGGCGGCTTTCCCAGTGTTTGGATATTATACATTAAGAACAAGACGGGTTAGATTAAGAACAAGATGGGTTAGATTAAGAACAAGACGGGTTAGATTCAAGGTAGTAGCAAGAGTGTATGAGCGGCTCCAATTCAAAACGAGATAAATCCATTTTGTGGGAACTTCAGGAAGTGCATTTTTTCATATTTTTTCGGTCTGCACTGCAGCATCGCGCTTTGCAGAGGAACGCAAACTTCAGGCATCATTTTTTTTGGGGGGGGGGGTTATAATTATACTCTTGGTAGTAGAGCACACGGTGCAATGAAACTTGGCTGTACTACAAGTACATGTAATCAGGAATGCTGTCTCTCACAGTGCGCTTGGATAAGCTTCGCGCTTCTAACCCTCGGACTTGTGTGCACGTGTGCGTGCATGTCTGGGTTGGGTGCGTGTTTGTTTGTATGTTTGCGTGTGTATGTGTGTATGTGTGTGTGTGTGTACATTATGGATTTGCACATTCTCCAGGGATGAGCACAAGCATAATGCTGAGGAGCACTACGACTCTAGCCAAAGGCCCAGTAGAGCACAGTCGGCATCGGAGTCTGATCGTACAAAGTCGCGCGAAAGTGACGTGTCCGCATCCAGGGCCAGTCCGGTCAAAAAGTGGACCCGACCCAGATCCAAAAAGTCGCAGGGGTCTAGTTCTGGCTCCAGCACGTCCAGACAGAGCAGATCAAGCCGAAACACAGGTCACTCATCGTCCAGCGCAGACCTGTCATCCGGTTCGGAGTCCAGCAGCGACGGTGCCGACTTTGTGTCCGACGCGGAGAAGAAAGTGGAGAAGACACCGACGCCAAGGTCCACTCCTGCGTCAGAAACGCCGCCAAAGTCAACACCACCGCGCCTTTCACCGTCCGCTAGCACAGACAAGGATGGTCGTCATAACAGCTCTCGTGCGGCTCAGGGAAGCGACCCCGGAGCATCCGACTCGTCACCGCAAGCCACACCCGCTCCCAGTGATGCAGAAAGCGATAAGGAAAAACAAACAGATTCAGACGCAGACGCAGCATCTGCCGGCAGTCGTGATACAAGTGGCAAGCAACGACAACGCACAAGCCGTGCTTCTCGGGAAAGTCAACACAAAGAATCGGCCTCAGAGAGCCAGAGTGCCTCTCCCCGCCACGCAAGTGATGCATCATCACAAGCCAAGGAGCACAGCCACAGCAGTAGTGAGAGTAACAGCAGGCGTGCCAGCAATGCATCACGAACAAGCCAGCATAGCGCTAGTTCGCACTCATCAGCTGGCGATACCCAAGATACGAATACTGCTACAGCTGATGATGGACAAGAAGCAAACGAAGATGCTGCAGCCAGCAATACTAGTAATGAGGTGGGTACTGATGTAGACAAACCTGGCAAACAACACCAGCAGGAAGCAGAGGAGGCAGTAGAGAAAACCTCCAGAAAAGCCGAGGATTCTGCCACCGAAAAAGCGCCGCCCTCTGCTGCTCCAGAAGAGGATCTTGGCCCTGCAGACAGTCTTCACACTCACAGTCCTGGTGCTGGGACTGAAGCTGAAGCAACGCCTGAAGATGCTGACAATGCCTCAGGACAACAGGCTGGTACTGGTGAACACGCGCTAGATGAGAACAATACTGCGGCTTCTGTTGATCAGGAACATGGGGATAGCGATGCTAAGCCTGACAAAGACGCAGCCAGTAAGACACACCCAACGAAGGATGATGGCGATGATAGCACCAGCAAAGACACTCCAAACAACAGTTCTCCAGCTATCGAAGGCACAACAAACACAGTTGAGGAAAGCCAAACCAAAGTGGATACTGAACAAGCTGCAGCAGACACGTCAGACAAGGTTTCTTCTGAGGACGGGGCCGCAAAGTCAGCACCAGCTAGTGAGGAGGTGACAAAACCGGCAGGAGAGGACTTGCAAGCGTCCGAATCAGCAGTCGGTGAGCTTCACAATTTTGGCACCAAGGGTAAGTCTTGATTTGACTCAGTGTTTAGTGGGTGCAGTGTTGCAACTACTGCACTATTCAAGTTTGGCCAGAGGTCAGTGTGTAAACCATGTAATGTACCACTTAGCAGGGATGGTTGCAAACTGTCAACTCATACATGATATGCTGCACCGTGCCATGTGCCAAAATATCACTTGGTGACCTATTGTGACGCTGATACTAGCTCCAGCTATTCACTGCTTTGCCAAAGACACCATGCCCCGAACCACTCGAGTTCACACCTTCCTGCAATTCATACTGAGCTGCAATGTTGCACTGGAAACCACCTAACGTGTCTGGCTTGGTTTGGATGCTACGCACTGTTAATCCACTTGAGCTAGGTCGGTGCTAGCCATGGTACTAAGCCTTCCTGATGCTGTTGAAAGTCGCGCCAAACGTGTCATCGTACGCACTGTCTCACCTTCCATTGCACTTAACAGCCTAGGCCCCTGCAATGCTTTCTTTTGCTAGCTTCTATTCAATAAAGTCACTCGTGCAGAACAGTTCTGCTCTTTTCCAGTAAATTTCCTGACAAAACGGTGTAGCACAGTGAGCTGGCTAGCCAGCCTGGAAGGGTCCGTGTATCCTGTAGTTTCTGCACCAGGCTGCACCACGAACGGGTCACACAGCGTGTCTGTGTGCATGCGTGTAGTAAATGCGGTCGGAATGGTCCACTCCACTTTGGAACTTTGCATGCATAGCATACCCGTTGTTTACTTAGCTGCATTAAGTCAGGTCAGGAAAAGTACATCCCCCCCCCCCCCCCCCCCCCCCCCTGCTCCGTGCTTACGCGCTTGCATAAGTAATTAGTTAGCGGATCTCGTAGGATTTTTTGAAGATCAGCCGGCACATTGCATAAGAGCAGGTTTCTCTTGCAAACTACCTGTATTTGGCGTATTCCCTTGCGCAGATGAGGACGAGGATGACCTATTCGACACGACCAGCGTTGGTAGCGGGTCACACGGCCGCACGCTGCATCGCGAGAAGTCAGTGCATCTTGACGACATGGCAGTGGGTGCACGTCCCAGCCGCTCGCAGTCCACACTGCCCTCGGCCTCGCTAGTCGAGGACAACGTGCTAAACCTACTCAATGTGCAGTTCACTGATGAACAGGTGAGCTGAGGTGGAGACAAGCCGAAAGCATGGGTAGAGACTGCAACATCAACAACAGAGCTTAGGGTACTGTGATTGCTTGTATGGTCTGGGGTCTGCCTCTGGAAACTTGCCCCGTGGAGAGATGTGTGGCAAGAGAGATTGTAGTGCATGACACTGCGTGTAGGACTCGAGTAGACTGTTCCTTTGTTTCTCTTGTTCTCGACATTAGTCCAAGGAAGTGTGCACAGCCCTGGAGCACAGCAAGGATGTGAAAAGTGTGACCTTCCGTAACACCGCTATGAGTGATGAGCACCTACAACAGGTGATGCCAGGCCTCGCCAGCGTCGCACCGTCATTAACTGTAAGCAAGCGCTGACAGCAGCCTGTAGTTACTATAGTTACTGTAGTTACTGCAGTTACTGTAGTTACTATAGTAAAAGTTTTTAGAAAAAGTAAATTATCGTGTCCGTTCCCGAAGGGAACTCACGACGGCCGCTAACACCCGATAAACCCTAGCGGCAGATGCAGCGCCTAACGGTGGGGGTGAGTGGATAAGTCTCACAACCACTGGCACAAGTGCCGAAAACGACCCCATTAGCTGCATCCATGTACCCCTTGTGCCTGGCCACAAGTTCCCAGTTGACTGTGGGTAGCAGCACGGCTGGAAAAACCGCTCCCAGGCAGGACTTGAACCAGGTACCTCTCGTATCTCAATCATGGTCTTTGACCAACCCACTGTGCCTGCCTGTTACTATATAGTTACTATAGTTACGCGAACTTAAATTAAACTCTCAAAATAGAAATGAAAAAACGTAAAATTTAATGTTTGGCACCTATGAAGTCAGGGGATGGCCCACGCCTGGTAAAAAAACAATGAGGAGTTAAATACAAAGAAAACGAGCTGAAAATACAAAAGTAAATGAAGCTCATTATCATGGGAACACCATTACCAAAGAAGTTACTATAGTTACTCAATCTGCGGACAGAACTGTTTCGTCCTTACTGTACTGTTACTGTAGTTACTATAGTTACTGTAGACGGCAACGTCTGTAGGGCCTTCCCTATCAAAATAATAAATTCTACTACTACTACTACTACTGTTGGTGCCACGCCAAACTCAATAGGATGTGTAGGTACATTCAACCCCAGGGGAGTATATATTTTACTACTTCCTTAATTCAAACCTGTCTACTAGAGTATCCTATGACTGAAGACAGGTGTCACGGTCTTCCACGGTGTGCAGGGTTGCTAAAGCCGGTGACAGGATTCATTGCATGCTATGGTACTGCACTTCACGTTTTAATAGTTGCATGTGACAGATCGGCATGTTCATGATTGCATATGTTGTAAAATCAGTGAGTAGTACAATACCGGTATTGTACTACTCACTGCTTGTAATCAGGCCAAGGAGCAGGAGCCAGTATAGAACCCTGTGCCAATGCTGTGTGCACACTCTCTTTTTGAACCGGGTTTGTAGGAAACTTTGCTTGAAGTTTAGCATATGGCAGAAGGCAAGAGGGCAGGGGGGGGGGAGGGTGCTCAGAAGCTCTTACAGTCCTTGCTTTCTTACTATATGTTGTAGCGAAAGGCAGGCCTGTGCTAAGCTGCACCCAAGGCCACCTCAGCGGCCATGTCAATGTGCTGTACTGTACTGTGCTGTTCCTGTTGCTGCTGCAATGCAGACTCTGAATCTTAACCTGAACAAGATTGGCGAGTGCGGTGCGGACTGCGTCAGTCAGGTGATTGCCTCGGCGCCAAACCTGAAAACTCTGCTGTGAGTCAGTGTGCCGCCATTGGCTGTGCATGCGTATACTATACCGACGTGAACATAGAGAGACCCGCGAGAGACCCGCGATATCCCAACCCTGTGTACATAGAGAGACCCGCGCGGGCCCGGGATATCCCAACCCTGTGTACATGTATTACAAGATACTGTAAGACATGTTATTATAACGAGTCGCAAAATTAGCGATTGTCCAAAATTCATAGGTTAACGAGAAGATTTAACGATCCTGCAGTATTCCGCCAGTATCCAAACACAACATATATGAAGCCATACGGCCTAAATGGATCTTATTATAACGAAGAGATGTCATCCGTTAAACGTTAGATTTACTTCCTCGTTAAATATACATGTCTTACAGTAGCCTGAACTGAGTAACTTTTCTTCTTCAGAAGCTCTGTGTCTTTTCAGTGACGTGATGACTGGCTTGGGAGCATGCAGTGTTATGAAAATAATAAGCCTGAGGATTATTATTAGAGAAACCTTCACTAGTTTGAGGGAAAGACACAATCGGGAAAGGTCTGAAGAAAAAATTGACTGTCACCACCAGGACTCGAACCAGGGACCCTCGCTTGTAGCTAGCGATGCTCTAACCACTGAGCTATGGTGTAGAAACCCATTATCAATTACCAATTTTAAGTTCTGAGACTGATATGGCGGTGTGTGTGTGTGTGTGTGTGTGTGTGTGTGTGTGTGTGTGTGTGTGTGTGTCACGGTGTGTGTATATATATGTGTGTGTGGTGAATGTGCAGGCTGCATGGAAATCCCATAGGTGACAAGGCCATGAACAAGCTAGTAGATGTACTACTGGGAGTGTCATCAGGCAGCAGTGCACCGCAGGCATCCCCTGCTTCAGAACACGAAACAGAGGACAGGAAAACAACTAGCGGTGGTGACAATGCTACCGAGGAAATGCCTGAAAAGGCAGAGACCACTGGGCAAGATGCTGAGGGAACAACCAAACCGGCCGAAGTCAGTGAAAACGTGACCCAGGGTGCATCTGAGGATGTGGTTAGCACAGCAGACACTGGCAAAGTCACCAGTACCACTGAGCAGAGTGACACCAAAGATGAGAAGACCTCTGTGCCGGCGGAAGACACACCTGCGAACGGTGACACCACTGCCAATACAACCAAGCCAAATGACACCGGCGACAGTCATGATAACGGCGATGAAACTGCGGTGGAGAGTTCCAAGAGTGATCCACAGCAGGATGAGAGTGCAGTTGCCACTGAGGATCAGCCGGATGCTGCCGCTGCCGTTGCCAGTGCCAATGATGATACTATACCCGGTGAAGGAAGCGCCAAGGAGGCCCCTACACAGGAGACTGAACCGGCTGACATATCGACGGAGGCTGCATCGCAAGATCAGGCCGGTAATGAAGCCACTGCTCCAGCTGCTCAGCCGCTAGCAAGCACGGACGAGCCAGTAGTGGATATGAATGCAGTAGAAGCGACACAGGACGCGCCCCCAGAGAACCAACCAGTTGCATCGGTTGACACAGGAGATGCAGCTGGCATTCAGTTGTCTGAGACGGATAAGCAAGAGCCCGCGCCAAGCAAGGAGGACAATAGCACTGGCCATGGTGAGGATGGCATAGCCGAGGTGGCGACTGACAAGGAGACTAGCGCTAGTCAACAACAAGCTGATGTTGTAGAACCAGAGGACTCCACTACTGGAACATCCCCCTCAGCACAAGCACCACCTCCACCACCGACATCACCACCAGCACAAGCACCACCTCCACCACCGACATCACCACCAGCACAAGCACCACCTCCACCACCAACAGCAGAAGCAGCAGCAGCAGAAGAGGGCACATCCGAGTCAGCGGCAGCTGAAGGTATGACACTAAAAGCACATACTGTATAAGTACAAATTTCGTTCACGAAATCTTTCATTAGATCACTCCACCAGCAGGTTCTTTATGCAATAAATTTCGTTTTTGGTCGGTCTGCCACCCCGAACGTTGGGAAAAAACTTTAGTTATTTCGTGCCCCCTAACGAACATAGCGAAAGTTAATTCCAAACGAAACTTTGTACTCATACAGTAGTAACGAGTGTTTTTCAGACATGAGTGCATGACTGCTGGATCAGTTACTTCACACGCTGCACTGACAACAGCAATGCCTAGAGCCTGAGGGGATCAAGTTAATGTAGTATGGCTTGCATGGAGGTGTCCTATCTTCAGTTAACCTGACTGCTGCATGGACAATAAGTACTGCGAATAGTGATCATGCATCCTGGTTTGAGTAGCTCACTTGGCTAATTGAAAGGCTGCCGACCTGGGCCACGTTATGTTGCTAGTACATGCACAACCCCAGTCACAGAGCACAAGTTGGTTGAGTTTGGCCGTCAGGAGGCTAGCGCAAAGTATCCGGGGCGCGGGTCTGATTCCAGCGAGGGGCAATGTGGTAGATCTACCCCACAGCACAAGGGCAGCGTGATACCCTACGCAGCACAAGGGTAGCTTGATACCCTACGCCTACGTGCACGCTGCATGAGTAGCGTGATACTCGCCGAGCGCTTTTGCTGTTGCCTAGCAACGCGTTTCTGTCTTTCCTGGGCCCCCAAATGCATGTTGGGTGGCCCTTCGCATGACTGCACGTTGTCATAGCAACCTTTGAAATCTCAAGCCGGTTACCAACAAGCTAGGAATCAGACCAAGCCGCCGAATGCCCCCGCCAGCCACCGGCGCTTCATTGCAATGGAATGAATAATTTGTCAAGAATAGTGAGCTAGGACAGATCAAAATACACTGTACATGATTGTACATGTAGCTTGGGGTACCATCATGCTGAGGGCACTCATTGTGACACATAGGGTAGTGTAGAGCGATAATAAATTCCAGGAGGCGTGGGTGGGAGGGAGAAATTGCAAAACAGTTGGATGCACGCAGCAGCACAGCTAGCAAGAGAAAGAAGCCATGGATGGGTTTGTTCCTGTTTTTGATGGCTGTGGCCATCCGTTGGCCCAACGGTCCCGTGTGAGTACGGCGTTTGTTTGTGCTGCCAGCTCGGGCCCGGTGCGCGAGTGAAACCGAACTTTGAAAAAGGCTTTCGCTCTTTAGTGCTATTGACTGGCTTTTCATACAATGCCTATTGATGTCTAGAGACATGCTGTCTAGCCTTCCGCTGGCACGCATTCACGGGGCTTTGTTTGAAGTTCGTACCGTGAACTGCCAAAGGGAATTGTTTGAATGGTGCTGGGGCGAGTGCGACATTACGGCGTCCCTGCAGCCGGCCTAATCGCGTTTGTCGCCACAACCGATTTTGTGGCCAAATAAACCCCACACACGAGTCAAAATTAGCGCTGCTTTTCTATTCCAATTACATCATGCATGCTCTAAAAACCCATCCGAGGGCCGCATGAGTCTTGACGCTGCTTTCGGTACTTGGGTCGGATTTCTTTGTCCACCACTGTACAATCTCACCGAATGTCATTCATTGTCCTTTTAATTTGCCTGGGTGTGTGCGTGTAACCTCTACACACAGATCAACAGCCGCAGCAGCAGCTACAGCAGACAGCAAGCACTGCAGTACATGCGCCCGCCGTCCAGGAGCTGGACCTAGGTGACTGTAACCTGAGCGACGAGAGTGCGCCAGCAATTGCTCGCCTGCTTACACAGTCGGACGCACTCACCGATCTGAACCTGAGTGGCAACTGCTTCTCGTCAGATGCAATGGCCAGCATTGGTGATGCACTGGGAAAAAGCAGCGCTTTGAAAGAGCTGTCACTTGATTATTGTGGGGTAGGTGCAGCTAGTAGCCATGTTGATATTAGAGAGGTTCCGCACTACGTAAAGTTAAGCAACTTTACGTTAGTGGGCGGGGAAACCCCGTGAATTCGCGAGTTTGCACTCCACTTACGGAAAGTTGTCTACGTAGAGTACGTAGATAGGGCTCTGATAACGTAGCTGGTCCGTAAGTGGATAGGGTACAAATTTATGACTCTCTCCCCAGGTCGATCTGGTCGTACACTGCCGCGTTTGGAGTTGCCAAGGGCAGCTACGTGATTTGAAAACTCTGTATGGCGGAACACAGATGCACATGCAGTTTACGTAAGACTTTCCGTAGATCGACTACGTTTTTTACTAACGTAATTACGTTATGTGGAACCTCTCTATTGTGGGGTAGGTGCAGCTATTGTAGCGATGTTGCGTGGGGATAGTAGTTCACAGACAGTTCCATCACCTGATGATTTTATGGTAAAAAGCCCCCCCCCCCCCCCCCCCCGGGAGGATGTATCCAGTGTGCTGACAGTGCTCAACACCGCGGAGGCAGAGCGTAATACAGAACAGAACAACAAGGACAATCAAGGCTTGTTTGCTGCTACTTCAAGTTTCATGCTCTCGCAATCATCAGGCAACATGAAGATTGGTTGCCGACCATGACCATGCGAGAGCATGAAACTTGAAGTAGCAGCAAACAAGCCTTGATTGTCCTTGTTGTTCTGTTCTGCATGGTAAAAAGCCTACAGCATACTGCAGTTTGTGAAAGTGATTCTTGCCACTCGTGGCTGTGACTATCACAGGCCCCAAACCAGGGGCGTCAACGGGTAGTAGGGTACCCGTGCTATCCGTAATTAGATTGGGTAGTAAGGTAGCAATTTGCTCCTGAGAACCTGATCGGGCAGTTGGAGTATGGTGTTTTCGCAACGGTGCATGTAAAAAGCACGGCAATGTGCTCACTGTACACTTTCTATCCGTAACTATGGCAAAATACCCGATAGGGTACCCGTGCTACCCGGACACAAATACCCGAACTCGTTACCCGACCAAACCCCTAAGGGCGCATTCACACGCACGGAAAAACCGGATATGGGTACAGCTTGCCTGGCGTGAAAAGTGTTTCGGTGCGTTCAGATGTACTTCGTAAAAAGCGTGCAAATCCCCGAAGGCGCTCTTTTCGCCATGCCAACCAAGGCAGCCAGGCGCCGGCGCGGCAAAAATTTCAAATCAAAGTCCTCATCAACTGGAGCTCCAGTCTTCGTCTTCGTCCTGAAGGTCTTATAGATTTTCTTTCCTTTGCGCTTCAAGCTGTCAATCTTCGTCTCGATTTTTGCACCAGTGTCCTCAGTCCAGCCTTCAGCTACAACGGTCTCGTTGATCCGCTTCGCTATCGCTGGGTACTTCTCTTGAGCCGTCAATGTAGAACCTGAAGCGCCTATAAATATCTGGCACACAAGAGGGAATACCGGAATTCAATTTAGTATTTCGTCAACCAAATAATATTGCTCCAAAATATCTCAATACTGCTTTTCATAACTGCTGTGGTAATAATAATTAACATCTTCAATACCAACAAAATTCCTCTCTTTAAAACGTAGTGCGTGGATTTGCATCCATCTGCCACCATTTTACTGGATTATTCTCAAAACGGAGTCGACAATGCCCTTTATTCTGTGCCTGCATCCTCTGTTTAATCTGAGAATGCTGTCATGTGCCCCTTAGCAGGTACGTCTTGTTATTGTATTTCTATTTCTGTTGTCGTTGCTCTTTTATTTCCATGCCGCACCGAATGCTCGGTGCTCATTTCCCAAGTCCATTTAGCACGTGCGAATTTGTGGGCGGTTTATCACCGCTGACATTGACGCGTAAGTGCATGATAATAATAATAATATTTCGTCATCCATCTCCTCGATTTGTGCTGCATGCAAACGACGTACGTACCTCCACATAGCTCTTCATCACGGCTCGCTCCATCTCGTTGTTGAACACGGTTTTCGGCATGATGGTTCTTCGACACAAACACTTTCAACCTCACCAGCACTTTGTCATGACAACTTTCCCAACTGCCGTGTTTTATCCGTGCGTGTGAATGCGCCCTTACCGTCGCAGCCCTACCCCAAGCATTGGATAGGATTCATTGCACATCAGCAAAAATGTTGGGGTCGATTTTGTACCCTCATGAATCAGTGATGATGATTTAACCTTGAAATTTGAGCAAATCTAGAGAACGGCCACCCACTAGAGGGGCAAGCCCTAACTCGGGATACAAGCCCTAACTCGGGATACTTAACCCAACGACGTGGTATACACAACGTATTCAATTCAACGCACCCAGATGAATTCAGCATAATTATCCAATGCACGATGTAGAGGTTCACATTCCGCATACGTTCGGCAAGGTTGGGCAAAATAAAGTGCAACAGATGACCACAACTGTAAAATTTGCAATGGTCTACATCTTAGCTTTAATAAATAAATGATAGCAAAAGGAAACTGGGCTAGAGAAAAGGAGCAAGTGAGATAAAAGTGGAATACTAAACACACTGAAGAAAAGCCTTGCACATCAAATTTTGTTTGCATTTTGCTTGGTTTGTGAATAGATTGGAGACGAGGGCATGCAGTCCCTAGCTGCTGGTCTGTCACAGAACACGTCACTGACAACGCTGGACCTGGAGAGCACGGGGCTAAGCGACGAGGGCGTTAATCACCTACTCAACGCACTACTGCACAACAGCACACTAAACGTCATCAACCTCAGCAGGAACTCCATATCAGCTGACTGCTGGCAACGAGTCAAGCGCACGCTGGCCAAGCGAACGCGTAGAAACTCAATGAGCTACTAACCTTGCACACATCTGCTCTTCTTCCGCTCTCCCAGGCTAGAATTAAAATGTATGTACACAACTAATTTGGGATGTTTTATCATGGTCACCGTACGGGTTATACCCAGCCGTGTGAGTTGTGTAGAATTTTAAATGTTACTCCTACAGGCAAAGTTTTTTTCCCAGATGTACTTACAGACTGTGTTCCGTCTCTCTATTGTCCAAGTATTGCAGAAGTCTTGGGTATTCGGTTAGCTATCTGCGCTTCCCCAATATTGCTGCTGCTGCTGCTGCTGCTGCTATGTACCATTGCTGATCTTAAGCATTCGCATTAGTGTTGAGATACGCGACGGGCTCGTGTCACGGGATGCTGATACGTGCGCCGGGGGCTTACTGCGACGATTGTGTCCGGGAGTAGCGTTCAGACAGGCAACTGGGTTCGACTGGCTCTTCGGAACATTCTTGTCATTTGCGGACGAGTCTGAACTGAACATTCGGCCCAAGCCCATCCGCGCCATAGGGCCCCGTCGCGGTGCCGTCTGCCCTTGAAAACTTGATGGTAGGTCTCCACAGCTGTCCAACGAATCTTCATCGTCGGACGCCCGGCGCCGTTTCGGTGCACTGTCTACACGCCGCGCTGTCCCCTTTCGCTGGACCGTGGCCCGGAAAGTAATGTCGGACGCACTCCGCGACTTCTTCACCATCGGGTGCGATTCCTCTTCCTGCGTTGGAGACTTGAGCCGCATGGTGCCCTTGCGCTCGCAGGTTTTGCGAAACTTCATGCTATCTTCTGGTTCTAGAAGAGCGTCATCAAAACTGCCAGTTCCACTGCATGAAGACACAGTCAGAACGAAGAGGAGGCTAGTCATTACCTATGCGTTAAGCCATGTGTTATGAGGTTATGGGAAGTGGGTGGAATGATGCATGCTCAACCTAAGATTACAGGTAGTGAAAGGCAGTACCACGAACTCTCTTGTGCTGACCATCAACCATTTTCTACGAAAAATCCAGAGATGTGTGGAAAACCGATTGCCAAAGCGTGTTACTACCCGTTTCTGCCAAGAATTTTCAGATTTTCCTCTCCTGCTGAATTTTCCGGCTTGTTTCTCCTTCTACAAGCGGAAACGACGAGAGTTCAGCCATCAGCAAGCCAAGAAGAATAAAACACTTGCTGAACTCTGATTGGCTGAGGGCAGTTGACCAATCATTTCAGGTGTGAAGTTCAGAGCCAGGATAGGCTATAGAAATTTTAGATTTTCTTCTTGCCACGCAAGGCTTTGTCAGCTAGTTTTTCAAGTCAGTGTGGATGCATCCGCAGTGGAAACATACGAGGCTAAGTGAGGCCAAATTGCAGTACACGCGAGTGCATCCCGCCCACACTCACATACACCCACCCACACTTGTACCGCAGTGGAAACACACGAGGCTAAGTGAGGCCAAATTGCAGTACACATGAGTGCATCCCGCTCACACTCACATACACCCACCCACACTTGTACCGCAGTGGAAACATACGAGGCTAAGTGAGGCCAAATTTTAGATTTTCTTCTTGCCCAAAAGGCTTTGTCAGCTAGTTTTTCAAGTCAGTGTGGATGCATCCGCAGTGGAAACATACGAGGCTAAATGAAGCCAAATTGCAGTACACGCGAGTGCATACCGCCCACACACTTGTACCGCAGGGGAAACACACGAGGCTAAGTGAGGCCAAATTGCAATACCCGTGAGTGCATCCCGCCCACACTCACATACACCCACCCACACTTGTACCGCAGTGGAAACACACGAGGCTAAGTGAGGCCAAATTGCAATACCCGTGAGTGCATCCCGCCCACACTCACATACACCCACCCACACTTGTACTGCAGTGGAAACACACGAGGCTAAGTGAGGCCAAATTGCAATACCCGTGAGTGCATCCCGCCCACACTCACATACACCCACCCACACTTGTACCGCAGTGGAAACACACGAGGCTAAGTGAGGCCAAATTGCAATACCCGTGAGTGCATCCCGCCCACACTCACATACACCCACCCACACTTGTACCGCAGTTGAAACATACGAGGCTAAGTGAGGCCAAATTGCAATACCCGTGAGTGCATCCCGCCCACACTCACATACACTCACCCACACTTGTACTGCAGTGGAAACATACGAGGCTAAGTGAGGCCAAATTGCAATACCTGTGAGTGCATCCCGCCCACACTCACATACACCCACCCACACTTGTACTGCAGTGGAAACATACGAGGCTAAGTGAGGCCAAATTGCAATACCCGTGAGTGCATCCTGCCCACACTCACATACACCCACCCACACTTGTACTGCAGTGGAAACACACGAGGCTAAGTGAGGCCAAATTGCAATACCCGTGAGTGCATCCCGCCCACACTCACATACACCCACCCACACTTGTACCGCAGTGGAAACACACGAGGCTAAGTGAGGCCAAATTGCAATACCCGTGAGTGCATCCCGCCCACACTCACATACACCCACCCACACTTGTACCGCAGTGGAAACACACGAGGCTAAGTGAGGCCAAATTGCAATACCCGTGAGTGCATCCCGCCCACACTCACATACACCCACCCACACTTGTGGGAAACAGTGGAAACATACGAGGCTAAGTGAGGCCAAATTGAGTACACGTGAGTGCATCCCGCCCACACCTGTACTTGCTCACAGTCAGAAAATGGCCACGTGAGTCTCACGGGAGAGGGAAGAGAGAATCAAAAGGAATCATGGAAAGATGACTCGATTGGCTACAGTCAACTCAGCGAGTAACGACAATTTGCGAGTAATGGCAGAATTTCCATGACATACCACTAATGCTACTATACAATATATGGATTCACATACTTCAAGTACATTAAAATGGGACATCGAAAGTTAGGAAACTTTGCCAGTAACATTAAGGACGTTTAGCAACGCGAAAGTTCGAAAGAAAATTCGAGTCTGGGAATGAGTACAGAAAAAAAGCTCGAAACTTCGAAAACTTGGAAGCGAAGTTGCAGTGATTTGCGAAAGTAACTTTCTCTTTTCTCGGTACGCATTTGACTACAGGGAGCAGTAATTTTACAGCCCCCTGCTTGAGACTGAGCTGCATATACGGTACGGTACTATAAGATTCAAATTACTTCGAGAAAAAGTCATTTCGCATTGCTAAACCTCACAAGTTTTCTTTTTCGGAATAGATTTTCGCGAAACATCATCACCACCAAAAGCGCGAATTTTCGCATTGCTAAACGTCCTTATTAACAACATTATTCTGGTGCCCGGCCTGGTGTGGTTACTCGCGGAGTTGACTGTATTGAATCGCCCAACGGCCGACGCCCCCTGAAATCGCCAAACTCTGGGTGGACTTGGACAATGATCCCACTTATGGGCTCACCACACCTCTGTAAGTGGGTGAGGACAGTAGAGGATGAGGTACAGAACGGATTTACAGCATCAGGGTATCCGTCCCGGGATCCAACTCACTCACTCACACACACACCTCAGACATGCCCATGGCGGAAGCGATGATAGCGAAAAGCTATGTTAGACATATCAATTTGTGTTGGGATTACACCATTCAACAGCTTATAAGGCTGATGAATTGACCGCCACTATTTTCTAGCCTGGTATCCACCACACAGCTGATTGAAGTGGCTTTTTCTGGCCAGTGAATCCCTCTTTTTCATTTTTCATTTTTTTAATTATTATTTTTTTCACACACACACACACACACACACGCTCACACACACACACACACACACACACACACACACACACACACACACACACACACACACACACACACACACACACTCACTCACACGCTTGTTGCTCACTGCCAAAACTGGTCACGTGGGTCTCCCCGGGAGAGGGGAGAGAGACTTAAAAGGAATCTTGGAAAGATGACTCAATTGGTCATTGAACCGCCCAACGGCCGACACCCCCTGAAATCCCCAAAACTCTGGGTGGACTTGAAAATGATCCCACTAAGGCCCCGGTCACACATGCACTTTTTTGGCGGTTCCGCCAAAGCGTAACTTACGCTTCCGCCGTTGCCTCGGCAACGGCGGAGGCGTAAGTAACGCTTTGGCGGAAAGTTTGGATTTCGCTACGCCAAAAAAATGCGAGCTGAGCTTTCGCGGATCCGCTTTGGCGGAACCTGCATGGTGATGGCTTGGAGTTCGGTGTGCTACTTCTGCACTGAGTTCTGGTGTTGTTTGGTTGCCGTTTGGTATTCAGTTTTCATATTGTTCTTCTTTGCCAATGAACTGTGCGTTCTGGAGATCTCGCAAACAATACTGCATCGTTATGAGTGGATAATGGGTGAGGGAATCCGTCTCCCAACTCATTGGCCACGATCGCGGACGATCTCCAACTCTCTCCTTCTCTCTCCAAGCAATACGTCCACCAGAGTATGCAACACTAGGACTGCAACCAGGGAGTAGTAGAATACTCTGCCACACCCTCACTGCAACTGCAGGCATCCACGCAGTCGCTGGGTTGATGATGGATCATGGAGGAGGCAACGACACCCTGCTATAAAACTATTTGAATTTGATATTGATATAAACTAAACTAATATTCAAATATACCCGTGCTGGGCCGCAGTGAATGTGCCCCAAATCCACGAGTGTACTTGACAGGAGACATTCAGCAGCCTGTCAGCGATCCACGATAGCTCTACTTGTACAAGCGAAGGTCGCTTCAACTTGGACAAGAACATCTAAAATAATTTCATAGGACGTGCTGCATTTGCATTCTCTCCGCCAAAGCGGAGCGTTGAGGAGCACAGTAGTCTACATGTATGTGTGACCGTTGCATCGTGTGGTCCGCCAAAGCGGCTGCGGTAGTTTCGCTTTCCGCCTCCGCAAAAGCGGTGCAAGCTTTTCATGTGTGACCGCGGCCTTATGGGCTCACCACACCTCAGTGAGTGGGTGAGGACAAGGTGCAGAAAAAGGATTGACGGCATCAGGGTATCCGTCCTGGGATCCAACTGCAGGTACCCCTGCCCCCAGTGAAGGTAATACTTGCTACTAGTGTGGGTGGCTAAATCAGAGTGGATCTGATATAAGCTTCACTAGCACCATTGATTACACAAGAGTTAATCTAGCCAGACGCAGTCCATGGTTAACAGGTACCGTATTATCTCTAATATAAGCTAGTGCTGAAACGATTACGTTTTTTCCTTAGTGGCTCAGCTGATACCATAACGATCGGCTTATCGGCTAAACGATTATTATTGTAACTACATCAGTACGTGTACATTCTGTGAATTTCAAAAAAATTACGAGTCTAACATCGCCAACGACGGAAAGCGGGCGCGTAGATCCGATGATCCCACAACAAGTCCGTCAGCTGCTCGGACTGACCAGACGAACACAGACAAGACAGAGGCAACGCACTGGTTGCAACCCAAGAGCTGATGGTGCCCTTCGCCTGTGACTTCGCTGACTTTGACGATGAAGTCAGAGAAGCCGGCCAGTGGTGCAGATCGGCGGATTTCGATGGATGAGCCGACTTGAGGTGCGCCAACAAGTATCTACTTAGTACTAGTAGTTGCTTTTCCTGTCTATGCTCAAAAGAGGCCCAGACGCCAGGCCTAGCTCGTCGTCGAGCAAACTGGTTCGGGAACCGTCGACAGAACGGAAAACACGAAACTGAAGACCATGTACCACTTGTCTTTACTGTCTTTAGCGCAAGACTAGTACTATACTCGCACGTAGAGGGAACTCTAGCCCCTACAGCTAGCTAGTGTAGACACATACTGAGCCTGCCAGTCCTGCATGCTGTATGTAAGAAACGTACTAGTAGTCAGTTCAAAAGACGGCGACGGTGATCGCGTCGATGTGTCTCAGATCGCGCTTGTACTTTTACACATACATCGATGTTGCAAGTGTGCAGTCATTTACATATTCGTGCTGTACTCGCAACACTTTCGATGCATGCAGGCTTTGTGCAACCCCAAAAGGGGGGAAATCCCGTACCGAGCGTAAGTACCATTCTACTCGTTCAGCTGATAAAATCGAAATAACCGTTCGATCTATTTCTTATCGAGTAAGTAACGAGTAATCGATATAATCGTTTCAGCACTAATATAAGCACAGTCTCCAATAATAGCACGTCTCCAATAATAGAACACCTTGGGGCGGCATTCAAAAAATAAAGTGCTCAGTCTCCATTACAAGCACACTGTGTAAATTCATTATCTGTACCGGCGAAAAAACCCTGAAATGTGTGTGCATGGCAACATGCCTCTGAAATGAGGTTGAAATAATAATGGAACAGTCTCCAATAAATGAACGTCTCCATTAATAGCACGGGGCGGAGGTACATTGAAAAAATAGAGGACCGTGCTTATATTCGAGATAATACGGTATGTATACTTCAAATAGAAAGTATATGAGCCCTGGAACCAACAAAGGGGGCAGATACACAATACACCTTCAAGCAGCCGAGCCTGTTGGCAACAGACCCAACACTATCTGGCATACGTGTACCCACCAACCGGACTAGCTGGCACTCACACACACATGCACACACATACACACTCACACCATACACACACACACGCGCGCGCGCGCACACACACCACACACGCACGTACGTACGTACGTACGAACGTGCAGCACTTACCGAGGCCTGTGCTTGCGTCCAGTTGGCTGTCGCTTGATGTTAGCCACCTTGGAGGTGACACCATCCAGGCCAAGACTAATGGACTTGGACAAACTAAACTGGACTCGAGAAAGCTTCTTGGCCATTGAACTCTGATGATTATTGTAGGAAACCTTGCCAAGACCATCTTCATCACCATTAGCCTTATAAAACCACAGAGGAAAAGTGAGAAGAACAACAATAATACTCAGCACCAGGCCATCAAAGGTCTGAAGCAAACACCTGCAACGTTCTCTAAAAACAAAACAGGCCAGCTGATCAGCAACGATTATCGGAGGGTTGTGGGGATGCATGCAGTTCTATACAGGAGTCACTGAGCAGTGTTCGATGAATCACACCTGCCGGATGCGACACAATCAACAGTGATACGACTAGCGCCAACAGTGCACAGCCTTGGTTCATGTGCTGCTGAGTGCCGTGTGTGCATGTGAGAAACGGCATGCGTGACGTGACACTGGCGAGAACATGTGAGTGTCATGGTGACATGACGTCACAGTGCGTCGGCACCCTTCAGTGCTACTACTAGCACTAGTCTTAGGAAGGTACACAGGATGGCTGGTGCCTTTTCTCAAAGTGTTTACTGTACATAGGTACATGCAATGCGAGGCTGATCGTTTGCTACAGACGTTACGCAACTACATCATCAGCTAAGTTAAGATGCTTTGGCAAAGTCGCAGCACAGCAATGCACTGGCGACGCACGCTGTACATAGCGCCCACAACACATACATGTAAGCGGTTCCGCTGACTCACACTGCGTACTTAGCGCCCACAAGCGGTTCCGCTGACTCACACTGCGTACTTACCGCCCACAAGCGGTTCCGCTGAGTCACACTGCATACTTAGCACCCACAAGCGGTTCCGCCGAGTCACACTGCGTACTTAGCGCCCACAAGCGGTTCCACTGACTCCCCACCATGACACACTAGTAATTCACATCACCTCTCCTGGTCAGGTGTGTAGAGACTGATTGCAGGCATTGAGGCAGCACACTTCACAGCTGATCTATATCGATCTGTTTGGTGATCATGAGCTACGCGCAGGATGTCCTGTCATTCTTCACCACTACACTACACTGCACCGAGGAGGTTACATAGCACAGCGCTAGTAGTATAATATCTACGCCTGTGTTCCCATAAGAGTTGCCAACCTGGTACGTACATGTACTCTGAGTGGCACTCACACGTTGCTGGACCCAGGTTCGACCAGTGTTAACTTTTCGACTCGGCACCTCGGTGGAGGGTTTAAAGGGGCACTCCGGGAATATTTTCGGCGGTGTGTTCTCTTCATGGGGGCCTTATATGGCCCCCAAGGAATGGGGAATCGCGAAAACTAGACCCAAAAAGTCGATATACGAAGCTAGGGAGGGCCAAGTTTGTCTCCTCTTTTGATGGTTTTGATGACGTCACGTGTGATTAGTATTCAAATTCTCTGCATTTGAAAGGTATGCATAGAGGATAACCATCAACTGGCGAGGGGGGGGGGGGGGGGCACTTGCCCCACATTGAGCAGGTACATTGAGCTCTATATCTAGTACATTCGTGAGTACGACCATGCACAGTTCATGACCTTTATGCAAGGCCGCCTGCTGTGTGGTTGGACTTGGCCCGCATTACCCATTACCTATCGGTGCAAAACGATGCATACGTGCCCCATTAGGGTTGACAAAATTAATGTACCTGCCAAACAAGTCGCGCGACCCAACAGGATCCCATATATGGAATGTTGCTGCCATAATAGCACTTTCCACGTGCTCTTTACTTATTAGTATCAGTCATGTAAACACAGCCGATTTCTTCAAACCACTCTGGGTTTCAACCTGGGTTGAAAGCTGCAATGTAAACACAGCCTAAGATCTAGAGACCTGCTACCCTGTCCCGGGGCAGAATTGCGATTTCATGGATGAAAAATTTCCCCACGTTTGACTATTTCTGCAAGCGTTCCACAGTTATTGAAGTTTGGATTGCATGAAAGCATCGCAAGTACTTGTTAGCATGTACACATTGATCAAGCTTATGCAGACTCCTGAACTACCACTGCGCGGAGTATGCACCATACTTGAGTACTGGCCATAAAGAGTAAGCGAGGAGCAATCGGCATGACTGCCTCATCCCTAGTGCACTGCAGCCAGCATCGGCCCTTATGCAGATACACCATCCAGTATGTTTCACACCTTGGACCACCAGCTCTCAGCAATCAACAGCAGGCACGTTCAAAATTCTTGGCTATGGCGCAGATGTACACGAAGTCAAGTCACCAACGCATGCAGCAGCAATAGATGGCTTGATGATGGGCACTTCCCACTTACGAGGAACTCAGACAGAATACTGCAACATAGAATTCTCACTGCTGTCATCTGCAACTCCGGTCTATAGCACGATTCACAATACCACTTTCCACGAAGCGATGCGCAACATGCGACAGGCTGTGACCTCAACACACGATTCACAATTGTTTAGCTTCTGTGACATCTAAATGCAGTATATAGTACATGCACGTGCAGTGTCTGCTCCAGAGCCGGGTGAGCCGGGTAATCGACTCGGTTGGGCGGCACTTGGACCCGGTTGAAAATATAGTACCGGGTCACCTGTGACCCGGTTGGTACTTTAGACGTTCGAACTTTGAAAGGACACTACATGGCTTGTATGTGTGACAGATCATGCAGAGGCGCGCGTCGAATACATGTGTACCCGGCTCCGACCTGATTGAAATGGTTGCGCCAGGTACACGTGTACCCGGCTGTCCTACAATCCTAGAGCAGACACTGACGTGTACTACACATGCTCCCGGCCTAGTAAACTGTACTGCATAGATGTACAGTTGTGCTCGGTGATATTGGAGTTGCATACCCTGGGGCGCTGTGTACTCCTGGTGCAACTCTCTGGTGATCACTTTGCACTGTATGCCAGCGTAACCATGTCCCGTGGTGCGATGTGAAACTCTGCTATTGCAGCACTGGATATAGATTATAATATAGCACAGGTAGTTGCTCACTCATGGGGCCACGTACTGTAGGTGCTGCTACTCAAAGGGGCGACAAAACCGTGACCACAGCCATGCATTGGAAGGAACATCGATAGCACAAACCAGCATGACTGATCATTACCTAGGCGTGATACGTTTGTTTGACGATACATTGAACGGTAAGAACATAACAGAATTTTTTTACGCTCAGCTGCGGGTCCAATGGGATAAATTGAGCGACAAACTCTGGTGTTATCATCATGTCCTATCATTATTCTCAGGATTTCGGAAGCATCATCTGATCATGGTGTGATGTCGGGAAGACAAGTACTGTTATTGGGAGAAGGGCTGATGTGCTCGCAGCGTGGCAAGAACGGAGACCTCAGAACAGTTCACTGGGAACTGTTCAAAGTCATGACAAACCTTCTCTTTGCACTGTGCACTGTTGTGCTGGCTTGTGCGCAAGAGCTCTCTACCTTCCAAGTATCGAGGACTGTGACTCCTCTCAGTGCGTACAAGTATAATTTTAATAATTATCGAAATGTGTTCTTCAGTACTTACCGCTTCATCCGCAAATTTGGCGACAACCTTCTTCCTTATCTTCTTCACTTGTGTACAATCCGACATGACCCTGCCTCGAATAGTCAGGGAAGGTACAGTCGGAGCCTTAGTCTTAGAGTTAGACAGTGATTCAGCGTCTGAACTGGACTTCGTAAAGCCCTTGAGTTCCACATTTTCGCTCACGCACTCCAGATCTGATGGATACGTAGTTTCCAACTTGGAACTAGGGAGTACACCCTGCTTGGAATTCGCCGTTGCATTTTTGGCTGTGCTCTCTACGGCCTGATCTCTGGTTTCGGTTGTTACGTGGCTCGCTTGACTAGAGATATCCGACTCCAGGATGACAGTAGTTGAGCTCACCTGGCAAGCGGACTTGTCTTCCTCGTCACTGGAATCCACGCATGCCATCACTGGCGAGACAGCTCCAAATCTACCAAATATCTATCCAACAATAAGAAATTCACACCACTGTGATCTACGTGAGGACGCTCAGGCAGGACCTGACTCCTGAGTTACAACTGCACTACTCTACTGCTAACTACTTGCAACAAAGAATGACGCTGGGGAAGAAAAACATTTTTTCCTGTTTGCAAACGAAGCTGTCTTTTTGAGTTTGGTGGTTTTCGGGAGCAGGCTTTTCTGCAGTCTTCACTGACTTCAGTCTGCATGGGAGCCCACACATGAATCATGGATGCCGTATATGGTGTTGTTTGGGTACGATTTGCGACCTGACATGGCACTTGGCAGCTACAAGCTCAGGTGTACGAGTAGGTTTGCGGCAGGGAGTAGTAGTATAATTATACTCTTGGTACTACTCGCTGGTTTGCGGTTTTCAATGTAACACGCTTACTGACACCGCGCCGGTGAAATAGGAGCTTTTCAAATGTAGGACTTGTTGTTATTTTACTACTCCCTGGTTTAATTCAGATTAGTCTTCAAAGGCAAAAAAAGCGTCGTCGTCATCTTCGTATTTTGTACTTCGGACCACAGCATGCTCAGCAACCTGAGCAAGCTTATGTCATAATGGTTAAGATTCTAGGACGGTCGGTGAGCAACAAAACTAAACTGCATGCACCGACTTACAGCACAAGTAAGTAACTACATGTAGTTACAAGACATTTACAGTGATACTCGTCAACAATGGTCAGGTCTGCAGTAGTTCTACTGCACTGAAAACTGAAACTGAAAAGTTCCAGATGAGTGTGAACTTTGCACCGAGATCACTTCATAGACAGGCTCACCCATAATGATATCGGACGGAAGAACATGCAAGAGTCAAGAGCGACATGCTTGTTACGGAAACAATTGGAAGGAGCCAGAGATACAAGGCATCAAGATTGGGCAAGATATACCGGTACTACCGACAGGCAAGAAATTCCATTTTATTGTAGTTTTGTGGGGTTTCGACAAAGGCACTGAGGAAGAACGATTATGCTAAACATGCATAAAACAACACATGCACAACCCACCGTAGTTAGATAACTCCAACAACCATAGGCAATTGAATTCAGCACACAAAATTGAAACAGCACAAATTTTAGCTTTGGTGGCGTATTCGATACGACGATGAGTTCAGAAAATCAAGCTATACAGCGAAAAATTTGGTAGCATTGGAATCTCGGTAAAACGAGGTTACATTTGGTAAAGATAAATTTAATATACGGTCTGTGTGTGAGATCCAAAGATCAAAGGAAGTATTTACGTTTCGAGAAGTTAGTAGTTGCTTGAGATGAGGTAGTCGGCGAGCTGTTCGACGACCTTTGTGCATGCACCTGGGGTGATTCCAGCACCAGAGTAGACGGCGATGATGATGGACTGTCCAGTCTTCACGACCGTGCAGCCGGAGTCGGATCCCTTCTTTCCGTAAATTGATCGACCGGCTTCGCAGCGGAGGAAAGTGTACTTGACACCGCCAATCTTGATACCAGTAGAGTAGAGGCCGGAGGGATCACCAGAGATGGAGCTGATCAGGGTCTTGGCCTCAGCGGCGCTGATGTCGATGCCAGTCTTGGCCCAAACGGAGCCATCCAAACCGCAGATAGCAGCGCTGGTTACGCTTCCAGAGCCGATGAGGGTCTGGTCGACATACACTTGCCAAGACATGATTGAAAAATAACGAAGAGGAACTGGACAGACTTCACTACAACAACTTGGTTGGACTGAATGTCAACTGCAGGGAAATGTTCGGAGCTTGACTGCTTTTTGCACCAAGCACAAATAATTTCAGTACGCTCGACCAATCAGCGATCAGCTAGTGAACCATTATTGGTGTGCGCACACGTAACTTACCGCAATGCGCATTTTCTTGAAGAAAGTCCACTTGACAACAGAACAATCTTTGCTGGTCGATCCCCAGTTTCCCCTCCATGCTCCAGAGCTCCTGCGTCCTTCTTCTATTCATCCTGTGCTCCCCGCGGTTACTTTGAATGTGTACTTTGCGCGTCCCTTGGCCAAAACTTTGGACTGGTGGGAAGCTCTTCTTATAACCAACTGTGGTGTCACTTTGGCTTCATATCCCCCCCCCCCTTCATCATGATAACTGCTGATAGCTGCCAAGGCTTCAATTCGGTCTGCAACCGCATACCCCCGGCCATTACTCAACACCAGCAAGTTCCGCAGCCCTCCGTCCCGGCATGAGACCACCATCCTCAATCAGCTGCTCACTGGCCACTGCAGCCTGCTGAACAAGTACTTGTTCCAGATTGAGTCGGCACCTTCACCCGATTGCACTCACTGTCCTGGAACAGTTGATGATGCTGCCCACCTCCTGCTAGCTTGCCCTGCCAGACACAGCAGTCGAGCAGGTACACGTCTATGTACCTTCACGTCAGTCAGGGAGGCAATTCTCACACAACCATCAGAAGCTATCCAGTTCTTGCAACTGGAGAAACTGATCTAAGTTTCTACTACATGTACACTGTACTCTCACAGTCATTTTCATATTTATTATGACTTGTAGTTACCGAAGAAGAAGAAGAAGATCATGATAACCACCTGATAACGCATCAACGCTACATTCTTTCATTGCATTTTCACTGCACTGTTTCTTCTTCTTCCAGTCAGTGTCCCGATCCAATGGACTTTGTTCCTGTTTAATTCGTACGAACCACTTAGAGAAGTTAGTCTTATAGAGAAGAAAGCTTATCCTCAGCATAAGACTAAATTGGCCATTTGGGTCGCTGAGTAAATCGCATTTGGCCTTGGTTTGAAAGCTTTCAACCTTTATAATAATATTATTGTAACTCGTGTCCGATTTATTCTTGCTGAGGTCATTGCACGAATGCAGAAGCAATGCCATCATATAACCAAGAGCATAATTATCTCTTAATTTGCTAAATCCTATATATAGGATTTTGGTCATATTTTTCAACTCAAAATGGGTGTGGCATGAGAATAGCAAAAAGTATGTGACCAATTTTTCCTTGCTAGGTTTTAGTAGATATCGAGAGTTGAATAAGATAATTTTTTCAAACACTAACATCTCAGGCGCATCTCCTTGCCCAATATTACTAAGGCCTGTGCCCTATTTTTCGAATCCTATATATAGGATTTGAGATTTTATTGGACCTTGTTTTATCCTTAAAACTGGTAGTTTCATGACGGCATGTGCAATATGTCGTCATGAAACCACCCCGTGCCACACCTGCAATGTTCTTCTGCACATTCACTGCTTCAGTCCTTTCCATGACAGCAGCTGAACAATTATGCTCAAATTTCCAATTATTGCTAAACATGGGTATTCATCAGAAATATTATCGCCCTATGAATCTAAAATGTAAACATTCATGCCTCAACACATATCTACAACTCCATGAAAACCATTATGTCGTTATTATTGGTCGTGATGACCAATAACAACGGCATACATGTAAAAGGCACACATTTTCAAATTCTATATATAGGATTTTCGGCCAGCAAATTAAGAGATAGCTTATTGATAAACAGGCCGAAAGCTGCTGGTTACCCTTTGAGAACAAGTATAAACCTTATTAATTTTACTCTTGGTATTACTCTGGATAATCACCATGATCACAATCATGCCTCATGGTCTACGCCAAGCTATTTACAGTACATGTAGAGTCGTGCGCCCCAGAACGTTGTTTCCAAGGTGCTAGCCTGGGACGTTCTAATTTTGTTCAGCAATCTGGTTGCGTTCTTATAACACGTCCTTACAATCCGTCCTGACTGTATAGCAACACTAATCCACCACTCCCTCTTGTCTACACTGTGCGGACTGACGCGCACAAACACAACACGAATACAATAGTTCTAGATAGAAGTCTCTAAATCAAATTCAATTGCACCTATCGACAGAATTTGATGGATGTAACAAAAACAAAGCATACAGCAAATTAGGACAGGAACGCATAATGGCTATAATTGAAAAAAAAAAAAGAACATGCGCAAAGACAACAACACAGTTACACTGGTGACAAAAGCAGTGACAAGCAACATAAAGCATTCTGGTGACGAACAAAAATCTGTAGTATTAAGACAATAGACATCAAGCTCCCTTTTCCGCATTTGAAAAGCAAAGTAAATCCCGAATGGCATACCAGCAGGGTAAAAGCAACGAATAGAAACAAGAGCAAATACTGTGTGTGACAAACAAGAGCATGAAACCTGTGAGCGTGCAAGAAATCGCCACACTGCGTATTCTGAAAATGTTTCACTAATCAAATAAACTAAAAAGTAAGAAATAGCAAAGGCTGGATGCAAGCAGACGGACGAGAAAAGAGACGAGCAACACATTGTATATATACAGCCAACTATCCATTCCCATTGACCAGGTAAAACTGAGGAGTCCCTCTTTCAGGGAGAGGGTGGTATGGGTTGGCGATCGACAGGACACTGCACATACGCCAGTGATGTACACAGCTAGAGGAACAAACAGATATGCAACGACTGGCCAAATGCAGCGTAATGTTGTTGGCAGGGACAGCTGGCCCTCCTGGGACACTGCTGCTGTCATGTTAGTCAATAAACCTAGAGAGGACTCTTGCACAAAGCAGGGGTCGACTTGCGAGAAAAAAAAAAGCAAAGAAACAACGGGGGAAGGATGAATAAAAGACGTTGATGAGCAGAACAATGGAAACAATGCTAAAGGTCACGATGCTATTGCGACTCTGAGGAGACATGAAGAGGACAAACCGGCGCTGGTCCATTCCAGAAGTGGTTGAGCAGTCTAGAACTGTGTGAGCAAGAGATTGCACACGCTGGCTGACACCGTATCCCGTGATGCTCGCACTGTCAGCCGGTACATCTGAAAGAGAGTGAACAACACCAAAGAAAACGTTCTACTTCGAAGTACATGAAACACGAGAATATCCAGTGACAAGCACGACCCGACTAACAGTCATCAAGCACTTGTGCAAGCTTCATTGCATAATGTAGGACAATAGGATCTCTACATGCTGGATGCATGTCTATCCTTCCTCCTTCTCTTTTTCTTTATTCCTTTTCTTCCTGTGGTTGGCTATCACCCCTCTCTCGCACTTTGTGTACCAATTGGTCATGGATCACAAGTTGAGTGAAAAAAATGAAAAAAAAATAGTCCATGGTCTGTTTTATTGAGCAGAAACAAGGCAAGTGGGAGAAATTCTTGAGGCTGTCCTCCGCCAGCATGAACTAGAATTCTCACGCACAAACTGACTCCTGCCACCAGTATTGCACTCCATAATAGGCTCAAGCGTGATGTATGATACCACTTTCTGCAGTACGATGTGCGGCTTGTGATGACACACGATTCACGTTGGCTTCCGTAACATCTACATTGCATACGCAGTGCAACGTAAATGTACCGTAAAGTACCGTTGATCCGCCCCCTCTCGATTTTCTACTCGTGAAGCGACTTCGGCGTATACAAAGAAATACGATGTTGAACCGACGCATGCACTGCTGTACACAATACGTGCCAATCCAGGATGAAAATGTGCACAATTCAGCGCATCGAGTCTGATCCTCCACGTTGTTGTACATCGTACTGCACTTGACAGCCTTGATCTAATTCCTGCCCCCTGCCGAAAACCTAGCTGGGAAGCAACATGGCGTGGGGGAGAATCAACGGCATGTGTAGCCAGTGCAAAGTAAATATGTGTGCAGCCAGTGCAAACAATAAACTGTACCCCACTGGCGCGAGTCAAACTTTGCACAAGTTGAACTTTGGACAGCTTCTGCGGCAGTGGTCCTGCGACTGCAAGCGACTGCATGCGTTAGCATTGGACAAGCATTTTCTTGTAAGTGTAGGACATCGCATCGCAGAAAGTAATGTCGAGAATTGTGTTTCAGTCGCCTTGCAGTATTTGCAAGGTACCAGCACAGTCGCTAGACGTGACTATTGCACCATCAAACAAAGACAAGCCTGGGCTACTAAACACAGGGGTACTATGCAGCAATGCATACCTGTGCTTGCGAGTTTGGCTCAAGACGAACCAATACACCAACTTGAGCGGAGGTCGTGTGCACAATGCCGGCTGACACAAAGTTTTCTGGATTGGGGTCAACGCCATCGATTGCCCCGACACCAAGACCAACCAGCTGCAGATACAACAAAGCACACAAAAGCATCCAAGTTATAAAGTCTCCTTTCTTAGAAACTTCAAGAATTACAATAAAAAAAGTATAAAGTTGAAACCATTCCAATACACATGATAGGAAGAAAAAAATACGGTTCACATGAGTTGGCCAGTCTTACTTATCCACATCTGTAAGAGCACTAAGGATCAAGACACATTCCGGAAAGCTCTGGTAAATTCTGACGGCCTACAACGTTGTCCAGAAAACCTTCCCAAGATATGACAGCAACAATTCCACTACAGTCAGACCTCGCCTATCCTGTCTTCTTTTATCCGGATCCCTTGCCATCCGGAAGAAAATAGCTGGTTACAGATTTACAACATACGCGATGCATCCAACATAACCGGTGTCCGGTTAGCCGATTCCCTCGCCTATCCGGATATTTTTTTGTGGAAAATGTGTGCGGTTAGGCGAGGTCTGACTGTAATACCACGTCACAGGGCTATTGGGCAGCATTCAAAGGGTCCTAAACCAACAACTCACCTTAGATTTAGTGGCCTCGCTATCAATGGGGAAGGCAGCCTTGAAAATCTTCTGGTTCTCCTGGCCAGGACTGTAGCATACACAGAAAACACAAGTAGACATAAGCTGTTGCAGTCTACACAGAAGTACATGTCAGAGAATAGATGCACTGCAATGTCAAAAGTACAAGAAACCATCAGAACTTTCTCAGGGGTTGTATACACCAGTGTATTGCAGACAACAGAAGATGCATTCTCACAATTTCTTCCGGTAATGCTGGCGTAACATTAAACACACATGCCTTTAATGCGGTCTGGCTAGTTCAGCTAAGGTCACGCAAAATTATTCGTTCTTTCGAGCCACTTCAATCATGAGCAACAGGGTCGTATATTTGTGGCAAGCAATGGAGGCGTGCACGCAAAGCTTCACAATTGATCTGCAGACAACCCGTGACTATCAGTGTAAAACACAATCGCGAAGGGGGTGGATAACGGCTGCATTGACCTACAGAAAAACCTAAGATCGTACTGTCGCGGACATGGAAATCCAGTCGATTGACCGGGGCCGGCGCCCTCAGGGCGTGCAGAACGTTATGCACATGTTGATCTGATGCGACCAGTGCGCTGCAGCGCATATACATGAATATGTACATGTAATGCACGTGTGTACTGCTTACCCACGGCTGCATGGCCAGCGCACTGGGGCCGCTAGACGTGCGACCGGATTTCCATGTCCACTACAGTACTACGAGTAAGATTCAACTATGGATGGATCTCAATCACACTGTTCATATTGGTGACTGCAGGGCAAACCCAATGTATGCACAGGCCAATTTACCATGCTATGAGTTTTGCCCATGAGCTACAGTACTAGTACCTTCTAACTGAAATTTCGTACACGTGGCATTGATTGAAATCCATCTATAACCCATTTATACTACAGCGCCTTACTTTGACAGAGCCTTCCACCGTGTGAAGAAATCACTGGACGACATTTGAGTGGATTCGAAGAAGCGGGTGATGTGCACAGGCAGAAGGAGGGTGAGTTGCTCTTGAACTCCATTCGCCCTGCAGACATAAACAGGATGTTGCAAGATATCAGCCACACACGCACACGCACGGATAGTCCGTGGGGTTTTCAGGGGAAAACTTTTAACCCTTTAAGAGCCGCCCCATACTTGAATGCGTCGTAAACGACGCATTCAAATGCAAAACTTCAAAAGATCGTAACTCAGTCCTATCTCGCTCAAATCTAGTGATCGAAATATCCAGGGCGAAGAGAAAACTCTCACCTGTCGGCAAAAACAATCCGCGAAGCGCTGCAAGAAACGGTTCCTGAGATAAATCACTCGTAAGTTGAGCCGCGATCGCGGCAATTTCAAAAGCGCGCAGTGCGACTTTACTATTGAGAATTTTGAGACTTTTCGTCACGCTGGTTTACTCGAATTTGCACGGGTTTCACTGTTGATATTGTCAAGAGTACACAGCAAAAAAATTGGAACTCCACGATCGAGTAAAATGAAATATCTGGAGCGGGACGCAATTGGACGCATTTGGGGCATTTTTCGTACTGTCGCTGCGATCTAGCGCTGGATAGACGGTGTGCTGGCTGTCATGATCGACCTCATTCTCTTCCTCTCGCAGAGACCTTTCCAGGAAGCCCTGGATTGTGAGGATTGAGTGAGTAGAACTGAAGCTATGATCCAAGGAACACGAAAAAATGCAGAATTTTGAAATGTTCCTGTGGCTCTTAAAGGGTTAACTCTTCAAAACACGAAACAGTGACAACTAGAATGCCCCCCTTAAGGTTGACAGGCCAGAGTTCCACCTACATGTTGAAAAAGAACAGGTTTCACAAACAATAACAGCAGAAGCAGCACCATCACTGGCATCAGCAGCAAGTTTTGTTCTTTGCACTCACGTGTAGCGGATGTCCAGAAGTGGTGGTTCTGTGAAATTTTGCGCACACTCCGCATTCACCAGTTGTTGTACCTGAGCACCTATGTCCACGGTCGAGGCGGTTGGTTTTGTCTGAACTACCAGCTACATTGTGCAGAATATAAAAAAGAAGAAAACAAGGTCCAAATAAGATCCATGCATATTATTTCAGTTTTACGTTACGGGAATGCACGCTACTTCGCACACCAGCACTTGCCATTATTTAACAATCAAGCCCCGCACGCCAGAAAGCGGTGGAAAGTTAGCTGTTGTGGCAGTAGAACACACAACCCGCCACACAATCCGGTATTCGCCTAGTCTAGCCAGATCAGGGTTGTCCGGTGATATTGAACTCTATGCGTGATGGGAGCGAGCACACTTCACAGAGCAAACTGGTCACAAAGTTTATATAGCACAACCATCTGGCCTTGAGTCAGCTACACAACACAGAGCTGCAAGGTAAACGAAGCGTGCAACTAGACAATGTACTGGTAAACGCCATGAAACACGGTTGTAGCCTTTCTGCAGGGCAACTTGCCTCACACTTGACAGACACAATCAGAACCCTTTGTTGTGTTCCCTTTGTTCCGTTGGCCTAGGTACCTGCTTGCGCGCTCAGGTTTGCTATATCTAGCTCACTCACTCACTCTCTCTCTCTCTCTCTCACCTCAAGAAAAATATATTTTTAATGACCTGTACCTGGGTGGCAAGCTCTCCTGGGCAGTGTACGGTTGACACAAAGTTCTGAAGAGGTCCCGATGACTTGTTGCCAAAGAAGACGCCGATGCGGCCGAGGTTCTGTCGGTACTCAGACTTGATACCGATCTGCAGCGCTGGACTCTCAAAGAGGACGCCGCTGAGCCGAGAACAGAATCTAGAAAAGACAACACAAACGCAGAGCTAAAGAATACACTCTTTGCATACTGAAAGCACAGGGTGAAACTGTAGAAGTGCGATCTAGGCTGCACAAACAGAAAAGAAGTATATTTCAGAAAAAAGAGTGAAGTGGTCACACACACACACACACACAAAAAGGGCTGTCCGGTAACCTTGAACTCTATGCGTGATGGGAGCGAGCATACTTCACAGAGCAAACTGGCCACAGAATTTATATAGCACAACCATCTGGCCTTGAGTCAGCTACACAATAAATAAGCTGCAAGGTAAACGAAGCGTGCAACCAGAAGTACTGGCAAATACTGGCACAAGAATATAACAATTTGTAACAGGCAACAAGGTGCTGTTCGCACATAGCAAAAAATGATCCCAATCAGGAGCAAGGAGCGTCCAATGTGAAACTCTTTTCAAGCAGTGCTTGGTATGATTCCTATAGACACAGCGTTGCACATGTCATATACAACTGAAGGAGACAATGAATATGATTACATCCAGCAGCACACATGCTGCCAGACAATACTTTCAAACACTTACTTATCATAACCTTCCTGAGCACCAGGGGACAGCGCTCCTGGTCCAGCTGGAGCAGCAGGAGAACCAAAGTTGTCCGACGCTCCAAAAATGTCTACCAGTGCGTTTCCACCGCTTGGTGCTGCAGCGGGCTGGCTGGGTGCTGCGACAGGCTCAGGTTCTGATCCTCCAAGGAGATCAGCAAGAGGCTGCATAACAATGGTAAAGGGCAAAAAAGATCAAGTTACACCACATGCATTCCTCTAGCTGTCTTGAATTCTATCCTACAGAGACAGTAGTGGCAAGGCCACAAAAAAAAGAAGCAGCACCTGACATAATTTAAAGTGAAGGAAGAGTGCAAGGCGGCACTAAAAGAGTTGAGGTACGCACACTTAACACGCACAAAGAGGTACGTACCGCCGCAGCAGGCGCAGCTGCAACAGGGGCAGCCACGGGCAATGTCGTGTTGGCAGGAGTGGAAACAGGAGCAGCAACAGTCACACCTGCAGAAGACTCGGAAGCAGCAGACAGAGATACCGTGCTCTGCGTACCAGCACCGGGCCGCCGTTCCTTGCTACGGCCACCAGCCGCCTCACCCTTCTTCTTCTTCAGCTTTGCCAGAAGAGATGACTCGCGCTCTGGGAAAGGTGGCATTTCTTCCAGAACAGTAGCCTGGAAATAGAACGTGAATCAAAACATGGACAGAGAGCCAGTCACACACCAACAGTAATTGAATCATCAAAGCGCACAGCGATCTATGAACTTCCAATTCAATCGCTGTTTGCCCAAAATTACAGAATACTTCACACGCCAACACTAAAAAGCTTTGCCATGGCTTCACAATCAAGCCCCACACGCCAGGAAACGGTGGCAGTAGAACACACAGCCCGTCACACAATCTGGTATCCGCCTAGTCTAGCCAGACTAGGGATGTCCAGTGACATTGAACTCTATGCGTGATGGGAGCAAGCACACTTCACAGAGCAAACTGGTCACAAATTTTATATAGCACAACCATCTGGCCTTGAGTCAGGTACACAACATAGAGCTGCAAGGTAAACGAAGCGTGCAACTAGACAATGTACTGGTAAACGGCATGAAACATGGTTGTAGCCTACCTGCAGGGCAACTTGCCTCACACTGGACAGGCACAATCAGGTCTAGCACATTCATAAATATGGCCGTGCCCAGTTGACAATCTTTTTAATCAAGGCAGGTATCACAGTGTGTACGATTGAAGTGGACTTGCCCCTCAAAACCGATGGACGGGAGATTATGAATAGGTTCCGTCAGTGACAGGTGTGCTGGACCCCCTGCTGGGAGTATCCTGAGATCGAAACTACACGAGCTGTATTACAACGAGGTCATCCAGGCAACCAAATGAACATGTCCAGAATCACTTTAGCTTACCAGAACATCGGCTGATGCAACGTCAGCAAGCCTCTGATACTCGACTGCACGCTGCTGGATTTCAACATCAGAGCTCCGTACATTGCTGTCGCTTTGCAGTACAGTCTATAAAATCCGGAAAAAAGTAGAAAGAAGCACAACAAAAGGATCACAAAGAAGTGTGAACGGCCTATTGAGTATGTGTCAAAGCAGCAACAAAAACACCTGAGAGGAAACCAGGTATTCAAAGTGCAATCGGTACAGGTATCTTCATACAGTAGAATGCCGATTGCCCAAATGTAAACTATCCAAAGGATTGACTGTCCGAAAAACCTGTTTGCGCTGAATGGAATGGACAAAAGAAGATTTTTGGTGCTTTTCCCCACCCGAAGCACTATCGAAATGGTGCACAGGATGTATGACAACAGGCTAGAGTCAGAATGTATCCCCGCTGTGTCATTTAGAGGGGCTGTCTTCAACATGGTTCGCAGCGGTACACAAAATCAAATTTCCAGACATCCCAGACCACGTTCTTCCATGACAGATCTTTAGCAATCACAATTTTCGCACAATGCATTGTACTGCATAGGCAAGTGTAAAAGAGCTGATTTCACAATCAAGCCCCACACGCCAGAACGCGGTGGAAAGTTAGTTGTTGTGGCAGTAGAACACACAACCCGCCACACAATCTGGTATCCGCCTAGTCTAGCCAGACCAGGGCTGTCCGGTGACATTGAACTCTATGCGTGATGGGAGCGAGCACACTTCACAGAGCAAACTGGTCACAAAGTTTATATAGCACAACCATCTGGCCTTGAGTCAGCTACACAACACAGAGCTGCAAGGTAAACGAAGCGTGCAACTAGACAATGTACTGGTAAACGCCATGAAACATGGTTGTAGCCTTTCTGCAGGGCAACTAGCCTCACATTTGACAGGCACAGTCAGAACCCTTTGTAGCGTTCCCTTTGTTCCGTTGGCCTAGGTAGCTGCTTGCGCGCTCAAGTTTGCTATAGCCCTTTATCTAGCTCTCTCTCTCCGTCTCAGAAGAACTTTAATATCTGCTTCCAGTGAGAACCAAGGTGAATACTCCTCCAAGGCAAAAAGTTATAGACCAGGTACCATGTTCGCCAGTACAGCAGACTACACATTGCCTCATGAAACGAATGAAAACATATTGAAAGCATACCTTCTGGATGTGTGCCTTCATCTCGGGGAACAAGTTGACAAATTTGACGTACGTTGACAGCAAAAGGCTCCTTGTTGGGCTGGAGCACAGATGGAATTTGCTGTGCAGCAGCTCAAACTGTACCATTGGGCTGTCCACACACATGCACACACACACACACACACACACACACACACACACACACACACACACACACACACACACACAAAGAAACTGAGTTCATCACCAGGCAGACAGAAATGAAAAAGGGTCACTACACACCAAACAGGCAGACAGTGCCATACCCAAACAACCTGATCAGGACAGGAAACCGTTTCAAGGAGCAAACTCTGCACACAACAAAAGGCTATACCTGGAACGAGAATCACCAGCGATCAGGTTACCAAATTCACCCAGCACGTAACCGCCGACCTTGATCATGTTTTCATGACAAGCAGGTGCTTGCAGGGCCTGTAACACAGAACAACATTGGACATAATCGAAAGGAGAATCTTGAAAGCGATGAAATAAAGAGTATAGCTGAAACTCGAGCCAGAAGCAAATTTCTACCAAGCACAAATGACTGGAACACAGCACTGTAACAAATGTACAGTGGCCTTGTACTCAATGGGTAAAGGGCAGTGAGCCCACAAAGCAAACTGACCACGGACCTTTCTATCGCACAGCCATCTGGCCTTGGAGCAGTAACAGCATGCTATGCAATGTAAGCATAGCATTGAACTGTAAGGTAAACGAAGCTGTGCCACAGCCCAACAAAAGCACTACCAACATTCCCAATAACGATAGAACTCGTCATGCATTTTAAAGGGCAAGAAAAAAACCTACCTCAAATACAGTCTTAGCGGCGTAGCCTTGCACATCATCTCTGTTAGTGACGATCTGAATGACGCGATACCACACCTGGACATACAACACGCACATATACGAACACAAACACACATTTGAACATGCAGCCGTAGATAAAAAGTAAAAATGAGTACATTCTGCAACTGACATATTTTAGTGGATTGTCCACCACTGTAAAACGGCTAATTTTAGCGACGGTGATAGTTTAGCGATTGGAGAGTTTTTGCTAGAGTGTTCACGCGCCAATCGATGAATGTACAGTACTAGTCATCCTTCTTTTTAAAGTCTGAAGCTCGCATCGCTAAGATATTTCATCGCGAATTGGTCCAGATGAAAACGCTAAAATTTACCCGCTAAAATTAGCCGTTCTACAATAACAGTTATACGAATCTATGATCTACTCCTGCTCCATATGTGTGGCTCAGTCAAAAGTTGCTACAGCACTCCTATCTGGAAAATACAACCACACTGGTATATGCTGAACCACCAGGCTTCATCAATACTAGGCATATTACAACGTTTTCTAATCTTATTGACCACCAGCCCCAGAGAATACTGGCCAGCACGGGACACATACGAGACCAGGTGCATGCAGAGTCCATGTATTGCACCCTGCGTAAATTCATACGCGATTCTTTACGAAGACATGAAACTGCCGTCCAGCAATTTGAATTGCTTACCTCTTCACTGACGTAGTCGCCGGCCAAGCGGATCAGATTCAGAATTGTGTCGACATACCATGTGTAGTCTACTGCAAACTTCTCGGCCAGAATGGCAACCTTCAGTACCTAAGCAATCAAGACAAGAAGGTCACAACAGTTGAATTCAAACTTCAATAGACTTACAGTTACCTGTTGCATGTTCCAGGAAGTCCAACACGACAACACCAGAAAAGGGAAAGAGCAATCCTGGCAAACTTCAAAATTGTGGTATGAAATACGCAAATAATCTCCTACAGTACTACGCTGAAGATTACAAAATCCAGTAAAGAATGCACGGTGACTGTATAAAACTCTATGAAAGAGGATATGCTCTCACAAAGCGAACAAATCACAGTATTTTCTGTCTCACAGCCATCTGGCCTTGAATCAGTAACCAAGTGCCACAGGGGCATTGAACTGCAAGGTAAACGAAGGTGTGAAGCCCCACATGTATATGTATGAATTCAGAGAACAAGGTCACAATACAAGGGATGCGTCCGGTGCACATGTAAAAATAACATGCACAACTCAGACAAATAGTTCAAGAGGCGTGAAGAGAAAACTTTGAAATATTAGCATGTGGAGCAAAGTCTTACCATTTCCTCGCGAATGGAATAGTCAGCCGATTCGAGATACGTCAACATTTCAGCAACAATCCGCTCAGCATTGGTCCTGTCGCACATGGCGTACAGAAGATCCACGGCACGTTGCCGTACGCTAACGTCTCTCTCCGTCTGTAAAGCGTGACAAGTTGGTAAGAAACGAGACGAGTTAGATTGAAAGCACAGCAGTACCTTGTGTGCCTGCAAAATGAACCTACATGACAGGCAAGAAGCTGCCAGTGACACGGTGCATATCTCCATAGTTACCTAAAGCACCACATGAATTTTTCGAAGGATACAAGGACACAACCTAGTCAAACTTTGACAAACGAACACCGACGAGCAGAGGAATTAGTTGGTTTACATGAGCCTGCACCAAGCAAGCAACAAAGGTAACACCGTGCTAAATACTAGTATACATTTACCTTTAGCTGGTTGACCACTGTCTCCTGGTGCTTACGGACTGCATCATGAGAAAACTCGGACACTGCCAAGCGACTCATTGTCTCCAGAGCCAGGTACCTCAAATTTGTCTCCCTGTGCTGCAAGAACTGACCAAGCTGATTGCAGGCACGCACAAGCAAGTTTGGCTCACTGTGATTGCAGACGCCAAAGCACAATGCAGACCAAACACACACACACACACACACACACACACACACACACACACACACACACACACACACACACACACACACACCACACACACACAAGACTTCGGTTGGTTCACAATTGAACAAAACAAAAACGCTGCAGTGACACTGTATACCACAAGAAGAAAAAAGAAAGAAATGCTACGTCTCGCTGCACAACAAAACAAATGGTGGCCGATGGAATTGAAAACAAGCGAATTGTGCATACACAGTAGTTGTGTTCAGTGTGTCACGATTTGTTCTAGCTCTGACCCACCTGTCCATGTGGATAATGAGATTGATTGCTTCGAACAACACGGAGTTCTTGGCATTGCTGTGCTGAACTTTCTTGCTCTTCGGCGGGTCCTGAGCTCGGTTGAGAATGGCTTCCAGTGCTTCACACAGACGACCGCGAACACCAGGATCCTCTGCAACAGCAACCGAGAACAGAACACTCATTGCTCAGAAACGAGAATGCAGAGGTGAAGGGGGAGAGGGTATAAGACTAATAAAGAGTCTTGAATAACAGCCACTCGGGAATCAAAATCTAGCACGAGAGACAAGGAAAGGCCGTGCAATTCAACAGGAACATGCGTTGTCCTCGTCAGTTTCATTTTGTTAACATCAGTTATCTACGCACCTGGAGGAGGGTAATTCTGCAGGATTTGCAGCAGCTTGACAGACAACCATGGCGCGGGCACAAAATAGTATGTGTAGTCCTGCAACTCAGATACCGCGACACTGACAATCTGCAACACAAGAACAGGTGTTTATCACAGACACATGCACACAGGCAATGCAACACATGCACAACACACACACAAATAAACAGAGGCAAGCACGCACGCACAGACAAACACGCAACACATCTAATCACTGACACAACTAGTGCTTGCCAGTGAAATGCAACCACTGGGTCAACAAAAAGAGATGTGAGTATTTGAAGTAGAATGATGGAAGTGTGCACAGAGCTGGGTTGCACAATTGCAGGCCATCAATGGCTGCTTGACCATGGCCGGCATTGTACAAAGGAAAAAAGATACGCCGTAATGACTCAGATAGCCTTAGAAGCATGTGATAAAACACCCACAGGAAAATATATGCCTACAAACGTACCCGGCTGAGGCGGCTGACTGCGATCGAAACAATACCCTGATATGGCTCGGGGAATTTGGTTACAAGCTCATTGATGAGACTCGTCGCTGCCGTCACAACACCCTAGCACACACAAGTACACAGTCATGTCATATTCGCACACAAATCAGAAAGATAACAACAGGCTGGAAAACCAGTACAATCTGGAACACTGCAACATGTCCAGCCACATCAACAAGAATCCTGATTGAAAAAGCAAGACATTCGTAAGCAAGTGCATTTCTCAGCTACAGAGTTTTTAAAAGCCACAGCACGGAATTCAAAAACACAAAACAGATGCCCAGGGGAATAACAGAGCCAGAATCGATGCTCTTAAGAAGAGCAGAAAAACATCACATCCACCAAGAAACATTTGCAAACAATGCTTACCAGGTGCTTCTCTGTTACGAGGTGTGTGATACGGTCTGCCCATTCGCGGTGGTTGATGACCTCGGGCTTCTGCCGGACCATCCTCAACAAGCACAGAGCAGCACACTGCTTGACACCTTCGTTACTCTCACTGTATATTTCATGAGACAGAGTCAGAAAAGAAGAAGAAGAAAGCTGCCTATGACAAAACGAACAGCCACTTCAAGCAGAAACAATAATAAACTCCAAGAGAATACAGTGAAATTAGTAGAATAGACCTGCTTTTCACATCAATACAACTGCTTGAGTTCATCTAGGAACTATCTGAAAAAAATCAACCCTGGCCCAGCAAAGTGGTATAACATGCTGCCTTGCTCATACTGGTATATGTAACACCAAGAGTAGATAAACAAGAGTGTGCAACTCCGGATCTCTCCTGCACAATCTGCAGATACCCACGGCGGAATTTTTTGTTGACGTCACCTTTTTTCAGAGAAACGCGGATTTTGCCGCAGAGCAGTGTGAGAGCACGTGCTGGGCACCGACCTTGTAATGTAAAGCCCAGCCAAGTGCACGAGGGAAAACTCTCCAAAAGGCTCGCAGCGCGTGCGTCGTCGAAAAGATTACGTCAACAAAAAATTCCGCCGTGGGCCAACCCATCCGCGAGTTGCACACTCTTGTTTATCTACTCTTGGTAACACTCTATAAGACTAGGTTACATGTACATGCACACCAGTCCTTTAAGCACACCCTGGCAGGATACAAGAAGGCGTATGGTGCCACTATGGCAACGTATTGCACCTGGTCAATGCTTAAAGGGGAAGTCCGGTGAAAAATTTAAATTTCAGGGTCGGTAGAGTTTCGGGCGCTGAGTCGAATGGTGTTGGTCCCACGTGTCTCCGACAAAGCGTTCTCGAGATATTTCCGTTTGAAAAACTGAGTTTCGGGGCTGCGCCATGACGTCATGCGGCCGCGCCACACCCTCCGCAACGTCATAGCGTGCAGCTAGGTCAAAAGGAGAGTGTGAAAGCAATAGTGTCAGTGCTATTTCAAATGATTTGGCGACTGATATTAGGTGGTGCAAGCGACCCCGAACTAGACCTAACTCCTTGTGAGAGTGAGGATGCAGCCATGGCTGACCTTCATGAGTTTGGTCTGGGGCTGAGAACCTCGGTATTCAGCTGAAGAAATGGCCGCGCGGGCCGGTCAAGAGTGAGCGCTACTGAGTTTCCGACTGATGAAGAAGCAGCAGCTATTGCAGACGAGGCTGATATAATTATCAGATCGCTGGAGAGCAGGGTCGCCAAAATGGAGAAGAGTGATGCGAGTGCTCTAAATGTTGTTCCATACCGATTCGCTTAGACTCCAGTAGCCTGCCACATGGTGATGTTTTGGTGCGAACTTGGCACATTTCGGACTACTCAATTGGAGAACACTGCAGGCTTCTTGAACCACGGGCACGACTCTTCGCTCGCAACGCTATGGAATCTGAAAGTTCTAGGTCCGGGAGCTGTTCGCTGTTTTGTCACTTGTCACCGTTGTGCACTCATCGCTGTAGCATAAAATAATGAGGCGGGACTGGAGCGGTAAACTAAAATTTTCTTTCTCAAAGCACAACCACCGGCACCTACAAGGAGAAAAGCACGTTCTCTGACTACATGACTGTACGACTGATACGAGTGTAGTACATGACAAGTCTGTGTGTTGACTAGTTTTGCTGAGTCTTGCGTCTCGAGTCTTGTTGTACTTGTAGCTAGCCAGCCCAGCACGGCAGTGCGGGAGTCCTAGTAGTACAGTTCCGTGTGTGATGAGTTTGTTGACTGCACTACACTACAGCTAGCATGCGCGCAGCGCACACCAAGACTGCAAGAGCCGTAGAGGCCATTGCATGCTGACGGAAAAAGTCCAACTCGGAAACGGCCAAAATATGGTACAACCTCGAGGTTTACCGAGCTGAAAATCACAGGGTACGTAGTGTTTGTAACACTGAATCGAATGGTCTTGGTCCGAAGAAGCTGCGACAAACGGTTCCCCAATCGAACGCGCTCCGAATATGGCCATTTTGTACACGACTAGATGGTGTGGCTACCTGGCTGCACGCTGTGACGTCATCACCTGGATCTGGGTGATGCGCGCTCAAATTCGCACATGTTCGATTGGGCGTATCTGACGAACCATAGGCCGCAGCCTCCTCGGACAAAGACCATTCGACTCAGCGACCCGAACTCTACGGACTGTGAAATTTAAATTTTTCACCGGACTTCCCCTTTAACCCTTTACCATCCGTGCGTACTTGAATCGATCTCTAGAGATCGATGTACATGCATACACTAAAACATTCGTAACTCGATCGATTCTTGTCGGAATGTAAAGAACTAAATATCTAGGAAGAAGCCGAAGAACTCAGCTTTCCATTGCATCAATCGGTAAAGAGCTGCGATGTCGCATTCCAATGATATTTCGCTCGACATTTCAGCTACGGCAAAAGTCGAATTTCTTTCCGAGTGACTGACCTTGAGCGGGGATTTTCCCCTCTCCTGACATGCTGAGTCACTTTGGCATGCTTTGAGCGCGTGGGCAGCATGAAAAGGAACTCAAGCAAAAAAATTGGAATGTTTACGATGAAGGAGCGAGAAATGGCTGGCGAGGAGAGATTTTCCTCGTATATCCAGCGATGGGGTGTATTTGAAGCTCCCTGGCGCTTGATATGTGGTCTTGGTAGTGTCCTGTTTGAGCTCAATGTACGCAGCTCGTGGAGAGCTTTCCAGAATGCCCAAGATTGTGAAAATTGGTTGATTAGAACCGAAGATATTCTCAAAATGAGGTGAGAATTATTGCATTTGGGACTGCTGGGGAATTTTGGTCGGATGGTAAAGGGTTAAAACGATAGCACATGTTGTAATGAATTCGGCACACATGCATTGCCACTAAACCGATAACATGAGGCAATAATACATGCACTCAGACTTACACCTGCCGATCGCTGAGGCGATGATAGCGAACAAGCTATGTTAGACAAAGCAACTTTTTTTAATTTTTTTTAATTTCACACACACACACACACGGGCGATGGTACTCACGCGGCTGTAAGCAGGCGAGGTACTTCGCTCTGAAACGAGTCAGCCATTTCCGGGTCGGCGATGTTGGCAAGGCATTGCAGAGCAAGTGAAATAAACACTGGGTTGCGTCCAGAGAGATCATTGCGGATGCTTGGAACAACCAGCTTCATCAGGTCGGAATTTGCTCCAACAAGAACGGAGATAAATAGATAGCCCTGTCCAGAATGATGTTGCAATCAGAAAACACAAAATCAAGTGAAAGATCAGACACTATAACATGCAACATGTTAGTCTACACGTGAATCAACCTCACCAGGCATAACTTGGTATCATCTTGCCTATCCAAAGGGCACAACCCATGCGCCTTTGACAGTGGCAAGTTCAGCACGTTGTCTCACAGCCTACAACACACCAACAACATACCCCTTTAACAAAGAAATAGTTGGACGTTTAATAGGTAGCTTGCATGCCTGGGTTGCGCATCGGAGCTACGAGCAACAGTGTATAACCCAGGTCCAATACTGCCAACCAGCCATATGCAAGGGTTGATTTGATTAAACTCGACTAGCTGTTCACGACCAGCAGGTATTTTAGTTTGCTATAGTTTGCGACATCCGGAGCAAAACAGGACGTGAACATGAAGATGTCATTCATTTACACCATGGAAACAAGAATGTGAGGTGCAAGAACGCCGAGTATAGACGGAAACTTTCAAGAGCAAGCAACTCTGAGATTTGTGTCTGTAGAGATTACATTCCTGGGCCCATCGAGCCTTGCGCACACTGGGTATGTGCTAGCTTCCCAAATACACTATCATAAAGGTACTTTTTTTATCTGAAAACTCACATGCAGAGGTATACGACTTACAATTTGTTTCTCTGTATACTTCAGCGAAGAGAGCAAATTGACAGCTTCGATATGACCAAAGTCAATGTCATTTCCCAGGAGAAAGATGAAGAGGAGTTTGCAAACATACTTTTTCTTCTGATACCCATCTAGTTGTTTATCTCCTGTGACAGGTTATGACAACATACACAAAACCTCCATAAATTATTGGAATACGAATACGAATTTACTCATTCTCAAGGATATAGTCATGTAAGGATAAGTCACAATGCCAAAACACGAATGCAGGGAGGGAGGTTTATGGCAAAACCTAGACATACCCTTGAATTTCGTGCGAATATTAGCTAGTTCTTTGTTGATTCGCTTCCGCTCGGCTTCACGAGATTTGCCTGTAGTTTACAGGAGGGAACATTACGAAATTGATCACCAAGGTATTTCCTTCAAGGACGAAACGTATTCCACATAAACAGGAATCGCAGGATCAGTTCGATTTCCACAGCAATGGTCATGGAGTGTGAAGCAGTTGCTCTTACAGGCTCTGATGTCGGCGATAAACACCGACAGGCCACGCATGGCCTCTCCCTTCGGGTTAGACGGCATGGCTCCAATAAAAAAAATAAACAGCAGCCAGGAAGCTGTTCAGCAACGTAAACGGGAGGCAAGTCCCGCAGGAGTTATTCAGGCACCTAAATATGTATCCTCACAACCACCTTTCTGCAGCCACCAATCAAGGCAAAATCTACAACAACGGCGACATCAAGGTCGCTGGCATGGGAAAGGTCCAAGTCGCAGTTGTCAACGACTTGGCCGTTGCTCGAGAGCGCTCGCCTTTCTCACTCTGAGCAACAGAGGCCCCTGACCTGCATACGGCTGTTCCGTGCAGTGGAGACACATCTGGAATCTGCATGTGGCATGCTCGAGTGTGTGTGAGTGACTGAGTACATCTACGAGTGTGTGTGGTCGGGTTCGGAGCTGAACCAAGATCGTGAAGAATGTATGTAGGGGATCCGGGAGTGCATGCAATGCAGCCATGGAGGATGTGCGCATGCGTACTGGAGACATACGGATTAATGTTTTACATTCCGTAAATTTACTCCGAAGTAGACTTTTCGATTGATCCATGATCGATCCAGGAAGTACCGGTAGATCTGTTTGTTTCAAGTGGCTTCGCTCAGCTCAGCACGGCGGTGGCCGTGGAGCCTCAGTGCTGTTGTATTGGTTGTCTGCAGTCACGGTTATCAGGTTATGTGATGGGCAAGAGTGCGGCGTGGAAGACCACAGTGAAGACCACCTTCGATGAGGTGAGCTGGTGAGCGGTAGGTATTACGTATTTGCTGGCGCTTAGCGGCTAACTCAGGGCATAGCCGCTGAACATTCGGCGCAGGCAGGCTGCTCTGTTGAGGCGGCGCATTCGTTGAATCCGCAAACAGGACTCCCTCCATACCTCCATGTATGGTCACATTTATATTGGAGGAGAGGTGATCCTATCGTCTTGGGGCACCACTCAGGCCCAGGGAGACCCTACCCTACTCCCTACGGGCCTAGCGATGCCCATGTATGCGATGGACACAGTGCCAATGATCCGGGAAGCTGCCACAGCTGCCAGAAGCATACACATGACACAGTCCTGGTCCGCTCTCTAGATCTCTCCGCCGAAAGCGCCGTGACCTGGTGTGGTGATCCGTCCTCGTTGATCGAGGTACCAAGGACTAGTATGGTTATAAACTTATGATACCAACCCCTCCACATCAGTGCGGTGCTCTTTGTGAACCCGCTACGTCTCGCCCTAGCCACAGAACTGTTTGCAACAACCGGAGTGAACATCGGGACTGACGGCTATTGACATTCTGGTGCTGGCCTAGGCTCTTCCCAGTTCTGCGATTGTTATGTGTCACTGAAGGCTGATGTGTGGTGCAATGGGCTGCACACCCTAGCTCACTATGCAGCCTCCCAACCCCAGGCAGCTTATGCTGTTCTAATTCATGGTCTCCGCCACAAGTGGTCACTTCTTGCAAGGACAATGCCAGGCTTTGCCAGCCACCGCAGACCTCCTGGCACCGCTGGGAGACACAATCAGCCAAGTTTTCCTCCCTGCACTTACCAGCGGCCGCCCAGCAAGGAAGAACGTGCAATCCTGTCGCTCCCCTGCTGCCACGGTGGTTTGCGAATTCTCAACCGCCAAGGACCCTTCAAATTCCACTGAGCAGTGTGAAGCCCCGAAGTCTGTCACCAGACCTCCAGTCGCTACTAGCAGCCCCTTCGACAGGAGGAATCCATTGAGGAAGTTGTTGCTGCCTCTAAAGCAGCCACGGCGACTCTACTAACCTATGTACTGCTAATTCTCAGCAACAGGCAATGTCCCTCTCCTCCCTCAGGGATACCCTGAGGCTATGATGAAAGGTGGGTGATTGATCTGGCCGCTGGGAGAAAGATGCGGCCAGTATCTGCTCCAGAGCCGGGTCAGCGGGTTGGTGGGTTCTTGGACCCGTTGGAAAAAAATAACACCGGGTCACTTGTGTCAGTTGTGACCCGGGCCGTTTGGGAGGATACATGATAGACGTGTCGAGTACCTTGTTCTGTTCCTCAAGGGAGACTGATCTATCAGTGACAGGCTGAAGGTGTGTACCCGGCTCTGACCCGGTTGCAAGACTTGTGCCAGGTACTGGTGTACCCCGGATTGGTTTGAAATCCTAGAGCAGACACTGGTGCCCCCAGCTGGCTCACTAGTCGGCCGCCTCGCAGGTTCATGAACCACAAGGCCGGCTTCCGGGGTGCATTATGACTGCGTTACAGATGGACCCCTCCCCAGTTGCCCGTCATCTCATTGTACATGCGGAAAGCCCTTCGACACCACCCATGCCCTGTCATGTGCGATCGGAGGATTTACTGGGGTGTGCCACATTGAGGTCTGTGATCTCAAGGCTAATCTCTTGTGTGAGGTTGCGCATACTGCCAGCGTGGAACCTGAGCTGGAACCCCTGTCTGGAGAAGCACTTTCTCTCCGATCAGCCAACGCGGAGGCTCATGCTCGTCTGGATGTGGCAGCACGTGGAGTGAATGGGAGTAGGTTAGAGAGGACAATGTTTGATATTCGGGTGTTTGACCCTTTCATCCTCTCCAACTGAAACCTTACTCTCACGGCTATCTACAGAAAACACGTGCAGGAGAAGCGACGGAAGTATGAACAGCATGTCCTGGAGATGGAGCATTCCTCGTTTGTTCCAGTGATTTTTTCGACAACTGGTGGCCGGGCAAGGAAAGCTGCTTTGGCCCCCGGCTTTTTGCCAGGATCGCAAGCAAGTTAAGTGAGAAGTGCCGTGAGCTAGCTTTTCCCTGTCATGATGGTTTTTGTCCGTGCGAACATCTCCTTGTACATGCAAGGTGTTTATGTTTAGTGCCTTTACCATGATAATGAGTTCCCAGGCTCGCCGGAACCGGTCCGGTTGGTCAGGTTATCACCGGACCAACTTTTTGGCCACCAACACGTGTTTCCTCAGCATGCTGTGGAGGCATGTGTACCCGTCATATCATTCCGTAAAATGTAACAGGCCAAAAGATCACCGGACCAATCAAAAACTGCCGAGTTCCGGCGGTCCTGGTTTCATTTATTTTTTTATCAGTTTGTTAAATTGAAAATAATCAAAATATTTATGGAAACCAATGGGGCCGCACGTGACAAATTATGCACTGATTAGAGTCCACCAACTAGACCAGGTTTTTGAATAGTAAGACGTGCACAATGTAGCACCAGACTGACAAGGAATACTGAGGCATTCCATGGCATGAAAGCCTAGCTGCTAAATTGTGCACGTCTGACCAATCAAAATCTGGTTTAGTTGGTGGACTCTATCGCGTAACTTGTGCCTCACTATTTTCCATATTTTCAATTTGAGCCTTCATATTTGCGACATTTACTTCCTCATCAATATCCTGGTGATGCTCAGCGGGCGAAATACATGGAGAAAAGTACCCTGCCAACCGTGGAGTCCCACATGCAGGGATCCGTACTCCATCCACTTCTGTTCACCCTGTAAATACACACACACACACACTCTCTCTCTCGCTCTCTCTCGCTCAGCCCTTCCAACATGCTTGGCGTCTTCCACTAGCCAACTCTATAATTAATTCTGCAGATGATACGAATGTCTGTGTGTGTGTTGCATGCAGATAAGACTGATGGATAGGAGCTGATAAGCAATGAGAAAGACGTGCACTCACAGTCAGCAATTTTCTGCAATCCAGAGTCAAAGGACTCAGCAACGACTCGATGTTGATGAGCACTTCTGTCAGCAAGTCGACGCCCTCTGGAAGAAGGTCAGTGCACTTCTCTACGAACTTGTGACGCGGTCTCTTCAATGCGGATAACCACCAAAATGTCGGGCCTGGCCCATCATCAGGTTAAACTTGAACAGCAATAGAGATCTGTAATGAGTAATGAAGTCACTACAAAACATGGCAAAGCCTTGTAGAAGAAAGGTTTAAAAATTGTCCGTTTCGTTGACTTCAAACATTATGTCATGTCATGCAGCCGTTGGAGCATTATGACCATTATTTGAGGCAAATACAGGCATTCTCCTGCCAGCTCAGGTACAGAAATAGCCTCGCCACACTCCTGTGTCCTATGCCAGCTGCCTCAGTGATACGTGATAGACCTTCATCCGTCCACAGCTTCATTCCGGCTTTGATGCAATGTCAGCATTTACCATTTAGTAACGTCGCAGAATGTTACTTAAAAAAAATTGTATGTGTGTGTGTGTGTGTGTGTGTGTGTGCGCGCGCATGTGTTGGAATATGTTTGCCTACGAGTACTGTAGGGCAAGGAACTAGCAGTAGTCGCATCACCCATTGACAATAATTAGCACGTGAACTTGTGGACGTCACACATCATGACTATACAGTCATGTACCATTTGAATGCTCCGTGCTTACCTCTCATGCACACCTTTCATGTAGCACATACTGTGACATAGCCTTGTGTCAGGAAGGAACTGTCATGTCACCTATCTTGTATAATAATAATTATTATTGTACATTGCACTTGTCATACATGTAAACTGTCTATGCACACTACAATTATTATCATGCTGGCATGCACAATTCTTTGTTTACACATCTGTGACGTGCGAAATTGAGCTCTTGCATGGCGCTTGCTATAGCATCTTCTAGGACTAGGTGCTGGTCCTTGTTCCTGAACCTTCTTCTAGATTCTTGAATATTCCTTTTGTTTCGCTTGTCGGTTTGCTGACAACATCATGGCGCCTTGCTGCTCGCTATATAAGCACCAGGGAGTCGTAAAACACTTACGACTCCCTGATAAGCTGCACACTACAATCATCATGTACATGTATATCACTCTCCTCAGTATATGGGACATGTCACAGTACGACATGCACTCAGGACTTGAACTGAGTTCATAATTCACGGAGTTGGACAAGTTCAGCAAGATCTCCAATTTGAGTTCGTGAACCTGGGAAATTTGCTAAGTCTTCAAGCATAACTTGTGAACCGCTGTAGACTAGAAGTCGATAGAGTCAGCGCACTGGTTGCGGGAAACTCCGAATTGAGAATGGATATCGGAACAGTGTGTGTGTGTGTGTGTATTATGTATGTTTGTACACACAACAGGTTTCATACAGGACACTATGGTATGTGCGTTGTACAGTCTTACCCCTCCCCCACATACACAAACGCAACGCACACACAAACGCAACGCACACACAAACGCAACGCACACGCACACACACAGTCACAAGAAAGCAAGAGGATTTTAGGCAGGAAGTCTCGTGTCAAAAATCTACACGGCGGCGGTAATACAATATTGAAAACGCGATATGACTGTGAAATGGGCTAAGCATAAAAGATCACAGAGACCAGAGTAAGATAATATGCAGGGTACGTCGTAAAACATGAAAACAGACGAATGAAAGAGGAAAAACGGGGATAGAGCAAAAGCATAAAATCACCACCACTGGCACGCTATGGTACGACCCGCTTTCAGCGAAAACGAAACTTCACAACAAAAGCTGGTGGAAAGATCAAATAATGGCGTCTTTGTTGCAAGTGCATTGCACTGCATCCGCGATCAAAATTCAAGGACGTCATTTTTAATGTTTTCAACAACTTTTTACCTGGGAAGGCTCGCTTTCACTGAACGCAGCCCCCACATAATTGCAAGCAAGGCCAGTTACTCAGAGTTAGACAAGTGAACTCCAAAACATGACAAATGCAGTTCCGGAGAAAAATGATTAAAGAAAAATGGCGCTGCAAAAAAAAGGAAGATAGCTCAACTGATATCGATTCGTCATACCTAGGAACTACACATGGACAGTATTATAATCATGATTCGTGTGGTACATGGAAAGCAAGAGGAGCGGAACACTGGCAGTATTGTTTCAAGCAGAACCTTTTGCACGCAGAGCACTTTCGTATGTCATGGGAACGGTTATTGTTGTAGGCGTATAAATATGGCTGGGATGATGTTGATGATGATGATGAAGGATATATTAAATTACTAGGGACGCATGCAACAGCGATATGGTCAGCAATGATGTATTTTCAGAGAATGTGAAACTCAACTGAGGAGGCACACGGTGAATTGTATTATTCATATAAAAAGCATGAGACGGCGATCACACAGTGAGGAATGAGAAAGTTACACACACCAAAATGTGCACATGTGTTGTTGTTTTTGTTTAAAAAGAAAAAATCAAGCAGAAACCCGCGAAAAGTTTCTTTACCCTTGCGTGGACGGTGTTCGCTGCATGACTGTGACATTGATTGCTAGATTACCTCCGTTGTCTGCAAACAAAGCCGCAGTGCCTGCGTCGAAAGTCAAGCAGTCGTGCTGTGTGATTGCACTGGCAAGGCCATCCTGAATGCTCCGAGGCACTGATTCCCACAGCAAGCGCCGCGAAGAAGCCGAATTCGACAACTCGAGCTTGTAGACAAAGTGCTCAGCTTGCTGACGCGTTCCGATGATTTGCACCACGGCATAGAACATGGCCACTGGAGGAAGGTCGGGATGATCTGGTGCCGTTTTCTCCTGCTTTTCCAGAGCAAGTAGGAAATTACAGTTATAGCAGCCTGTCAAGCGAAGACATAACACAAAGGACGAAAAACCATGCGACCATGTACGCATAGCAGCACTACCATTACAAAGCCATGGGACAGTACATTCCAAGCCCACTGAAATGCCAATCTCATCATCACCATCAGCTAGACAGTGGTAACACACAACTTCTGAAGTTCGATGGAAGTGCCTAAATCATGCAATGCAGTGGATCCAAAAAAAATAACGGTTTGCGTGAGACTCGGTTAGACCGGGTTTTCCGTATCCGTATGAACGCCACCATCCTTAAGGATCAAGGTGCAGATTCAGTTCCTAAAGTCGTGGGAGGTGCAGACCCAAAGGCCCATCAACATTTCCATGTCTATTCGAATTTTCAAATGCAGGTAAATCTCCATGCGAAAGGAAAGCTGAGGATAACCCGACAGGCCCGGCGGAACCGGTCCGGTTGGTCAGGCCACGGCCGGACCAACGTTTCGACCACCAACATGTGTTTACGGCTGGTTAGGTCATGTGTAACCGCCATGTCATACACAACGTATGAAAGGCTAGGGTACGGCCGCACCAATCAAAAAACTGCTTCTGCCGGCCTGGCCGACTACAACACCGACAATACACCAGGCTAGCCTTGGGATCATGATCGTACTATGTTCGAGAATACTTCCCTTTCTACTCGTCCAGCATACACTACGCGGAACCATGACAGGCAAAAGGAGGGGTATGGCAACAACGGTCGAGCAATGCTCTAGCAAGTATGGAGCAAAACACCCGTATAAGGTTATCTTCACACCCCAGTCAATAGTACACAGGTGCAGGCGCATGTATAATGGAACAGATAACTTACTTTGAGATACCCATGTCACTGCCAAGCCTGAAACCTAGCAGAACTAGTCAGCTAGTTGGGCAATATTTAAACAAAATGATGCGATCATTGACGATCCTTTAACCAGCTGTGCATGCAGGTCTCGTTGGGCTTTAATCTCTTCGTCGGACGGTCGGCCAGTCGTGAACGATCTTCGTTAGCTGCATCCTTGATATTGAACATTGAGGTCACATGCAGCGAACACGCTGATTATATTATTATATCCAGACTTGACTTTGCCTGAGGGAAGACTTGTTGAATTGGTGTTCCATGCATAGTCGTTTTTGCGACTTTTATCGACATGTTCTCCACAGGTGTTGCGACGGCGATCCACTCAATCCACACAAGAAGTCTTACGACCGTACAGAATCGAATTTGCACGCACCCGGCGAGGCACTGCCTGCACACAAGTTTGGGTTGCGGCTTTGTCTCCCGGTTTTCAGTACTCCTTGTGTCAACTGGTCAAAACCCGGCCAGGACATCACTGCCTCACAGTTTGCTGCACTGAAGTTGCATGACATACAGAATGCATAAATTATATAGATAATTTTAGCGCCCACCCGCGGAGAGAAAGAAATGATCATAGTTTAAGACGCATGGCATGGGCAGGAGATGGCCGGTCTCTACAGAGAGAAGGTCACCTATTGCATAGGTCGGTCTAGGGAAATTTCACCGCACTAACCTTGCATCATCACCCAGTCGACAGCTCCTCTCAGGTTGACGTCCGTGGCTAGAAACACAATGTCCTCGCCTTGCAGCGTGGTGATGGTTTTGTGAGCTTGGAACAGATGCTGGAGAACACCGTCAAGATTTCCTTGCCTACAGAGGGAAACAATGCAGAGTGAACAACAGGAACACGGCATACAGCCAGCTCTCAAAGGTCATGTGATGGAATAGCCACAGTGTCACAGAGCCAAGCAGCGTGAGCAAAACCGGAAAACATTGCAAAGCAAACCATCTCGCACAAAATCACCCCCCTTTTTTCCCTGTGCACTTTTCATCGGTCAACTTGCGATTATTGATCGTACGTTCCCAAATGTCTCCCGATCCAGGTACATCATGGTGTCCGAACGCTAACTTATTACTTTAATAAGGCAATAAGAAGAATCAGCGAAGCGGACATTGGACGTAGTCATGATCCAGGTATACTGTGGCGTGCAGCGCAGTGCTTGTGGATCTAAATGTCGTGTGAATGACATGCAATCAAATGCTGAACTGACGGTGCATTCAGTAGACCGGGTTAACTTGAGGCCATAGTAGGAGTATTGCTAGTGTGTGATCACACATCTGGGACAGGTCATTCACAGCATGTGAGTATGAGCCAGGTACAACCACAGTAATCAGGCCGTCAGATCATCCACCTGCAGTAGATGGCGCACAACTGTAGCTTTTTGATCAAGAATGAATCACTTGGGTGCCATTCGGCTCCCAGTTCCTCTGCTTTAAGCTGACGAAGTGTTTCTCCCAACGCCCGATCTTGACATTGTACTTATTCTAGGCCTGGTCTGCTGGCAACCATCGATGGTCCGTAACTTATTCCCATCAAGGTATGACAACATTCTGAAAACTAAAATGTGTGCGGGTCAATGGCACACTTAGAGTAAACAAGCGTTTCGGAGACAGCCGTTCTAATGTAGCAACAAGGACGACTAATTGCACTGTAAGCATTTCCTAAATGTCGACATGTATGTGTAAAATGTAAAGTAAAAATCGTATCACCAGGAAAAGGAAATCGTATGGCAAAGTGCAACGAAGTTTGTACAGTGTGAGAACCTGGTGTACCAAGGTCACACTTTGCAGGTTTTTGTGTGGAGCTAGTCCCTATTGATTGCAGAACGTGCAGTGTGGGTACAATGTGGGTACAAGGTCCGTGTCGTACGACCTACAGACAGGACACCACCTCCATAAGATGACCACGAAAGGACGAGATGGCGGGGCGCTCTCGCGGTACTTTATGGTACAAGCACACGGCACGGAAATAATTTACTTGTCCAAAAAGAGTCACCTATCCAAATACAGGCTAGTCCTGACGTGATGCATGTAACCCACTCTTGACGGTTCCGAGGCTCGGTCATTAGGGAGATTCTGCTCTACGTGCCGGGAACGCAGTGCAACGATTTCAGTACTCGTGTTCCTGGGCTTCATGTATCAAAAAGATGTTCTGCTCACACAAAGAAATCACGTGGAGTGTGCACTGGGAAATTTCAATTCTAAATGTCACAGTTTTCTCCCTAATTTGGATCTGTCCCCACAGGATACTGCGATTCCGCAACATGCAATTTTCCGCATTATTGGCTGTCATCCGCGTTTTCCAGAGATTTTGCATAAAACCCGCGTTATTCATGGAAATGTACAAGAAAATAGTACATGATGTTGAAAATGTACTACAAAGTCGTACCGGTGCATGAGTTTGTACGACAAAGTTGTATACTTGCATGAAAGTGCATGCTAAAATTGTACAAATGACAGAGAACTCGTGCATAATGACCGCATTAGAGAGGTTCCGCACAACGTAATTACGTTACTGTAAATCATGAATATGTAACGAACAAGTAAATCTAACGAGTTAACGAGCAAAGATTTATCGTTATTTTAAAATTCGTTAGCAAAAGTCGTATGATTTGGGCCTCGCACGATTGAAATCGATCATTTCACATTATGGCATGCAGCGCGTGTTCAACGGATCGTAACTCAGTCAATTCTCAATGGAATTCAACAATCAAAAGATCTAGATGATAGCAGAGACGCTCAGCAGTCGACTCAAACAATTCCGAAGTCTCTCAGATGATTTTTGACGAAGCCGCAGGAGATCGTTAATTTGAATATTTTACGCTCTTACGCTGGATAAATTTCATTTTCTTTATTCTCCTGACATCGAGGTATACTGTGATGGACAACAATGAATGTTCTTGATGAGCATTCCTAGTATTATTGCATCTGTCTGAGAAAATCGTTAACTTTTCAAACCGTTAACCTTCGAAAATCAGAAAATCGTTAACTTTGCGGGTCGTTAAAATAATATGATTTACAGTAGTAAAAAACGTAGTCGATCTACGGAAAGTCTTACGTAAACTGCATGCGCATCTAGGTTCCGCCATACGGAGTTTTCAAATCACTCAGCTGCCCTTGGCAACTCCGAACGCGGCAGTGTACGACCAGATCGACATGGGGAGTCATAAATTTGTACCCCAATCCACCTACGGACCAGCTACGTTATCAGAGCCCTATCTACGTACTCTCCGTAGACAACTTTCCATAAGTGGAGTGCAAACTCGCGAATTCACGGGTTTTTCCCGCCCACTGACGTAAAGTTGCTCAACTTTACGTAGTGCGAAACCTCTCTATTATACTGCATATTTGCCGCAAAATCCCGCATATTTGCCGCATAATGGCCTGTTTTCGCCTGCATAATTATGCGCATAATTTTAGGATTTCGTCCGCGTTATTCTGTGGGGACAGTTGGATGGTACGCAGCAGATCCATACGCATTTTCTGTGTGTGTGTGTGTGTGTGTGTGTGTGTGTGTGTGTGTGTGTGTGTGTGTGTCACAACGTATACACATGTAGAAATCTGGACCCAAAACACGCGAAACGGTAGCCACCCGTTCTTCACGTAATTTCTCTATGTTTCACGGGACGCAGAACCTCTCTATTCTAGAAAAGGTACAGCTAAAAGATGGACACAGGGAGGTCCTCTATGGCTAAGGAAATGCGTTCTTACGCTCTCATCAACTTCCCCCTCCCCCCCCCCCCCCCCCCCCCACTGATTATGAAAAGAGGCAAGTGACTCACCATTTGCATTGAGCACCAGGACAGGGACACATGTACGGTCGAAATTCACACAGGTCCTCATGCTCTTTCTTTTTGTTAAAGCGGAAGGCCTGTGGACAGCCATTGGTTCTAAACTTGCAGGGAAATAGTACGTCCTCTGCTACTCTCTCCATGGCAAGATTTCGAATACTTCCAAGCGGTCCCCGGCATGACGGGCAGCATGTCAATTTCGCTCTGCATTGCGAACAAACTAGATGTCCACTGTTACATTGAATAATCGGAGGTAGGACATAGTCGAAGCACACAGGGCACTCGAAATGCGATGCCAAATCTGGGTTTGAAGCAATATTGGCAGAAACAGACTCCTCTGCTTTCACGATAGCAAAATTAGTATTCCCAGCAGCTGTGGATGTGGCGACGAGCGGAGTGGCTGCATTACATGTCGGGGTACAAGCCTCCATCTTCGGTTCCCTTTTCACTGTAGACGTCATTACTTCAGCAACTTTACCGAAGAGCAACTTCTCGCTGCCTCTCTCTCACACGAGGAGCCAACTCAACTCGTTTCTGCCATTGTACACAACCATAAAGTTAGTACCAGTTTGGGCGCTTCCAAAGGCTGGTCATGCACAAACATGCAGAAAAATAGCCTTGTTGCAAAAGCTGATCGCGAAACGACGACATACACATGCACGCACATACGTACAGCCAAGGCAAGATCCAGAGTACATAACCCCCACGGTACGGGGGGTTATGTACTCTTGGTACAGCTAGCTGCACCACTTTTTCACCAAACGCGTGAGGAAACTCACGCACTCAACCATGGATTTTACGGAGTTTGGTGAGAAATCTGATCACGGCGAGCGGATTTCTGCAAACAGCTACTTTGTGAAACCCATGATGTCATGATGACAGTGCTATAGCAATGCGCCATTATCATTTGGCCAGCGCATGCGTCCTGCAGTTGGGCCAGTCATTTCAGTTTCCAAGGCAAGCTTCATCCCAAGACCGGCAAGGGGGTGCAGCTACACTGACTGTAGATATCTACCAACAGGCAACACACTACAAAAAGTGCGAAAGTACGAATGTTGAGTTCAACAAGAAACTACAATTTTCTGTAGATGCTTCATTGGAGTTGCACAGTTGTGCTGCTCTTTATCCTTTGGACCACACTTTTATTGTAACTAGCGTGCATTGTTGCTGCACCCGGCTAGTGGATGACATTTCCTGGCAATCCAAAGTAAGTGGATGTCGCGGGCGGGCAATATTGTTCTCATGTCATGGATATGCACACAAAGAGAATATTTCTGCCTTTATTGTGAAGTGATGGGTCCACATTCGGCCACTGCTCGATTGGCCATCGCATGAAATTTTTAAATTTGACTGTCAGGGGTAATATTTATTTGCTCTATTTTCTTGGACGTTGCATTCTTTCTTGTGAACCACTTTATAATTGTTGGTTGTGGTATCTTCTCTAACATTTTTTGTTTTGCAAAAGCCTTGTACACAAAGTAGCTACTGGTAGTAGAAACACTGAGATGTTAAGGCGTGTATAGATGGACACAGCAGTTTACGATTTGGGTGAAGCGTAGTTTATTTCAGGAATTGAATTATTTACCAATGATCTCCATTGTCATTGATTGGTGCACGTTGTGACTAAATGCCAGACATTATAACTTCATACTATTGAAGGAAAGCTATACACTGGTGGCAAGTGGCACCCGCAGTCAAATAACAGCACTGACACTACTCGGCCCTAACATAGCGGGTACTGCGTTGTATGGTAGACGTGGCCCATGACGTTTTGGATTCCACTTGCGACCACTGTATCTATGCCATAATTATGGTACCAGTATGATTGTACAGTTAACCTCTTGAATAAGGACCTCGGGTATAACAACACAGCAACTCGCGAATAACGACACTATATTCAGACCTGACCGTTTGACTACACACGGCATACCTTTAACCCTTTAACCGTCATATAAATTTCACCCATTGAAACGACGAACGAAATTTCAACTTTGCCAGGTCATAACTTTAGTTGTACTCACTCGATTTTTATAATCTTGGGCTCGTTGGAAAGCTCTGGACGAGACCAGCACGATGATACCACATTCTTCGCCTCAACAGTCACACAACCAGCGCTGGAACGCAGCGACGTCGTCTCAACGCCAGGCATGCAAATGACAAGTTCAAAACTCCGCCATGGCCGTCTCCTTCATCGTAGAGTGTTCAATTTTTTTTTGAGAGATCGAGCATTTCGTGAGGAATACGTTGGTCGCGAGCAACAGTCACAGAGCGCGTGAAGAAACGGGGAAATCCCGTGACGACGTCAGCCGCGCGCCCAGCGCAGCGGAAGTGACAAGCGTGCAGTACTCAGCGCTTGATAACTCTGCTCCACTACATCGTAGCTCAACGCGGATTTCTGCAACAGAAAGCCTGGAAAATTAATTCGCGACCGAATCGATAGTAAATTTTCTATCGTGGGTAAACAATCATTCCAGTGCGAGTATTTCAAATGATGGGTCGAATTCGACCCACAAATGTATGGTCTGACGGTTAAAGGGTTAAACGACAACTCGCGAATAACTGCATTTTTCCCATTCATGATCGGGGGTCGTTTATGTGGTACTGTAAGATTTGAATCTCTAATGGGCACGGAGTTTAACGTTTTCACGAGAAAGAATCCATCGTTAACTCGAGAAACGTTACACGTAATATGTTATTCCTTCTCTCCTCTGTAGTAGAGAAATAGAAGGCAGGTGTGAGGTGCCAGGGCCGTTAAACTTTGTGCTTGCTAAGTGGCAATTTTTTGCATATCGCTAAACTTTAGACTCGTCTCACTTTCAACTCTTACAGTATAATAATGTCACTTATACCGCACTGGTAAGCCCATAGACCTAGATTTATAACGTACTGTAAAAGCCATATACCGTTTTATCTCTAGTATAAGCAAAGTCTCCAATAATAGCACGTCTCCAATAATAGCACGTCTCCAATAATAGCACGTCTCCAATAATAGAACACCTTGGGGCGGCATTCAAAGAATAAAGTGCTCAGTCTCCATTATAAGCACACTGTGTAAATTCATTATCTGTACCGGCGAAAAAAACCCTGAAATGTGTGTGTCTGACATGAATTTGGCATGGCAACATGCCTCTGAAATGAGGTTGAAATAATAATGGAAAAGTCTCCAATAAAGGAACGTCTCCATTAATAGCACGGGGCGGAGGTACATTGAAAAAATAAAGGACCGTGCTTATTATTAGAGATAATACGGTATATATAACGAAGTGCTAACTCTAACGAGTTAACGAGGAGAAATCTGTCGTTAAAATAGAAATCGTTATACAGAAATCGATACATATACTGTCCTATTGAGCGTTGAGAATGAGTGAGAATCGTTACCTTTGGTACACGTAAACTAGTCACTTTTGGGAAATCGTTATATTAATATATATGCGCCTCGTTAGAATAATAACCAAAAATAAAGGCCGAACTGTACACGGTGTACTGTAATGTAGTACTAGTACTAGTACCCGTGCGACAGCAGTTTTGTCTTGACAGCCGAGTTTGTAGTAGTGTCAATTTATCAGCCCATGAATTAGTAACTGGATTGTAGAAGCTGCATCTACGCCTTGATCCTTGAGGGTGGTGGCGTTCCTACGAATGCGGAAAACTCGGTCTCTAACCGAGTCTCACCCTGACCGTGAATTTTGTTCCCCTGGTAGCAGGTTACGAGAAAGAGCAAAAATGGAAATTATGGCATAGCTGTGCACAAAAGTTCCAAATGAATCCGCCATCGCCACCATTACATGTCCCATATTTCAATAACCACTGGTCGTATTGCTGTGGCGATTGTTTCTATCGTGAGCTGAGAGTTTTAATTTCCTCTGCAAATTGATGACATGAGACTGGTGGGGGTGGTGGTGATTTTGTTGTTGTTCTTGGTGGTGGTGGTGTGGTGGTGATTTTGTTGTCTTTGTTGGTGGTGGCGGCGGTGGTGGTTGAGGGCTCTTGAGGGGTCGCCGGGGACAAGTTTGACTGCTCCTCAAGTAGTTGCTGGTGCTGCAGTGTAGTATTCACCCAGGACTTATGTTCTTTGTCCTGTGCTCTGCAGGTTGCCGGTGGACTGTACGACGAATAACCCTCCGCTTTCTTTACAATCTTCATCATCCGTCAAAATAGACCGTCCGGCTCCAGGAGGCCTCGACGCGGGCCGGACAGCGTCCACATACAGGTACACATTCATTAAGCAATGTCACTTCTTGTCGGTTTCTGTCGATTTAGTCTATTTAACATACTAAATGAAAATCAGCCTTCTTTGTGATCACTATACCCTTCTATTCTCCTTTGGCGAAAACAGTTTTGTGTGAAACAGATTGTACGGGGGTAGTTTGCATTACGCAGAGAACCTTTTTCCCGGGCCTTGCCAAGGGAGTATTATGTGGCGTTGTGATGTGTAGCACATCTGGAGGAGCCAGAGGGTCCAACAACCTTCATTGGGTAGATTTATTTTACTTGCCTGGTTGGTTGGCCTGTGCCCATGTACCGTATGAGCAAATGATCACATATTATAAATGTCTACAATGCCTGTTGAACGACTGCCAACGCGTATGCAGTGTTGTTTTAACCCTTTATTACCTGATTACTAGCACAGCATGCACCAGAATTACGAATGTCAGCACAATTTTCAACTTCACCAGGTCATAACTTTGGTGTCCTTCGCTTGATTTTTACAATCTAGTGCTCGTTGGAAAGCTCTTGGCGAGAGCAACGCCAGGGTACCCAGCTCCATTATCCAGTCGCAACAAATCAGGCGCGGTAACACAGCAAAGTCGTCTCCAAGCCTGATATGCAAGCAAATTCATCCCATCAACGCCATTCCACTCTCCTTCATCGTAGAACGCTCAAATTTGTTTGAGACGATCCAAATTTCAGCCAACTACGTCATTGTTATGTGCCCAGTCGCTCAAAGAGCACACGAACAGGGATTTTCCCCCAAAATGGCGAAGTGATCTATCAAATTTTTGAATTTGCCGAGGTAAGAATACGGCGCGCGATATCTCTCGCGTCCGCCCTCGTAACTCTTCGGCAATTGTTGCATTGGATAGCTTGGAGTTTCCGCTACCAAATAGACCCTTCGATTGTTGAAGTTGCACGAGAAACGATGGAGTTACGAAGATATTACTGGCCTGCAGACTTTCGATCATATGATCGAAAGTCTGCAGGCCGGTAATAAAGAGTTAAATAATAATACTTCCTCCGGAAACAAAAACTTCGGGATCTTTTATTCACATTCTAAGGAGTTAGTAGGCTCAAGTAATTTGGTTCAGCGGTACGAAAATGCTCCTAGATAATTAGTTTGTTAAATATGCACATTACTAGTGGTATGCAAACGAGATTGGTGCAACTTGAGTCTCACACGGAGTCACCATTCCTCGGATCCACAGAGCTCCATTCACCAGATCTGACAGTTCGATCAAAGTTGCTAAGTTTGTGTTTCCGGAGAAAGTAGCACTTTGTATCCTTTTTAATAAATTATAATACATGTAGTGCTTTATACACCTATATGTGATTCTTGAACTCTTTTTGTGTGTGTGTGTGTGTGTGTGTGTGTGTGTGTGTGTGTGTGTGTGTGTGTGTGTGTGTGTGTGTGTGTGTGTTGACAGCTCTGAGAGGATCCCTTCATCCCGAAGTTTGCCTCGTCATCAGCAATCTCATCCTGCTGGCCACCATCAGCAAGGTCACCATCGCCCAGCTGGTCACCACCAGCCACAGTCGTCCGGCTCACCTCGCTCTCAAAGATGGGTACCACCGTCCGCGGCCGCACATGCTGATGACAAGTCTGGAAATCCAGAACAAGCCAAGCGTCGTGTCCGAGCGTGAGTTTATCTGCGCATGTGTGTTCTTCTTCTATTGTGCATCAGTATTGGGAAGACTGATTTGACTTGAGGACACGGATGCTCACACGCAGAATGTCCAGTGTACGAACCTGTAGGACGTAATGGGTGCTTACACACATGTAGAGATGTAAAGCACCCGTTCCGCAGGAAACGTGTGCGAATGATATCACATTCACGTTTACATTAATTATTATGTGCGCGATCTTCTTTGAGGTCATTGCTGTCCCAAATATATTTTATGGTATGTGTCAATCAGACTGATTAGAAGGCCCGCAACTGTAGGAAAGGAAATCTGTCATGCTCAAGAATCAAGGCTATGCTAAGAGAGGAGCTGAATGGCTTAGATATCACCTCATCCATGTACTTTGTCTCTGTGTATTTGTGCTTGCATGTGTGCGCGCTTGTGTGTGTATGTGTGTGTGTTTCGCATGCGCAGAATACTAAACAAACTAACCCCAGACAAATTTGACAAGCTCTGCAATGAATTGGTCCAGGTGGGCATTGAGTCCAAGGATCTGCTCAAAACTGTGATCCTATTGGTACGTTCGGTGTGGATGTCTACCTTTTCTTTGGTTCTCTCTCTCTCTCTCTCTCTCTCTCTCTCTCTCTCTCTCTCTCCATACTCACAAACTCACACACACACACACACACACACACACACACACACACACACACACACACACACACACACACACACACACACACACACACACACACACACACACACACACACACATACATACATACATACATACATACATACATACATGCATACATACATACACCACCGCAGCTCACATGCATCATGTATCCAGCACGGAAATGTGACCAATTTGTGAAAGGTCTGACTGATGCCAGTAGGGTATTTGATTGAGCATATCCACCTACAGTTTAGTTCAGTTTATTCACCGGCTGGAGTCAGCATAGCCGATTGCATTGTATGTGTGCCTTTCAGCCCTTGGCTTGTATTGTTACATTACTGGCACTAGTGTGCACTGTGGTAAAGCTGGCAATCAATCATCAACTTACTGAGGGTAGCAGCACACTTGTTGCTCCGTTGGGTTGGTTATACCAAACAATATGCATCGCTCACAGCTAACATTGCTGTAACCCACCGCGTTTGTCAGTAAGCCGCTAAACACTGACACGCAATCAATTCTGGCGTGCAGGGTCGGGAAATGGCATGGGCTTCACGCATGTATTACCATCTCAATTTTGCTGTTACTGCCATCTTTGCAATGTTTACGAACGTATGTTCTCTTTCTCTCTCTCTCTCTCTTTCTCTCTCTCTCTCTCCCTCTCTCTCCCTCTCTCTCTCTCTCTCTCTCTCTCTCTCTCTCTCTCTCTCTCTCCATCTCTCTCCCTCTCTCCCTCTCCCCTCTGTATTCACAGATTTTCGACAAGGCTCTCGATGAACCCAACTACAGTTCCATGTACGCACAGCTGTGCGTACGCCTCAACGATGAAGTCGGAACATTTGACAACCCCTCCGGAAATCCATCAAAAACGGTACTGGCCACTGCGTTCTTTTTTTTGCTGATGCTGATGCTGATGCTGCTGCTAGTGGTGGTGCTACTGCTGCTGCTGGTAGTGCTGCTGCTGCTGCTGATGCTGCTGCTGACCCTGCTGGTGATGGTGACAGTGGTATTGATTTGTAGGTGCCACCTACAAATCAATACCAGTGGTGGTGGTCCCTGGAAAACAATATGATTGTGGTAAAGTTATGATTTTCATGCACATAGAGACATAACAAACTCTACAGTTTTGCAAGCATGCACTGGTGTGAGTGTGTGAAGAGAATCATCACTTTACTCCTTGTTTTCTGTGCTTCTTCTCGCTAATCTCCCTGTTGCTGCTTATATCACGGACACCTATACGTTGTTTAAAGATTAGTGTGCTGGTTAGCTCCACCTGAAGGGAAGGTGATGAAAGTGCTTATGGAAACTTTGAGATGTTGATGGGAAAGAGCCTAAAGTTTGTTTTCCTTGATTGCATTCTGGTCTTCATGATGATTTTTTGTAGTGACCATTCGGTTTTTGCCATGGTTTGTTGTTAGGTATTCCGACGTCTGCTGCTTGCCAAATGCCGGGATGAGTTTGAGAATCGCACTAAAGCTTCTGCAGGTATGTATGCAATACATGTTCGAAATCTTTATTCTCGCAATGGCCAGTGGTCGATAAGAGATGTTGTTGTCGTTCTGTTGTTTCTTGTTGTCCCGTTCACTGCTTCTGTTCCTGTGCGGTGTGCTATCAACCTATGTTGTGGTGTGTAGTTTTCCCACTCCTCAGTGTAGCTGTCTTGCATGTTGTGCACCGATGACCACCATTTGTGCCCGGCGTGTTGGGGGTAAGTGTATGTGCTCAGTAGGGCTTCTTGTGTGTGTACGTGTCGTGCATGTAGACTATGACGCACGAGACCAGCTGTCGCCAGAAGAGGAGGAAGCACGAGCAGACGCCAAACGCAAGATGCTGGGGAACATCCGCTTTATCGGTGAGTGTCTTTTCCTGTGCTTCATCCATCCCCACCTCGGCAACTTCATCTCACCCTTGTTTCTAAATATTTCAGTGAAGTTTTAACTTTCATGTCACGTGAAGTCGGTAGTGTACAGGGAGAGGCGGAATAGCTATTCTCAGTTGCCCCTTTGTGTGTGTGTGTGTATGCGTATGCGTGCACGTGTGTGTGTGTGTGTGTTTGCGTGTGTGTGTTTGCGTGTGTTCGTGGCATGCTTGTGTGCGCGCATGGGCTGTTTCGTGCTGGTGAGGATGACTTTGGGGCCCCGCAATATTAACAGTTAATCGATGTGTCTCTTGTTGTGTTTGTTGGTGTTCGCTTGCAGGAGAGTTGGCCAAACTTGACATGTTGGCCGAGTCCATCCTACATCGCTGCGTCCAGCAGGTATGTTGCTCGCAGATCTGGAGTGGGATAGTGGCGTACATGCTGTTTGGTCTTGACTACTAGTCTAGTCTTGACACATGAGGAGTATAAAGTGACATAACAGGAGGGCGGTTGTGTACCAGAGCTTGTTTTAACCAACGTGTGAAGTGCAGTAAAACGAACCAACCATTGGAAAGAGTAGTGTTTGGCTCAGGTTACGGTAGTGTAGCCGGTTGGTGTTGTGGACCTTTGTACTAGTATTTTCAGGACTTGGCTTCTCACTGCTATCTGTGGTTTGTCTGCTCGTACTGCAGCTGCTGGAAACGAAGCGCGTTATCGCCGACCAAGCGGAAAACTCCGAGTGCTTGTGTAACTTGCTCAAAACAATCGGCGCCAAAATGGACACGGAGAAAGCGAAGGTCAGTGGTGGCTGCTGGTTATGGTCACATGTGCATGAAGATTGAGTGTAGCTCACACCGGCCATTGCAATGTTGAATGTTTTTTTTCTGCCGGGCGTCTTTTTCTTCCTTTACTGTTGTGCTGTAAATCACACGTGCACCAGTTCTGTGGATGTGTCAGATTACTGTGTCTCATGCACTGCCGTGAAGTGTAACTGATTCTCTACTTTGCTTTTCGCTACATGTCCTGTTGCGTTGTTGTTTGTTGTTGTTTAGGGCCTGATGGACCAGTACTTCAGTAGGATTGAGCAATTCTCTAAGAACGAGGAGAGACTACCACCTCGCAACCGCTTCATGCTTCTGGAACTCATTGAGCTGCGTGCAAACCTTGTAAGTGGACTTGCTACACTGGATTTGTTTGACAGAGTTTGGCGTCCTTACATTTGCAGAGTAGCACTTCAGCCTCAAATACGTAGAGTAGTATTTTAGCCGATTGTGTCTTTTGTCTTTTGAGGTTCCTTGAATCTGATGCCCTGTGTAATCTTCAGCAGCGGTCTGATAAGATTTCCTTTTTTCATGTTCTTGTTCTTGTTGATCTCGTTTCCAGTGGCGGCCTCGCAGGGTTGTCGCGGAAGCCCAACCTGCACCGCGAACTATTAGTGAAGTGCGTGAAGAAGCTTATCGGGTATGTCCACGTATCGGCTAATAGGACGTTTTCAACTAGAAGGACATCACACTAACATATAGCTGGTCTTGTTCTTTTGACTCTGCTGCCACAATTGAGTCCTGATATTGCAGTGCGGAGTAGAACTCATTTGATAGCAACCGGCGTATATCACTAGAAATGTTTCGAAGCCCATCACCATTTTCTGTCTGATTTGTTCAACTGTTCGGGGTGGAAGTGTTGTGATGGCTTTTAGGTCTGGAATTCTACTCATCTGTACTTCTGTGTTGCTGGGTGCAGGAGTTTGGGTATCGCGGGCACATGCCTCGTGGTGGTGGTAATCGTGGCCACAGCAATTCTCCCGCTCACGGTGGTGGCAGTGGCCCCTCCGATTTCATGGCTGGTAACGACTTTGGGCAGAACCAGGGCCACTCCATCTTCCGTCCAGACTTCGTTTCAGCCAATCAATCAAGTGGCAACTCTTACAGCCAATCTGGTCAGTCTGGGTGTACCGTCTTGTTCGTAGTTGTATTGATTTCGCCCTCTTTCGTTTTGTCATTCGATTCTTTTTCAATTTTTCTTTGCTTTCTTCTCTCACCGGCCATCATATGTGCAGTTTCTCGACTTTTGTCTCTATTCCTTTTGATTTGCACTGTAAGGCTACCGTATTTCCCCGTAAGTTAGTTCTCCCCAATGACTTAGTACCCCCTATAAAAAATACACTTTCCACTGCCGAGGTTATCACCCCGAAAGACAGTTCCCCCCGAAAGATAGTAAGTTCGTACCCGTCCTACATGTACAGACACCGTACAGTACATACATCATATGCACGGACACTAGAGTTGCGCAGGCTTTCCACTGTGTGTCATTTACCCCCGATAAAAAAGTACTCCCCGAAAGATGGTACCACCCCCCGAAAGTTAGTACTCATGTGGCTGCTAAGTTCGAAAGTTAGTACGTACTAACTTACGGGGAAATGCGGTATGCTACTGAACTTCATGCACTGTGCAAAACATGTGTTGTCTGTTCTTATCCTCAAACTTATGAAAAATTGAGTACCTGTTCTTTATTGTATTTGCATTCTCTTGATAGGAGGCTGGTCGCATGGCAATGGCCCACCGTTGTCAGACCGTGAAGAGATGCTACGTGGAACTCTGTTTGATATAGAGTCAGTCTCAGCGTCACCTGGTCTGACCAACGTTGACAGGCACGGAGCGCCGTTGCCGCATCCCGCTGTAGTTGCTGCGAATGCTGGCAGGGGCCGAGGGCAAAGTAAGTGTGTTGTGCAAGTGTGTAGCTGGTATCTGTCAGTCTTGTCTGTGAACCCCACACAATGTCCTTTGGGAAGGTGAGATCTGGCATGGTTGGACTTAACTAACGAATAATCCTGCACCCTCTGGGATTTTCAGCTCAGCTCTTCTTGCTCTGAAGCAAGAGAGAAGTTCCTTGTTCTTTGTACACTGTACGTAGTGCACCTTTGGAAGGAGAACTTACACTTTATAGTGCATTTCGACAGCATAGACGTGTGCACCTGCACACGACTTACGCACAGATGTCTAGCATACTACTGCCGAACTGGGAATTGAATGTACACACTTCCCCTGCCGGAAACTTCAAACTAAAAGAGCTCTAGCAGTGTAACATACCTATGCACTCTGCAGAACACAAGCCTATAAGATCCCCTAATTCCATCTTTTATCGGCTTGATACCACCAGTGTGTTTCAAGAATCATAAAGCCTGCCTCATCTGAACACAAGTTTGAAGCGGAAAAAAAACTTTCTGAAAATTGCGACAACTGAGGGTCTATGATTGCTATTGAGGTATACTATGCATACATGTGTGTGCAGTAGATAACAGTTTGTATCATTGTGATGTGTCGCCTGCCCATCGTTTCAGATTCACCCAGAATCATGCCAACAGTGACCATGAAGAATGACGAAGAGGTAATCTCTCTCTCTCTCTCTCTCTCCCTCTCTCTCTCTCTCTCTGCCTCTCTCTCTCTCTCTCTCTGCCTCTCTCTCCCTCTCTCTCTGCCGCTCTCTCTCTCTTCCTCTCTCTCTCTCTTCCTCTCTCTCTTTCTCGCTCCCTCTCTCTCTTCTCTCTCTCTCTCTCTCTCTCTCTCTCTCTCTCTCTCTCTCTCTCTCTCTCTCTCTCTCTCTCTCTCTCTCTCTTCAACTTCCATTCTTGTTGGAAGTAAATGTGAGCATTATGGCATTCATCTAGAGTTATGAGTACATCAGCAATACCTGCAAGCTGGTGTGCATCGACACATTGCTCGGCATGTAAAGTTCATTGATGTGTTGCTCAGAGACTCTGCAGGCTCTCTATCAGTGACTAATATTAATCACTATTGCGTATTCATTAGTTGAGGGAATGTAAAAGGGAAAAGCTATTGTGTATGTTGGCATTGACTTTTGACTACTGCACTCGGGCTTCGATTTTTAATGCAGATTAGTAATATCCCCTCACACTGTGTGTTGCTTGCATGGCATTTGATCAAGCATCTTGTAATGTTGCTTGACAATTGCCAGAAGAGTTCTTGAGGGACCAGGTTGGCATGCAGAGCAGAGAGGGGTGCTTGAGTAATTTTGCCATGGTCCAGTGATGGGTGTTAACAGTTACCTGTGGCTGTGACATTGTGTGTGTGTGTGTGTGTGTGTGTATATGTATATTGACCTGCATGGTTTTGTTCTTAGCTCAGCCTGCGGCCATCTCGACCAGCTGGAGTCGGTGGACGGCCACCGGCAGCAGGCGGTGCAGCAGGCAGGGTGGGCAGCGGAGGCAACCCCATGGCAAGCCCGGCCAATGCTGTGAGTCTTGTTGTTTTTGTCTGTACGAGTCCAGCATGCTGTGTTCCCTCTGGTATGTTTCTTCATTCACTGCACACATGACATAGTCTTTGGTGTGGCGTTGTGTTGGGAGTATCTTTACAGGCCTGCGTGTATTGGAGGAGAAGTGGTTACTGTTGTTAGGTATTCTATGTGACTGCCACTGGTCTTTCTGACATGCATGGACATCGTCTGTTTCTACGCGCGGTCTGCTCTCCTTGCACAGGGTCGCGGTGGTGCTCCACAGGGAGTTGATGCGCATGGCCGTCCCATGGCGGGGGCAGTATCCAGCATCACCGGCACTGGGTCGTCACGTGGCGCCACTTCGCCAGCTGTTATGCCAGCGCCATCAGTGGTCAAGAAGAAGACAAAGTCCAAAAAGCCATCTCGCAAGGAGCTACAGAAGCTGACGGTAAGTGGCACTCTCACTCGTGATCTTGGCTTTGGTGTGTTCTTTTGGTCACGTAGAGCCCTGCCTACTCTGTCTTCTTTCTTCTCTCATCCAACCCAGTTGCCATAATCTTTGCTGCGGACTCATCTGGCTACTTTACTTAAACACAAATACAAAATTAGGGATAGAAATAGGCATGCATTTCCATAGTATGCTTTGTAGACATACATGTATGTTAGATTCCCTTGTACCTGTATTGGATGTCTTATCTCCTGTATTTGCTTCTTGCCACCCCGTGTACTTTGATTGTACGTGCCGTTCTTCAGGAAGTACTTACTTCCTGTAGCAGCCTCTCCTTATCAGATTTGAATGGCTTGCCGGCCTCCATTGTAATGGCTAACTGTGCGTGTTTGATATTGTTCGTTACTCCACATGCTATGCTCAACTGCAGATCTCCATGTTGGATGAGTATGTGAGCGTTCAGGATGACAAGGAAGCACTGCTGTGTGTGGAAGAAATGGCCGCCCCTTACTTTGCAGACGAGCTGGTCTTAATCATTCTCAATCAGACGATTGAATCGCAAAGTAAGCGTGTGGCCCATACCGTCCCATTTTGCTTTGACCGGCTGTAAGGCTTTCCATTCTGCTGCTTCTTGCTTTTTATTGTGCCGGTGACGATGTGGAAAACAGTTTTGCCACGTATCCTTTTCATCTTTTGGGTTGCATGCTCTGTGTTTTGATGGGAATTCGCCCTTTAACTCTTGTCATGCTTTTTAACATGTTGTTCATTTGAAAGTCTTAAATGTCTGTTAACGTGCGTGTGTTTCTGTGTGCAGGTGACAAAAGAACCATAGCATGTAACCTACTGTCGAAACTGCACGCCGCGGACTACATCAGTGTGGCCAACTTTGTCCAGGTAGGAGGACAGAGGCCATGCGTACTTATCAACACTCTGTGTGGAGCTCGTCCCCCATGCTCTGACTTCTTTCAAGCCTGTTGCTGTACTAAGTAACTGCAACGTGTACAATGCAGGGCAATACGAGTGTGGTATGAACTAGGGGCAGGATACTATACTTTGTAGTACCAATCTCATGAACACAAAGTCGAGTTTCATGTGATGCTCCGTGACATTATGATGTGTGCCGTGGGATTTCTCTGCTTGATGTTCTCTTCCTCCTCCTCCTTGTAGGCATTTGAAGATCTCCTCAATCGCCGCGCCGAGTTGATTATCGACGTTCCCAAAGTGGACCAGTACATCAGCGAGTATCCATCACACGGTCTTGCCAGTGTAAGTTGTACATCCGCTTATCTTTACTTATAAAGAAGAGGCACCTGTGACGTGTGTGTCACGCTCAGGCCATGCTGCGGAGCAGCGCTGCCCTGAGCATGCGAAGCGTGCGAACAGTGTAGCTAGCGGCCGCAGAAGCACTGAGCACGCGAAGCGTGCGAATCGTGTAGCTAGCGGAAGCAGCCACAGAAGCACTGAGCACGCGAAGCGTGCGAATCGTGTAGCCACCACCACGTGCTGAGCACGAACAGTGTAGGTAGCAGACACGATCAGTACCAGTAGCAGTAGCAGCCGCGCGCAGAAGCACTGAGCACGTGAAGCGTGCGAATCATGTAGCCACCTAGCCTAGGCCATAGGTAGCACTAGCAGCCGCACAAGCGCTGCGGACCACGTGAACCGTTCTCTGCAAATAGAAACATCTGCAACAAAAGGATACAAAAGATCTGCACTGACTGCACTCTGCATCTGATCTGCAGTGAAGAGCGCATCGCACTTTTGTTCGTAAGTTTATGAATTTTTTGAGCCGCTTCATCCGCCACCAGGTGATGGACAACCCTGACCAGCCTCCCGAAGGCGTAACAGACGTCCCTCCTTCTCCTTCCAACGATGAAGAACCTCCCTCACCAGGACTTCAGCGGTCTGGCCACCACCACGTGCTGAGCACGTGTGCTGTTCATGTACTTGCTTCACCCGCATGCCACATTCGGCCAGGCAACGCTGGCCGGGGGTGCTGCTAGTACAATCATGTAACATGTGCGTGGCTTGTGGAAATGATCTCGCACTGTCTGCAGACACTGCACACTGCTATTCAGTGGTTCTTTGTTGACACAGCAGCGCAGCACAGAGATACGAGGCTGGCCCTGATAGCAGTGAAAAAAGTGAATTCCCATAAGGGGCCGTCCGGGGTTACCGATTGTTTTTACAAAAAGAAAAGTTTTAGTATTTTCAGCCCCCACCCACCCACCCATCTTTTCTGCAGGTAAAACGAATTCCAGTAAAATATTGATGTCAATTTTCGACACCCAGAAGTAACTGGACATTCTCCATCTGCATTCAATAATTATTTTCAAAACGAAACTCCATCAAACCCACCCACCCCCAAACGAAAACATTTCGTTTTGAAAATAGTATTGGTAACCTTGGACGGCCCCTAACTGATAGGCTGAATATTCCGGAATTTTCTTCCAAGCGAACGTGTGTTCGTATAGGTGTTCGCCCCAACCTCTGACCCTGAATTTTTTTTGGGGGGGGGGTTGAGGTGACCCATGACCAGGATTTAAACTGGCTCTGTTTATAAATCCATCTGTGAAGGAAAACTTCATGTCATGGTTATACTGCACAACTTTCAGCCGTTGGTGTACGGAACACCTCCGCTTTTTCCATGGCAATGACTGAATTCCTTTCCTTTTTCCACTGAGTGTCTTTCAGCCCCAAAAACATCAGTGACATCAAGTCCGTGTGCTTTTTTCATGTACATGTAATTTGCTGTGATTCGTCACTGTTCTCTGGCTTTCGTGCATGCAGGGCTGGTTGAAGCTCACTGACATCATGAAAGCGTTTGTGGATGGCAAAAACTTCCCCATTTTCTTTCATATTGTGTCATCGCTGTCATCACTGACCAGCAAGGAGTGTGTCAAGGAGGAAGTGGCTGCGCTCAAAACACCACTCTTGACCATGATGCCAGGTGAGGAAAGGTGGAAGGGTCAACTACGAACCGCCCACTGTGGGCATGCTTGGACTTGTGTGTTGCATTGGGTGACAGATTCTTCCATCCCCCCTCCCCTCTCTGTCTGTCTGTCTTCTCAGCACTCTGCTTAGTGGATGATTTCAATGCCATATCCAGGTTCTTATTTTCTAACCATTTGAATCCAGAAACATGCAATTGTCACAGGACTGGCGCTTTGGGTTTTTTTTGTCAATAGTCTATGCCACTTATGAGTTTTGCTGTTTGCCAATGAGTTAATGTTAGCTGATTTTCTTCCATTTTTTTTCTATTTCAGAAACTAAGAGAACTGTGGACAATTTGTTTGACATCCTGGAGAGCTTGGTAAGTCTATTCGTGGTCATCCGGCTTGTGCTTGTCCTTGCATCCGGTGTCGCTTGTAGCGAAAATCCATCTTACGATTGCCTGTCTTGACTCGACAGGCGAGGAATGTCGTCAGACTCTCGACTGGTACGATATTTGTGACATGCTACCATACTTCCTGTGTTATTTTTTTGCCAAACCCGAACAACTCAATAGAGAGGTTTAGCACAACGAAATCCGTTGTTCATTTTCGTTATGCCGCTGTACGAAAAAGCCGACCGAAATTCGCTGAATTTTTGTTTAGCAGAACGTTCGCCACGAACTTCGGTGTTGCTAGTGGATACCGTGGATGTCGCGGAAATCCCGGCGAAATACAAAAAATAGTAATCCTCGTCACTCCCCGACTTTCGTAAACTGGTGGCCTCACCACTCGAATGCTTCTTGAGCATGCAGGAGATGAAACCGATCCACAAGCCCTTTCTTTATCAGCCCAGCAAATCTCTCATCGCTCTGGGAAAGCAGCAGAGCTGCTTCTTCATTCGTGCGTGATTTCCGCAAGAAACATTTCGGCATCGACCTCACAAGGCGGAGCATCATGAGATCCATCTGCGTATCCCACGTAAGTCGTCGTCCCTCCTGATCACCACCATGTGCCAGAGGTAACAGCAGCTGCAGAAACTGCAGGATTTGAGTTCGGCTCAGACATTCTGGTCGTGAAAACAAGAACCTCAGAAAAAAATGTCGAAAGGAAAGGAAAAATTCTCATGTGATCGCGGTACGAAAAGTCGACAGACCAAACTTCGTTGGATTGATGTTTTCCGCGAGTGTGTGTCCCGAAGTTCGTGGCAAGCTTCGTTACTCGTTCCCGGGCTTCAAAATCTAACGAAAATTCAGACGAATTTCGTTGTGCTAAACCTCTCTATTGTGAACTCAGATGATGGTGAGGCAAGGAAATAATAGTATCGCCGAAGTCGCACCAACCTCTTCTTCACAAGGAAGTAATATGTAGATGAAACGAGGAAAACAGCGTGGCACAAGTTATGTGACAACTAGACCAGATCTTGAACAGTCGGAAACTAAATGTGAGGGTTCATCCCTTTTTGCGTGCCGTGGTGGTTGGCTGTACGTGTATCCACTGTTGCCTGCTTATCCGATCAGTGTATCCAGTGTCTGCTCCAGAGCCGGGTCAGCGGCCGGGCTGGGGTACTTGGACCCGCTTGGAAAAAGAACACCGGGTCACTTGTGACCCGCTTGGGACTCAATCAGGCCCTAAGACTCCCTGATCTGCGAAAACCGCATTTGAATGTACCCGGGACCTAAGACTCCCTGATGTACAAAAGCCGTACTTGAATGTACCCGGGACCTAAGACTCCCTGATGTACGAAAGCCGTACTTGAATGCACCGGGGACTGATCCAGTTGCAAGAGTTGTGCCAGGTACACGTGTACCGTGTACCGTGTTTGTTTGAAATCCTAGAGTAGATACTGAATATACCTTCAGGACTGCACCTTCTTTGGTCTGTTTGCTCTACAGAATGTTTCTTTCATCCTGCCTCTGCACGAGGTACGGGGCGGTCTGCGAGAGCGCCTCTCAGCTGATGATGTTGACGGCATGGCTGTGGCAGAGTGGCTCAAGGTGAGCATTTGGTTCTAGCTTCACGTACAGCCTGTGCCAGTTGGAATGGCTAGATATGCCCTGTACCGTCGCTCACGCTTTGTTTTGCTTTTTAAATAACCCAGTCGTGTATTTGCTGGGCAAGACTGGGACTTGGCACTGAGCCATGCATAATTACGATGATCTCCGTTGAGCTGGAATGTCCTGGGGGACTCCCGAATGTTTTGTCCAACACGCTGGCATGCTTTGTTAGTGACTGCTTCTCTGACTTCTGTCGTCTTGTCGGCTTTAGCGCGGGCTGCTCAGCGTGGTGAGGCAGGTTGTGGCACCGGTGGCTGGTGTGGACAGCTGTAGGACCGGTCTCGCCGTTGCCGTCTTAGTAGGATTGTTTCTTATACATGTGCAATGCTAGCTAGTCAACGAGAGAGCTTGGAAGCTCAGGGCCCTACGCTATGCTTTTTTGCCTTGGTGACCTAGACAAAAAAAAGCATAGGGATGTTATAAATTCTTATAAGTTTCTACTTTTTGTAACTTTTTAGACATAACCTGGGATTCGAACCCGCACTATCGCCCTGCATGCATCCCCCGATACACTTCGCATACATACTGATTCTTCCAAGTTGCTTCACGTTATGATCTTGTATTTGAAAGCCCTATTTGAATATGCATTGTGGCCAGCCGTCTTTGAATGTACGGTACGGGACAGGTACGGGACAGGGTATTACGACACCGTCTACCGCCTTGATGACGGCAAAAAAAGAAAAGGGATGTTGTAAATTTTTCAATTCTCCTATTTTTTCAAGCATTACCTGGGATTCGAACCCGCACTATCGCCCCACATGCATTCCCCCATACACTTCGCATTCATACTCATTCTTCCAAGTTGCTTCACGTTATGATCTTGCGTTTGAAAGCCCTATTTGAATATTGTGGCCAGCTGTGTTTGATGGTACGGTACGGTACGGGACAGATACGGGATAGCGCCAGGCGTGACACAAACACACAAACAAACAAACAAACACCAAATTAAAGCTGTGTGGACCCTGGCTAGCGCCAGACGTTACTGAAGTAACGTCTTCTGCATAGCTACGGGAATAAAGTGGAGTGATGCGACCCTGTGTGCTTGTAGACATACAATTGAGGACTAGGCACGGCTGTCCTGTTCGAAGAGTGCATTGCCTATAAGTTAGGAAGACTACAGTACCTGACTGTCGTAGGCATTCCGAGATGAGAGGTGCCTGCTAAGGGAGGTTCTTCTGTACCACAATTGTATTGCGTTGATCTTGTTTTTGTCTACATGTGTGTGGCGAGTAACACCTTACTGACATAGACTGATTGAAGCATTTTTGTGGATGTGTGTGTGTTTTTTGTTTTGTTAAACATGTGTGCAGTCTGCAGCTGATGATGAGCTGCGCAGGAGCGATGAGTTCATCATGATGGTCATGTTCTGGTATGTTGTGTAGGCTGGCCACTTCACTACCTGCCAGAGTACACTAACCCCAAAAGAGTGTGCAGCTCCCACTGCATACCCTTCTGTCCCCGACAACTTCAAGTCGACGTCATTTTTATGGTGCAATGCTCCTTGCACCAGTGACTCACTTCATTTGTACGGGGTGTCAACACATCACACGTTTTTCTTTCCACTACTTTGTACAGGAACCAATGGGGCGTTGTCCACCACAGGTTCAGGATACATCTGATAATACGTGTACAGTGCACATTGCATCATAATTATGACATCAACTTGAAATTCTGTCGTTACGGCACCCATAGTCGAGTTTCACACTCTTGGCGGTTATATACTCTTGCTACGTGTACAGGCACATTGACTTTTTATACCGGGATGCTGTCACGCTCATAGCTGCTCGTATTGATAGGTATTAGGCTATTAGCAGCTAACTGTTCAATGAACATGTAGTGTTTTGCCTTTCCCTGCCGCTGTAGTCTGTTGATGCGCCTGGTGCTCCTACAACCAGAATGTATACATACTAGTGGTGAAACGAATATACCGAATATTCGAATGTTCGTTCGGTTTGTCACATTCGAACAATATTTCTCATGGCGAATATTCGCTAACCGGGTATGCAGAGTTTACCAGGCGACTTCAAACTTCCGTAACTTCGCGAAAACTTGACCGAACCGCTTCATCGAAAGTTCCATCGGCATTAGAAAACTCTCAGCTGTCGTCTCGAAGCAACCCGGACACGATCCGAGGTCCTGGCATGGAGTTATGGCGGTCGAACGAAAAATCACGTCTTGAGCTGTTTTTTGAGCGTGTAAAATGCACTTCAGCTGGGGATTTTGTGAAAATTGATCTAGAAATGATGGAGAAATATGTGCTTTCGTTTGTCATGCCTAATAATAGTGACAATATCCAATAAAATGACTGAGAGGAGGGTGTGTGATGTCATCCGTGTTAACGAAAGAATATTCGTTTGTTCGTTCGTTAAGCCAAAGAATATTCGGCTACTGGGTTTTGATATTCGTTTCACCACTAATACATACCCCATACATACTGCCATGCATCCCATGCCCTGTATGAACAACCTGAGTCCATATTGCTGATGTGTCTGGTGATGTTGCTAAAGAATACCAGCTGCACTATTAGACTTCAGTGTAAAAAAAACTGTAGATGATATTGTTCTGCTACCTGTTGTGTGTGTGTTGTGTCTGCAGCGTCTTGCGTGCTGTAACGAGCAGATTCTCCCTTTGCGAAGGCGTTGATCCCACCGTAGCCCTAGACAAGACCGCTGCTGAGTCTGAGAAAGCTTTCTTTTCTAAGCTTCAGGTGAGTTTGCACGACAATAAGTGTTGCCATCTCCAACTTCTCATTGCATCAGCTGGTCAGCGACCTTAGTGGACTCACTGCCAGTACCAGTGCTGAAGAGCATAGCTGGAGGTTGCAATCGCTTCTGACTGATCTGACTGGTCTGACAGCGCTTTGTGACTGCGGCATGATCATTTTCATGTGCCCAACTGACCAGTGAATTCTCTGTCTCTCTCTCTCTCTCTCTCTCATGTGTGTGTGTGGATGTATACTGTAAATATACAAAATTTCGGCGCTGCAAAATTTCGGCACTTCACGATTGTTGACATTTCGGCAGCGATTTATTTTCGGCGTGGGGTAGAGGGCATGGTATAGTGCGACAGATGCTGTGAAAAATTTCATCGGCGTTTTAATTTAGGCGTTTTGGGTCGGTGCCGAATACAGCCGAAATTAAATAGCTGCCGAAAATTTGTATATTTACAGTACATTCTTCTGCCTCTCTGTAGAACATCATTCAGTCATCTGTGCAGGACAACTCGTCTCTGCAGGTAAGGCTACTTGTTGGGTGCCTCGTCTGTGTGATGTGTCGATTATCCTCCTTTTTGTTTTACAGTGTCAGAAACTGCTCATTGCCAAATATTCTCTAATCCACTGGGCGCAAGTTGGTTGCTCAGTTCTTGTAGAAAGCACCTACAGTAAAACGTGTAAAGGCGACTACTCCGATAAGGCAAACCACCTGCCTCAGGGCCCCACTACAACTAGGACCGAGGGGTGTTATTTCCTGTCAGAGGACCCTTGATAAGCAGACCACCTGTACACAGCGACCACATTTGTAAGGTCCTCTGAGCTGTCGCCTTCGACAGGGTTTACTGTAATTCCCCAAGCAAGAACAAGAGCGCTTTACGAAACAGTGTGTACCTTTTCAATATCAGGATACCAATCGTAACCATCCTCAGATGTATTTGTAAGGTCATTTGAGCGGTTGACTTACACACGTTTTGCTGTATCTCTTCATGTCAACTATCCTTCTTTTTTTTAAAGTTTTTTTGTTTTCACATGTGTGCCGATTTCTTTGAAATGATTGGTGCTGGTGCCTGTGAGTGAGTGTGTTGTTGGCTGGCTGGCAGGCTTCCTTCTGATCATGTTATCCTTGTCGTTGTCGTTACTGTGTGCAGCTATCACTCATCTTTGCTCTGCAAGCATTCTGCTACCAACACGACTTCCCCAGAGGTATGTACGATGGCTGATAACCTGAGAGTCTTTACAGATCCCAGGAGCCTTTCACAAGTTCCTTTTGTCAATCAAATTGAATATGGTTTGTGCTCAATACTTCAACAGTAGGAGTGTGGGTATGTGCTCGGGATTGATGTACGATAACGGAGAAGATACTAGCATGCGAGTCGCCTGGAGATATGGCTTGCCTCGTTTTGTTCACACTTGCTAGGCAAGACTCTCTCCGGCATTGTACAGTGTACTACAGTTCTGGCTAGAGAAGTAATTCGAATTCCACCTCATGAATTATAAAGTAGCGCCGCGCTCAAGAATGCGGGATAGTGTATGTGGTGGTGATAGGGCCGAGTTGCACCTGGCATTATTTTACTCATTCGGTCCATTTTTTCTGGCCAGGACCGTGTGGTATGTGATTATGTCAGGTGCCAAGAAATGTGGGCGTTTCACTCCGGGCTACATGTAGCTGTGTGGCGCTGATAATGTTTCTAGTTTATGATAGTACGCTGGCATAGGCTGCTACAGTATGAACTATAATGTATAAAACAAGTCTGTTTTTATAACATCGCCCCTGTGCTTGCTTTGGCCAAGGACATTATGTATAGGATAAACACGAAGCTGCGATTTTTATACCGTGGGACTAGCAGGGTTTGAACCGACAGCAACAAATCCCAAGCAACCATGTATACCACCCAGCCACTGTGCTGCAGATACTGGACCTTGCTGTTGTAACAGTCGTATGGAAAGAATCAAATTATGGAAGATGGTCCAACAGAAGTGTCAGTTTGCATGAGAGGTAGATTTACATGTGCAATCATACAGTCCTGTGCATTCTTTGCATGTGTAATAATGCTGTTATTGGGCCTCTGATTGTAGTTTTCGTGTGGCCTTCTCTTTCTTCTCTTTGCCCCCCCCCCCCCTTCCCCCTTCAGGTATGCTACTGCGCTTCTTCGTTTCCCTGTATGAGTTGGACTTGGTTGAAGAAGAAGTCTTCATTTCGTGGAAGGAGGACACCAAGAGTAACGTGCCAGGAAAGGGAAAGGCTCTATTTCAGGTATTCCGAGTAACAACTGACGACTACTTGTATCCATTACTCCTTCCTCTGATGTGGTCCTGCTCTCTCTCTCTCTCTCTCTCTCTCTCTCTCTCTCTCTCTCTCTCTCTCTCTCTCTCTCTCTCTCTCTCTCTCTCTCTCTCTCTCTCTCTCCTTCTCCTTCTCCTTCTCTCTCTCCCCTTCTATGTCTCAGCTTTTTCATACTCTAAATATTGCTCCTGTGTCATCACAATAATTTTGAATGCCCTGTGCTGATGAACTAGTCGTGGTCTGTGTTCTAATGATGGCTATATTCTAGACATTGTGCAGATGTGCAGCTGCTGCTGCTGCTGTTTTCTTCCCTGACAGTGTACCTTCTCTGCCATACGTATTTCTGTAGGTCAACAACTGGCTTACATGGCTTCAGAATGCCGAAGAAGAGTCGGAATCAGACTAGTTTGTCTTTGTCGTCTACCAATTCGCCAACCAACCACACACCGGTATGTCGTGTCGTTCTTGTACCGAAGCACTTCGATGTAGTTCTCCTGTCGGCCCGTTCTCTCAGTAGGCCGTCTCGTTTTAGACCTGTACGACTGGCTTGCATACCAGACGTCTGCCCTCTGCCTTTGCTACTCAGCGACATCAGTATTTATATCCACTACCTGTTTGTTTGTCTCCCTGTACCACCGCTGCTGTTCTGATTATTTGCTACACGCTTTTGGACCAGTGCAGACAGCTCATGATCCATTATTGTGAATGACCCTTTTATGGGCACGTGAAAAGGAACACTGTGTTCTGTAGCCTGCAATCTCTGTTCATTGCATGCCTGTATGCGAATAGAGCATGATGCAGTGTGGTCCTAGTTCTGCTAGCAATATCCAGCATCTGTTTCAACATGTCCTGGCGGATGTTGTGCTCGTGACATCGTAGTGCTGTCTCTACTCTTGTTCGCGGTGGTGCTTTGTGATTTATAGTGCCAATCTTTGCTTGCCGGACGCGTGTCTGTCTCGCTTTCGTTCCTTTCCTGCTCCGGTGCTGTTCTCTTCTTTGCTTGCACTGCCTTGCTCGTTGCGTCGTCAGCAGACAGCCGTGTTTGTGAAGAACGCGCTAACATTAACACTGCATTACTAGACCTTCTGCTGGTCGTGATAGTTTTGTTGGCGCACTATAGACCCTGATCATGCGCTCGATACGTTCTCATCCCTGCAGAGCCTGCGCATTGCCAGTAGTTCAGTTCTTTTGTATTTAACTTGTTTTCTTTCCTGTAAGACAGCCAAGCAAGAGCGATCAACAACATGCTACTACCGTTCTGCTGTCGCTGTCGTTGTCGTCGGCGTCACCTTTGCTTTCACATTGTTGCCATGACTACTGTAATTCCGGCCAGTGCCATCACCATGACACGCCTGTCTCATTGCTGTGTGGTGCATGCACAAACTGCAGTGTGGACCTCCCCCCCCCCCCCCCCCCCCCCACACACACACACACTATCCGTTGCCAGAAGTCAGTGTTCCGGGAGCCTGTGTTTCTGCTGAATGCACATCTCTAATCACAAGCTGCATGCCATATACCGGTACTGCTATCGAATTGCTACAGTACAGGTGGAATTGCCTTAGACAAACCCTTACCCTGTTTTCCAGGCCTATTTTTCAGATTCTAATACTACTTTTATCTGTGGAAGAAGTGATCGAAAAAATAACCGACAACCGATCGATAAAGGTTTAGGTTATTTGGTAGTCGAAAATGTGTAATCGTTCACCCCTAGTATTTATAGTCATGTGTCTTCACGTTTTTGCTCTTGAGTCTTGTGTAACCGATTCACATCACATGTACTACACCGGAATGGTATTGTGTGAGCTTTGCGCCGCGCCCTGCACCAGTGAACACCCCAGTGGGTGCAGGCATGCATAGGGCTGCACAACGCCCGGCTCGCGCTTGGCTTGCAAGATCGTGTTTCTCGGAGCATCACCGTAAGTCATTGTTAGGGTGCGTTCTTAAATCCTCTCGGAAAAGTTGGAGACTCTCCGAAAAGTTCGAGAGCTGTTCTTATATCCTCTCCGACTTTTAGGAGGCTCTCCAAAGCTCTCCAAGCTCTCCAAGCTTCAGAGGTGGTTGAAACTTGGAGATTCCCGCGGTTTGGGATCAGCGCATGCGAACTACGACTAAAAGCCACGTGTTCATCACTCAAGATCGCGGGCCCCTTTGACGCTTCATTTTGCTTGACATGTGCAAAATATCTCCGAATTCTTCGAGACCCATTCTTGAGTAATCCCAGTTTCTTCGACTTCTCTTTTCTTCTTCTTCTTCTAGAAGCTAGAGAATATAAGAACGCACCCTTACTTTGTAATACCAAGCGTACGTGACCATGATGAACCCCACGAAAGTGCAACTCCCACATACCCTGCTGTCACGACAGAATTTCAAGTTTACGTCATTTTTTCTGATGCAATGGTCTTCGCACCAGTGATTTACAACATTTGTACGGGGTTGTCAACGCATCACACGTTTCCCCTTGTACACGATCAAAGCGGATTATCCACCACCGGTCCAGCATACGTCTGGTTATAATGTACATGTATGTACAATGCGCATTGCACCATAAAAAATGATGTCAACTTGAAATTCTGTCGGAACAGCACCCGTAATGGAGTTGCGCACTCTGGGGGGGGGGGTTATGTACTCTTGGTAATAGAGAGGTTAAGATGCACGCTATTTTCGACGTGACATGCAATTTCTCGTCAAATTTGGCGTAAAACTTCAAATTTCGACGTTCGCTGCATGCAGGTCACTCGCGTTGTTTTTCGACGTGCAAACAAATAACGCGAGCTTAACTTTCGCGTCACGTCGGAAATCAAGGTGATCACTTGGATAAGGCGACGACCTGTCCCAGGGGACCACTACAACCAAGACCAAGGGATGTTACCTCCAGTCATATGACCCTGGATAAGAAGACCACTTGTACACAGCGACCACGTTTCGAAGGTCCGTTGAACGGTCGCCCTAGACAGGTTTCATTGTACTTGGCATGCACAAAGCAAAAGTGCATAACCCCGAAGAATGGATGATAGCAAGAGTACATAACCCCCCAGAGTGTGCAACGCTGATCCAGCTCTGCATAGGGTCTTGGTCGAGCGGAATCGGATCTTCTGATGTCATGTGTACACTCCACACCAGCGCAAGGCCGGTCTCGAGGCAGGGCACCATTGTTTTTGATCCGAGAGTACCCGCGACTCCCCGGGTTCCCCTCAGATGTGTACGGTATTATGACGCAAAGATCCGATTCCGCTCGACCAAGACCCTATCATCATCCTATGCAGAGCTGGATCAGGCGTTGCACACTCTGGGGGGTTATGTACTCTTGATGATAGGCGGCGACAGGCATCTAGGTCATCCTAATAAAGATATTATTATGCCACTCCACTATGGGTGCTGTCCAGGCAGAGTTTCAACTTGATGTCATTTTTATGATGCAGTGTGCACTGTAGACATAATAATTATTATCAGACGTATCCTGAACCTGTGGTGGACAAATCCCCATTCGTTCCTCTACAAACTGAGTGCAAAGAAAAAACGTGATATGCGTTGACAACCCCGTACAGATGTCGTAAATCACTGGTGCAAGCAGCATTGCATCACCCTGTAAGAAGACCTTAGGGTCTGTTGGGAATGCCCAAGTAAAATAATAAAATACAATACAATACAACAGTTTAAAAATAACGTCAACATGAAATTCTGTCGGGACAGCAGGGTATGCGGGAGGTGAACATTATTCACACTTTCTTTGCCTGCTGCTAAAACTAGTCAAAGCCTAAAACTAGACTAGTATGGCGCGTTCTCTATCTCTTTCCTTGGCGCTGATGGTGGATTCTCTGCAAAAAAAGTAAATTCTGCTACTATGGGGGGGGGGGGGGAGGGATTATGTGTATACTCTTGCCAGCACTGTACGCGGGAGTTGCACACACACTCTTGCGAAGTAAATCATGCTCTTGCAGAAAAAGTGAAAACAAAAATGAAAAAATCAGGTTCTACCGAGATTTGAACTCGGATCGCAGGATTCAGAGTCCTGAGTGCTAACCATTACACCATAGAACCCTTCACACTGGCTTCACCCTTCTGCACAGGAAACAGCTTTCCACAGACTGGTAATCGGTATGCATTCATCGTTGTAATCTACGGCCAGCAGCTCTGGACCACTGGCAAATTATGCTTACCGCATGATCTATGGTATCAGCCACGCTTGTGGCTCTGACATGATTGTATGTAGTCACCAGGAAGCGGAAGCGGAAGACCAACAGAACATCGCCATCGCGGAAATCTACAGCGCTGGTCTACTCCAACCGATCCAGGCCGCGAGTGGAATTTAGTTGGAAACACTTCGGCCACGGAATGCCCGAACAGGACAGTGTCTGGTTGTTATCATGGACAATTATGGTTGGCTCGAGCGCCGGAGAAGGCACAGAAACCGTCATGTCGTGGTGGCCCTGAGCCTGAGGTGCAGTTCTTCAAGTCCGATCTCGGACCGACTGAGCTGTTGACCTACTCTATCCGCGCTACAAACAGTAGATCTACCGTTACAGCGCTCGACGGCTCGCTGTTGTCGGCTCAGTGCAACAAACTTGTCCAGCAGATAGTTTGCACCCTGACCCAGGAAGGGCCTAGGGGCTGACCCAGGGCCCTGCACCTGGGTCAGGGTGCAAACTATCAGGGCTGCAGAATTATCACCATGATTACCTGACGCTTCGAAACAAAACTACAATAGCATGCTGTCCAACGGTCCTTCTTTCAGCAGGACAGTCCTGCTTTGGACCAAAACTTTTGTGTACATTTACATGGGAGACAATTGCCTTGGTATATATTTTATAGCCTAGGTGTCCTGCTTTGGAAAGGTGGCAAGGTTGGACTAAACTGTACTCTGTAGTGTAGTACTCGTCCTGTCTGTGAATCATGATGTCACCGTCACGTAGACCATGCATGGTAGTCTTGTAGACCCACACCGCGTACCGGCAATATCAGTGAGCCTCAGCTCAGCCCCTGAAAATGGAAAGCGGCATCCTGAGACAGGCGCAGCTGAGTACAAACTGATCTGAGCCAAGGTCATTTCAAGAAACCGGTCGTTCCACATTCCACTTTTGTACTCTGCTTCGATACTAAAATACTAAAAATACATGACAATCAGACTGTATCCCGCAGGCCTGCTTTAGCTTTGACTTCCTTGGACCTTGGCCATGGCATGGCCTAGATCGTTGAGCTTGACCTTGACCTTGACTGGCTCAGTGAGGCTTCTTTTACGCTGTGACGTAGCTACACGTCTACAACCAACAAGTACAAAGTCATGACTCTGTACATGTACCGCGCCCCGATCGTTGTTTTTGTGGGAAGCACGTGTGAGACGTTGCCCTGGCTCCCGGACTTGGCGTGCTGTAACCAACGGGAACAAACAATTTTCTTCGTACCTGGGCCTTGCGCGCTTGGTTGTAAATCCCACCCGTCCCGGCCACACGACAGCTTCCTGGCCCACTTTACCGCCAAGAAAAGCGATCGTGTGATCTTGCAACTGCTTCAGCGCTACTTGCCGGTGCATCATCGACGCTGCCAACTAGGTACTTCGAAGTAGGAGCCAAGCAGCGGAAGCCTGGTATTACCTTGATGTCGCAGTCGGCTAGACTAGAGACGACGGAGAGCAGGAAAGAGAAGACACGGAGGACAGGTGTGTGCAATCCTGCTGCTGCGCGACCTACTGGACATTCTACTAGATACGACGAAGGACCAGGCCGACAAGCAGGCAAGGCTTGCAACGAACAGAATCGGAGAGGACTTTCGGCAGAGCGGAGGTAGGGAGTACTCTTACAGGACTGATGAGGGTTCAGGAATTCTAATGGTCACTGTTAAGGTAACTTTGTAAGCGACTAGCATGCATGCAGAATGTTATTGAGCGCTCGTTGCGCTGTATGCTCAGCAGAACTTGTGAACGTGCTTGACCGAGACTGATCAGATAATATCGGTTTACTTTCCAAGCAGGCTCTAGCTGAGAGACGCCGGAGCAGGGAGGTAATACCGTACTGCAAAACCGGAAAGTTTAGCGACCAAAAGTTTAACGTTTACACAGACATCTCAAACTGGGTTCACGATAACGTTTCTTCAAATAACGAAAAAACCGGTCGTTAAAACGTTAGACTTTGTGACTCGTTAGACTTTCCGGTTTTACAGTAAACGGTACAAAGTCATGTAACTCTCCATGCCTTGCTTTGCACCATTCCTACACTGTGCTCTCCATGCTTTGCCATTCCTACACTGTGCTCTCCATGCTTTGCACCATTCCTACACTGTGCTCTACAGACTGAGGCGTTGTGCAACAACTCTTAGACTGCATCAGTGAACAAGTCGGGAACAAAATCTCTACCCCAATACTAGGCGCAGCATTGCAGCGCCAGTCTGACTCGCAGACCAGTCCAGTCCGGCAGTACTGTGCAGTGAGGAGGCAGTACACTCACTGTAGTGGAGATTAAGCCGGTCATGGCCACTGACGCAGCCGGAAAGGCCGGTGGACAGCGTCGTCCACGACGACTGCGCAGCGCACGCTTCATCAACAAGAAAGGGACTGGTGTATCGAAAAGCATCAAGTATGCTCTCTTCTTCTCCAACTTGGTGGTCTGGGTATGTTCTTTGTGGTAGTATAATGTAGAGAGTTTGTCTTCTTGCTCAATACCATGTAGAGCTGGCCGTCAGTGTTGCTATTTGCCACGTCCGAATAAAACGTGGCCTTTCTCAGAGCTGCCCCCCCCCCCCCACACACACACACACACACACACACACACACACACACACACACACACGTGTGTACCGCACACCCACGTACGCTCGTACACCGGCATCAGACTGTATCCACCTTCCTTCAGTGCTGCCTATGCAATGCTAGGAGAAATGGCAGACACGACCCCGAAACAAACTGCTGTGGTCACTCATGTACTCCCCGGCACACTTGTACCCCCTCGCACACCTGCATACATTCTGTGCACTTGTGCAGAAATAGCGTATGCTGTGTTTTGGATGCACATCTCAGGCAGCTTGCCTTCCCCTCTCGTTATTCATAGTGACAACTGGTAAGTATTGATGTACTATACCTTGTGCAGCATACATACCCTGTCCACCTACTTTGTACAGGGTCCTGTAGAATCCAATCCCTCTCCACTGACTCACGGGTTGCCTAACCTCGCATCTTATGCGTCCTAACTCTGTTGGAATTTGGCTTGACCGTTACCACTAGCCAGGTGTCTGATGACTGAGTGATGAGAGTTCTGATGAGAGAGCTAACTACAACACTTCCTGTCGTTCTCGGATATGCTTGCAGCTGCTAGGTGGTGGCCTGATCGGTGTCGGAGCATACGCCAAGACCTGGAGCGATACTTGGGGAAGCTTCAGCAATGTCGGCACAGACCCAGCGCTCATGCTGATCGTCGTTGGCACGATCGTCTTCTTTCTCGGGTTCTGCGGTGCCGTGGGAGCGTTGCGCGAAAACCGGTTTCTCCTGAGAATCGTGAGTCTATAGTCGCTCTCCGTACACTATAACACACATATCCTACAGCGTCAGATGCAGCAGCAGTCCATACTGTGTGTTTCCACACCTTCGTCATGTGACTAAATTTGTGTAGAAGTGATCATGGCATGTGTGTGTGTGTGTGTGTGTGTGTGTGTGTGTGTGTGTGTGTGTGTGTGTGTGTGTGTGTGTTTAGTGGAACCAACATGGCCGCCGACATAATGTGACCCATACAGTCATCATGTAGATGGAAGAGCTGACTGGAGTTGGAACCAACATGGCTGTCCTGTAGGGCCACGTGATAGATGTGTGAACCACTCTATACAGTGGAACTACGGGATTCTGACCGCCTTCCGGACTGGGCAAACTGGTCTGATTTCTAGAGTCGTCTGATTTGTGAAATGGCTATTCTGCATTTTTTTATTGAAAAACCACAAACCTTCAGACATGTGAATATCGAATGTGCACATGATATACAGTGTACACACGTATGTATCGAGAAGGCAGCACAGAGATGGCAGTGGTGGTGAGGCCTGGGCAGCTCGTCCGACCGTGGGTCTCGGAGTCAACACTGTGTGCTTTTGAAGGAAAGGTCGAGTCCGAGCACAATGTTTCGGACTGGTGATGTTGTTGGAAACGGCTAGGTTTCACTGCACATTATAAACTTGGATCTAACATCTTCAGCTACATGTACAACCAAGAAATTGCCAAATTTATCCTCACAGTGCTTCTATACGTGTGTATGGCTGTGGGTGTGATTCTTGCCCTATGCAGTTCGTGGTCTCGATGACTATTCTGGTGGTCGTTGAAGTAGCCGCCATGGGCTTGGCCTTCGTATTCCAGGGCAAGGTACTTGTGGTGTCCACATCTACATAATGCACTGTTGCATTCCTTGGCCACCCCAGGCATTCCCGGTACAGTCAGACCTCGCTTATCCGGTCCTCTTTTATCCGGATCCCTCGCCATCCGGAGGAAAACAGCAGGTTACAGATTTACAGCCTACGTGATGCATCCAACATAACTGGTGTTCGGTTATCCGGTTCCCTCACCTATCCGGATATTTTTGTGGAAAACGGATGTGTGCGGCGGTTAAGCGAGGTCTGACTGTAGTAGTAGTGGGCCAGGTACAGTACTCTGTGTTACCATGGTTACTGTATGCATCTAGCATGTGCCGGCACCATGTCCCGGGGCACAGCATTGCAGGCACACTCCCTTACAGTAGTCTGCACCAACGTAGGGTATGCTAGGATGCCATCCAATCCACTAGTATTCCAGCTTGCTACTTCACCTGTATGTTACACCAAGAGTCCATAATCCCACAGAGTGCGCAACTGGGACGGGGGTTGTGGGACGGCGTAATCCGTGATGCACGCCATTTTTGGGGTCGGACTTGCCTCATTCCATCGGCGCGGTGCACCACGTCCACTCTTCCCCTACTCATGATGTCATTATTATGACGTGCAACACGGATTTCGCCGTCCTAGATCTGATAAGTGAACTTGGGCACTCTGGGGGGTTATTTACTCTTGCTTACACTATGTGACTATGTGACTATGTGACTATGTGACTCTACTCTAAGACTGTGTGTACTTTAAAAGTTGTTTTAAAAGAGTACATGCGCAGAGGCCCCAGGCCGGGGCAGGCATGGGGCAGGCATGGGGCAGGCATGGGCTGTTGACATACACAGATGTCACTGTAATCCGGCACGGTGACATAGGCATGTTTCACTGAAACTCTGCACAGGTAAAAGAGCAAATCTCCGTCAACATCATTGATGCCATCAAGATCTACCATACGAGCAACATGCAGACAGACTTAGAGGATGTGCTTGACAACGTGCAGAAACATGTAAGTGCAATTGCGGCTGGACTGTTTTTGCTGTGCTCTATTTAACAGCTTTCACACAGCGTTTCGCTTTGATGCGGTTCCAATTGATCACGGTTCTCTTTCTCTCTCTCTCTCTCCCTCTCTCACACACACACGCACGCGCGTGCGTGTGTGTGTGTCCCATATGGTGCAGCAATTTCCAATCGAGAGGTTGCGGGTTCGATTCCCAACGATTATTATGGTCACACACGTCTTTCTTCTCTTTCTCAGACTCCTGACTTTTCTTTCGTCCTCCTGGGTGGTTACCAACAGTGCATGCCGGAGTATGTGGTGTGATGTGCGTGTGGGGAAAAATTAAAAAATTTAAACCAAAATGTGGGGATTCACTGGTCATAAAAGCCAATTCATAGCTGTGTGGTGTAGACCAGGCTGAATAGTGGCGGTCAATTCTTCAGCGTTGCCAGCTGTTGAATGGTGCAATTCCTGCACAAGTTGCTATGGCTTCTGCTGTAGCATTGCTATCATCGCCTCCGGCGATGGGCATCAAAGGTCAAAGGTGTGCGTGTTATGTATTCCATTCTTTGGGCAAGAGTTATGCTCCTGAAGGTGCATGTGTCCTGATTCATGTTTGCACACTGGGATTACCTGGGTCCATATTGAAGACCGTGTTAGCCATTATGGCTTTGTGAGGGATGGAGTGTGTCGAGGCACTGTCACCGTCTGATCAGCTAATGTTCGTCTGGCTTCTTGCGTTCCTATCGCATGCATGTGTGCGCGTGCGCACGCGTGTGTGTGTGTGTGTGTGTGTGTGTGTGTGCGTGTATGTATATATGTATGCTGCATTTAGTTCGGCTGCTGCGGTGGCAAGTCGCCACGTGATTGGCCCACGTACAACCCCTATTTCAACTGCACTAGGGACACCTTCCATAGCCTGCTGACGGCCTGTGGTGTTCCGCCATTCTGCTGCAAGAACGTAAGTACAGTCCAGCTTAATCGTGTCGTCTGAACGACGTAGAGCAGAATCTCTCAATTGGATGCATGTCGATGAAGTATGTACTGGTAACCCGCGAATCCCTGCATGAACAGTGTATGTATACACATCACAGGTGCATGAACGGTGCATGTGAGCAATATCTACTCCATAGGTAGGTCAGCCACCCGGTAGGGGGAACTTGGATGACCCGTTTGAAAAAGGAAAACTGGGTCACTGGTGTCGGACACGGTGGCAAGTATGCATGACATGTCCAATGGTTCAACTTTGTACCTCTCCGATACCAACGCGTAGTAAAATATTTACGACTCCCTGGTGTACATGTACTTGTAGAAGGCCATCATGCATGCAACGTATGGCTGCTGTGTGTGTGGGTGTTCATAGGCCCGTAAGCGGCTTACCATGTGGCTATGCAGCATGAGTTACTAGTACATTACAACAACAGTTGCAGTTGCAGCACTAGCACGATGCAATGCGAGTCGGATCAGAACAACAGTTGCCGCACTGCCACGATGCAATGCGAGTCGGATCAGAACAACAGTTGCAGCACTGCCACGATGCAATGCGAGTCGGATCAGAACTGCATTGGACATATTATGTTATTACTACAGGCGATTCACTTTGTACTAATTTGCCATGTTTTGCTTTGCGAACGGTCCATTCTTAGGCCCTCTATATTCTACTATGCGATAACATTGCGGCTTGTAAGAAAAATGTTCACTTGAAACCCATGTTATGATTATGAAAATGTCAGAGTTCATTCTTGTAGGAAGTATATTCTTGTATACGACCACGCTGTAACCGATACGCACCTTATACTGCTTGCTGCACTTGAACGTACGTGTGCCCAGCTTCTCGTCCGATTGCAAGAGTTGTGCCAGGTAAAGTGTACCCGGTCGGGTTGAAATCCTAGAGCAGGCACTGGTATGGCCCCGGTGTATGGTTGGTGATCCTAGAGCAGGCACTGGTATGGTGTATGGTTGGTGATCCTAGAGCAGGCACTGGTATGGTGTATGGTTGGTGATCCTAGAGCAGGCACTGGTATGGTGTATGGTTGGTGATCCTAGAGCAGGCACTGGTATGGTGTATGGTTGGTGCATGGTGCATGTGCGCTGTAATGGTGCACAGCGCACTCTCACCCCAAACCGCTTCTGGCTGACAGTATTCGCAAACATGTAAACATCATCCGGGGAAGTCGGGATAGTGGGATAGTGAGATAGTGGGATAGTGAGATAGTGAGATAGTGAGATAGTGGGATAGTGAGATAGTGGGATGGTGGGATAGTGGGATAGTGGGAGAACAGTGGATTTGATCACACGGACAAAGGCACGGGTTAGCAGATGGTGTGAAAACATTAATCTGTTGCATGATGTGACCAGCAAACCTCAGAATACCGGCGTGTAGGCTGGGAGACGATTGATGCCAAATAGACGCACCCCTGATGCAAACCACTGGCAAATAGCATCTCTAACCTAGCGTCAGGTGTACCCTAAATTGAAGAGCCTGGCCATTTTCATGCATGTTTTAATTGTTAATGCTGTGTGTGTATGTTACCAACAGGAGACGGTCAACACGCAGTGTGGCTACAAGGTCTTCTACTATCCGGGTATGCCCGTGTCTGAATCACGGATGTGGCCCAGCATTGTAAGTCGGTCTGCCATTACGCCATCATTGGTAATAGAGGTTATTCACTATGATGCCGTTATGTCATCGTTGATACAGAGGTTATGCCATTATGTCATCATTTGAGATATCTGTTGCCACTGCATACACAGTTATCACTAATTCAAATATCTTAGTCACGTGATCGAGACTGCGACAATCTCATTGCGGCATGGCCTCTGTTGCCTGAACCAATTGTACACAATGCCCGCCAAGGCAAATGTGTGCAACTACAGCCTTCAGCGGATATGCCATGCTGTGGCAGAATTCCACATCGTGTGATACAACAGTGTATGCTGGTGTACTGCACACGAAATGGCGCAGGCCGACTGGTTCCGGCATACCCGGAACCATGAAACTTCGCCAATCTCATCCCAGTGCAGTGTACAAGTACAACGTACAGTTGCGCTCACTGAAATCCGACCCGAAGTGCAAAGCTGGCGCCCTGGACCAGTTCCGATTACTTTTGAAGTCTATCATTGTATGTGTACATGTGTACGCCCAGCCGCATTCGTTCCACTTCCAGGGCGTCACGGGCCGTGGAAGTTGAGGGCGCCAGGTTTGCACGTTGGGTCGGATGTCAGTAAGCACAACTGTACATGTCAGGTTTATATCCAGAACAAAAGTGAGGGGGGGGGGGGGGAGAGATCATCGGACCCAAAATGTTGTCATTTTCACCGCCATTTTGTGCGGCCATGTTATGGTGCTACTACATGATGATGTTATCATGCCTATAAAAAGGTGATGCTCGCACTCTGAAGGGTGGCCCATTCATTTTAGAAAGGGGCGGTCAAAAGGTGAAGGAGACCACCAGGAACCTCTCAGAATCTAGATCACCAGGAACCTCTGAGAATCTAGACCACTAGGAACCTCTCAGAATCTAGACCACCAGGAACCTCTCAGAATCTAGACCACTAGGAACCTCTCAGAATCTAGACCACCAGAAACCTCTTCGCATCTCTGGGGCTATTTTAACTGCAGAGTGAGGAACTCAAAGGACTTCTCAAAAGTGCACTCGACATGAGTAGTACTAACAAGATTTGATAATTGACATGCTTCATTTCAAGATTTGATAATTGACATGCTTAAATCTTGTATTGACATGCTTCATTTCGAAGGTTCTACTTCAAAAGTCTTTCGAGTTCCTCAGTCTGGGTGCCTGTGACTCAGCTGCAGTCAGTGGGGTTTGTCTGCAGCCACCTGATGCGCATGTTCGAGGTCGTTGGCCCTTTTCAGCTGCATCGTGTGTGCTACCAGGTCGGACATTACTGACCGGATGTGGCCGGGTACCTTAGAAGGA